TTTATTATATTCTACTATTAGTTTTCTTTTTTTGTTCAATTGTTGTCTCGTGCACATACACACAAACATTAACAGATCAGAAGGAAAAAAACGATATATACATATATATATATATATAAATTGTGTTGTATTCTCGATTTTCACGAGATATTGTTGTTTGTTTTGTATAAATATAACTCTTTTGATAAATATAAAAGTTTTCTGTCTGTATAGATATATATATATATATATCATTGACAAGATTTAATGATGAAATTTGATTTAAATAAAAATATAATTCAGGGTTGTTAACTTTTTGTGACTGCAAAGTTCTATGAAAACAAGACTTTGATAGTCTATACTTTTCCAAAATATTTTATGATTACAAATTCAGATAATGTATTAATCAAACAAGTTCATTGGGTATCGATATTGATTTGAAACGAAGAAACGGAGAAAAAAAAGTGATTTGTATGACCCCGTTTCGAATATATATACATATATATATATAGTGAACCTTCTAACGATCAAAGGTTGTTCTTTCTCTCTCTCTCACTTCTTACCTGTATATGAGTATATATACATATACATACATGTATACATGTCTCAGTCTTAAAGTCGATTATTCTAGTAAAAAGAAGAAAGAAGGAGGAGTGTAAAAAAAAAGTTAATACATCATTTATGTTGTTTTCTATTATTGTTATTATATATTGAAGGTTTTTGTTCTATGAAGAATATATCTATATATATTCATCATCTCGTTTAATTATTTATTATCACAATTTTATTTAATATCTATTTCTATTTTTATTCGTTACTCCTTTATGACCTTTATTTTCTTCGAGTCCATATTATAAGTGTCCTTCTTATTCTTCTTCTTCTTCTTCTTCTTCTCTTACTTTTTCATTTAGTCTTTATCATCATCATCATCATCATCATTCTTTCTACTACTTTTTATTGATTTATTATTCAAAGAAAAATATTTTATGAAAATGCCATTTTAAACCATTATTTTTTTTCTTCAATGACCTTCAATCTTTTCTTTCTATTTATATATTGTTATCTTTATATAGATTGAAAATAACGTATTACACGTAGTATTTGATTTTTTTGCATCAAAATCTATATTATTATTATTATTATTATTATTCAATATTATCATAATCTATACATGGTACGAGACAAGAGAAAACATTGAGATCTTCACACGTTTATATGTCTGTCATATTCTGCCTTCAACGTCTACAGCAACAAATGAAACTTCACACATAGTAGAAGGCAAAAGGAAATAGAGAAGACACAACAGCGTCCTACACATACAAGAGGAGAAAGAAAGTAAGAAAAGAGCGAACGAACAATCGACTCAATCGATAGAGTACGAGAGCAAAAAGCAGGTCATCTCTTTCCCTAGTGTTTTAACTCTGTCGTCATCATCTTTAACTCGTGTACTACTTAATCATCTACATTAATAACAACACATTACCTTACTTATATATATACATACATACGCATACATGGTACTCGAAAATATCAATTAAAGAATATCAAGATAGACTCGCAAATAAAAAACTTTAACTCAATGGGAAGAAAGACCGATATTAACAATGATGATGATGACGATGAACAACAATCATCATCAAGTGCATCTCGAATGACACCTAATTCAAATAAACATGAATCTCAATATAATCTTTATCGAAATTTTGGTGAAAATAAATCAAATAATCATAATGATGATGATAATGATTTATTAATACATGATACGATATTACCACATCGAAAACGTGTACGAAAAGATACTTTACAATATCTTCAACCTCAACAATCAACAAATTCTACTGATATAATAGATGTAAGTTAGTCTTTTTTTTTATTTATTTATTCTTTTATTTTTTATTCATTAACAAATAAAGAATTAAATTAGTTTTGTGAACATAGAAGTCTTAACAAGTGTTGATAGATTTTTCTCGTCAATTTCCTTCCTAACACGCTTGTCAGGTTAACCTTGAACGCATGTAGTATGTGACAGCAATGTCTCGAGAGGGAGTATGGGTATATAGAATCAGAAGAAGAAAAAAAAAAAGAATAAAATGGCAAGGACGATAGACGAGATGTGAGGGCGACGGCCTTCGACAGTGAAGGTCGACAAAACATTGACGGCAACCTTGTTATAACAACTATTACGTCTGACTCATGTCATATGGATTATTTAAAATGAGGAATATTGTGTCGAAGGTGAACAAATCGTTTTTTGATATACAGGTGTATACTCATTTATACACGAACGAAAAAAAAAAATAATCATAGACTCTTGAAGGACTTGTCTGTAAATAAACATAATCGATAATGATTTTACCCTTGAAAATATCTCATAAATAACTATATTATTCTGAATAATACAAAACGATTCTCTTAATCGAATGTCACAAAAACAGATTTCATTCCAAGGTTTCTATTATATTGATAAACAACAAGAAAAACAAAATTTGACTTTGAAATTACGTAACAATCAGAAATTAACAATAGCTTTAAAGTACTATCTGCTTCTTTTTCTTCTGGTTCAAAGGATTATTTATAGTAAACAAAAATATAGAAATATACGGAATAAAATATTGAGTTTATACAAAAGTTCAGTAATTGAATATTTCCCAAAAAAGATATATTTAAAAATTAAAATTATTAGTGTTATGGCATGATACTTCTCTTTCATTTCCTCACGTACTATTGATATCGCTGAGTGAATATTGTGAAGAGAAGGATGAGTTTTGTTTTATGAAAGATCCCAGACTATTACGTATCGAAGGTCATATTACGTAAGTTCAGTTTTTCTTTATGTATGAAATTGACAGATTTTTATTCGCGTATAAAATTATTAAACTAATTGGTTTTTAGAATGAAAATGGTCATAATCATAATTCAATTAATGGTGAAGTTGATTCATTATGTTCAATAGATACTGGAACAATATCTTCATATCATCAACAAAATCAATTAGCAGCTGCAGCAAATGGTCTTTTAAGTCTTTCAAGTTTGTTTTATACATCTAAGACAATATTGAATAGTAATCTTTTTCAAATAGATTCTTTATTAATTAATACAGAAGATAATCTTAATGAATGTCATTCAAATTCACTTATGAATGATGGAACATCAAATGGAAATCTATCTTTAATATGCGGCGTTTGTCAAGATCGAGCATCGGGTAAACACTATGGAGTATTATCATGTGAAGTAAGATAAAATATTCTATAAGATTTATATTCATATAAAGTTTTATTTTATTATTTAGGGTTGTAAAGGATTTTTTAAACGAAGTATTCGTAAACAAGTATTATATACATGTCTTGGTACAAAAGAATGTCCTATTAATAAATTTATGCGAAATAGGTATAAAATCAATAAATAAGTTTTAATTTGTGTTTTTATTTTTATTTAGATGTCAATATTGTCGATTACAAAAATGTCTTCAAGTTGGTATGCGTATTGAAGCTGTTCAAAATGAACGACGACCTTCAACAAATAATACGAATAAACATGATTTAATGATTAATGGTATTAATAATCAAAGAATACGAAAACAAAATGATACAAATTCATTAAATACAGTAAAATGAAAATAATCAAATTTTTATTTTTATTCTTCTTTATATTTTTAGTTAATAACTTCATCTTCAAATGGTATTTATCCATTAACATCATTATTAGCTAATTTAACTAATAATCGAGATATGAATACGACACAGATAACAACAAATGAAAATAAAAATCAACAACAAAGTACTTTACATAGTATACTTACATCTACATCAAGAGCGAAATCACCAACATTATCAACAGGTATGGATAAAAATATAGATTTTATTTTACATTCAGAAAGGATATTCTTTAATTTTTTTTCTAAGCCACATTTCTTTCTCCACCATCTTCAACTTCATCCTCATCTGCATCAAGTACAACAACTAGTCTTCGTATTGATTGTAATATAAAAACAGAAACAATGGATACAACAACAACGACGACGACAAATAAAAATCAAAATCAACAACAAACACTTGCTATTTCAAGAGCCTTTGATAATTTAGCTAAAGCTGCATGTCATGTGAGATCTTCTATATCTACTATTCGAATATAATTTCTTTCTCAATTTTTCACATAGTCTCGATCAAATAGTGTTACTAATCCAATGACTCTTGTCCAACAACAACAATTATTCAATGAAAAACGTTATTGGGAACAAGTTGAACGTTCGTATTATTGTTTTCTAAACTTTAAATATATCTTTTGTTTTGACATAAAGGTCCATTAGTTACTGATAAAACAAGTAAATTTACTATAACTCCTCCAACAAATAATGATTTTCAAGATATACAATTATTATTACCAACAAATAGTTTTATATGTGAATCAGCATCACGTATTCTTTTTCAATCAATTGATTGGATAAAAAATAATACATGTTTTCAAACGCTTGAGTAAAATTATTTAATTTTGAAATATTTTTCTATTTCTATCATTATTATCATAGAGCACAAATACAAATAATACTATTACAAAATCATTGGTTACCCTTATTCATTCTTAGTTTACTTCAATGTTCATCCACAATTAATTTAGCAAATATTCTTACTGCATTACTTGCGAGTAAAAATTTTCTAATCTAATTTTGTTTTTCTTAAAACTTAATTTTTTTAAATTTAGAAAAATTAGTAAATAATGAATCAAATAAATGGCTTGATTTACGTCGTATTCAAGCACTTCTCTATGAATTCGATCGTTTACATGTAACCGATGTCGAATTTGCCTATTTGAAATTAATTTCAGTCTTTAATCCTAGTAATAATACCGGTAAATAAATTTTCTTTTAAAAAATTGAAAGAAATTTTTTTTCTTTTGAATAAAATTAGAGTGTATTGCATCATATGATCAAATTGATGCCTATCGTATATTAACATATAAAGAATTAAATGATCATATAAATGATCGAATAATATCAACATCATATGAGGAATATTCAGGTGATAGTGAACGATTAGGTCGATTATTACTTAAATTACCATCATTAGCTGAACTTGATACAAATATTATTGAAGAAATTTTCTTTGTTGGATTAATCGGTAGAATGTTATTTTTTTTTTGGTTATAAAATAATTCTTATATAATCTTTTTTTTTTGTATGATTAAAGGTTCAGTACAAATTCATAAAATCATTCCGTGTATTCTTAAAATGAATGTTGCATCATCATCAAAACAAATGTCATCAGCATCGTCAATGATTAAATGTGAAAAGAGTGATCAACCACAGCAACAAGCACTCGTTTCGTCATCATTGTAGAGAACCAAATTTGTGATCCGGTGTTCACACTGTTCTTTCTAGGTTTCATTTTTTTTTTCTTCTTTTTTTTACTATCTCAAATATGTGTGTATGCTTTGTTTGTGTGTTTATCCCTGTATTTATTATAGTTTATTTTTGTTTTTGTGTCTTTTGCCTTCGTTTTTCTTCTTCTTAATGACTGACCGGTGCAGTCATTGTGCATGCATGTGTGTCTTTGTATTGTTGTCTAGCAAGAGACAAACGAGGGGCTATATCTCAGGAAAATGATGAACCTCATCAAATTATATTTGGTAATTATTATTACAGTATAAATAGATTGCTAACAATGAAAAGACTATTTTTGAATCATATTTAATCTGTTGAAATTAGATTTTTGGATCATTCTAATTGTGTTCTAATAATATTAACATTCGTTGAGAATAGATGTTATTCATAGCATAAGAGATTACTTGTAAATCAATAAAAAACTTAGACGTGTTGAAGAATCAGCTAATAAATTGATTCGTATTTTAAAACGGATGTTATTCGATTTATAAATTAGACAAAAAGGTGAGAAGGTATAAACCTGTTTATTCATGAATTCTATTTTAAATCTAAATAAAGAATTACTGAAAAGAAAATCATATTTTTAGAGTTATTCATTTTTCTAATTAAATGTGTGACGATGTTCATATGTGTCTGGTAAGAATTGTATTTAGAATAAATTTTCCTCTTGTCTCTTTCAGTGAAGTATCAGAAAGAAACTAATCTTTGATGCTATATTTATCATCATATTCATATAGACGTATTTCTAACTAAGACTAACACTGATGAATAATTATGTCAAAAACAAAATATTTCTCTTCTCTAACAAAAAGTGACAAAAACAGACGATATCTGAAGGATACACATACTGACATAGATATTTTTTCCTGCTTGTATTAATCAATTGCAAGTCATTTTTGTATGAATGGATTTGAATAAAGCAGCAGTTTTGGCTCTTACTATTATTCAAATTCCATCTGTCATTTGTGCCACATATATTTTCTTTCAAATTTTTCAACGAACAAGCTCATTACGACGTTTACAAAATCATTTATTCATCTATTTATTGATTGTTGCAACATGGAATATAATTATTGATCTACCGAATACTCAAGTATACTTTTGGACAGGTACTGTCTCCATTTCCACACCTTGGTTTTGTAGATTTTGGAACACATCATATTTATATTCAGCTGCACTTAATCGTTTTCTGATGGCATTCATGGCAATTGAACGTCATTACCTTGTATTTCGTCCTCATTTCTATCATACTCATCGTTCACGACTTCTTTTTCATTATACTCCACTCGTTTTTATGATTTCAGTGATTTTCATCTATGTATTGATTGCAAATGTTTTCGTTTCATGCCCTGGATCAGCTTTTATTTATTCTATTTTTATGTGTGGCTATACATGTGCAGTTCGTTCGACGGATCTTGGGACAATTTATTGTTGGGTGTTTGTTTTCATTCCTACAACGATGACTATTATTGGATGTGTTCTATTACCTATTCGATTTATAATTCAAAAGAGACAACTTCAACGTATTCAATGGCATCGTGCACGAAAAATGATTGTTCAAATGAGTATAATTGCTGGTACATATACTATATGTTGGTTACCATATACAATTGTACTTCAACTAGATATTGCTGGTATCTTACCTTTTTTTGATCCAAATATGAACCGATTTTTGGCATTGATGCCGTACGTAACAAGTTTGTTGACACCATTCATAATTCTTCAAACAATACATGATGAATTAAATCTAGGTCTAGTGGAACGAATAAAACGTCGCTTTTTCCCACAACGACAACGGAAGATTCGGCCAGTTGTTAACTCTGTAGGTAAACAACAAGATTCTGCTAATCGTGAGAAACACACTGCAATTAATCGAAATAAAATCGGGGAAAGTTGATTATCACATTTATTTAGCATTCAAGAAAATATGTGAAACATTGGTGGAAAAAATTATTTTATAATCTTTGTTGTATAATTCAATAAATAATAAAACGTGAAACTTTTACGTATATATATCGTAAACTAAATCTCGGTCGGAAAAGTACAAATATCGAACAATAATACATGCTCATTATCTCACGCTCACTCGTATGATATTGAAAACACGAAATTAGTCAAGCTTTTAGAACAGAGACGAAAATAGATAGAAACTGTCAGAGAAATATACGATCCGGTAAGAAACTGACTATTTGGCAGTTCAATTAAAAAGTTTTTAAGAGTGATTGTTCAAAAAAGTGTATTGATCTGTTTCTGAATGGTTCTGGTTTGCGAGAAAATGAAGAAAAATGACAATCAAATCCTGAAAAAGATGTAATTGTTTTTCGAACTTCCAAATATAGCACTTACAATTGTCGTTCTTCTGATGAAGGCCAATGAAAATTATATCAAAAATATACCAGTATATACTACTTTCTATAGATTATCCGATCATACTAGAACCACTAGAAATGAGTGGATTCTTGAGAAAAAAAATATAAAGTGAAACGTTTTTGAAAACTACTGGATATACAATTCAATTCTTTTGTCTATATTCATATATATTACTAGAATAGTTATTAGATTCTTTTAGATTATTTCTTCTTATATCAATAAAAATAATACAATTTTTTAAAAGAATGTAAATTCGATCTTATATATTGTCGAATCCAATATTTTTTGGTATTCATATAGTTGCTACAAATCTAGCTATCAATCAAACATATAAGATTCACTGCATGATGTACACTCATATGTGTTCCACACCTATTGACTCTAAGAAAATTTTCAACATAACAAATTAGTATTATAACATAAACTTCTTACATAGTATTTTGTATTTATTTCTAAGAAGAACTAATTTACGTGCTAATTTAATATCCTTTATCCTTCTGTTTATTTCATATTCTAATACTTGTCTGATGCATATTTTCATAAGTTAAGTTCACAAAGTACAGTATTTACTTCAATCAACCAGCATTCTCAAAAATAATTTACATGATTTTTACAAGGATAAAAACATCAAGCAATTTAAATATCTTTTTATATGACAAAATCTATTATTTATATTAGACTTGGTCAGCAATTAAGGAAATATAGTTTTTGTTGTGTATTTAAAATTTAATTATACACATCTATAATCATAAAGGTACAAAAGTACAATAACAAACATGTATATATTCCAGTTAAAGAGAAACTTGAAATAAATAACGCTCATTATTTTTTTTATAATGTATCTACGAAATTCTTTTAGTATTATCTAATACGGTGGAGTACACTTTTAGGCTTAACTATTTTTTCCTCGTAAAATCAAAGACAATTATTTACACACGTTGCTCATATGTTTTGCGCACGAGATAAAGTTGAAACAATGTTAATTTCTATCTTCAATAAAACCAAAATAGGACACTTCAAAGTGATAATTATGTCTATATTTAATTTTCCATGATTTTTCAGAATGTGCTATTTCTTCCGATAAATGACAGTAGATAAAAAGATTTCGATTTTTAAAAGTAAAGATACTTTTATCTATACGGTAATCTTGAAAAAGTTTTTTTAATTACGAACTTATCCTCTCGCTTATGAAATAGTAGACAATGAGTTAGCATCTTTTTTTGAGGACATTTAGTATCACTTACAATGAACTTCGTTCTGAAAATCGAAGTTAATTGGTTCTTATACTCAAAAATAGTTTATAGATAATTACAAGCTGTATTAAAGTTGTCTATTTCTGAGTTCATTATACGTTAAATCAATTAAAAGAACTTTTTTCATCCTTTTTAAGTCTAAAAAAAGAAGCTTATACGACTTCATTAAACTATTTAAGATTTTTTAAAACCCCCACTTTAACATATTTGAGAAAAAAGCCAAGGTAAATCTACCGATGCGTAAGACATTAATGATAGAATCATATCTATATAAATGTATAATAAAACAGTCATGACAGGTTATTTTATCCGACAACAGATTTTTGCTTAAAATTTAACTACATTCAAGATGGATAGCAATGGAATAGGAATACTTTTTCTTACTATTATTCAAATTCCATCTGTCATTTGTGCCGTGTATATTTTCTTTCACCTTTTTCAACGAACAAGCTCATTACGACGCTTACAAAACCATTTATTCATCTATTTATTGATTATTGCAACATGGAATATAACTATTGATTTACCTAACACTCAAGTATACTTTTGGACAGGTACTGTCTCCATTTCTACACCTTGGTTTTGTAGATTTTGGAATATATCATATCTATATTCAGCTGCACTTAATCGTTTTCTGATGGCATTCATGGCAATTGAACGTCATTTTCTTGTATTTCGTCCTCAGCTCTATCATACTCATCGTTCACGACTTCTTTTTCATTATACTCCACTCATCTTCATGTTTTCAATGATTTTCATCTATGTATTGATTACAAATGTTTTCATTTCATGTCCTATATCAGCTTTTAGTTATTCTACTTTTATGTGTGGCTATACATGTGCAGTTCGTTTGAATGATCTTGCATCATTTTATATTTGGGTGTTTGTTTTCATTCCTACAACAATGACTATTATTGGATGTGTTCTATTACCTATTCGATTTATAATTCAAAAGAGACAACTTCAACGTATTCAATGGCATCGTGCACGAAAAATGATAGTTCAAATGAGTATAATTGCTGGTACATATACTATATGTTGGTTACCATATACAATTGTACTTCAACTAAGTCTCAGCCATATAGTGTCTTCTAATGCGGCAGATATAAATCGATTTTTAGCATTTATACCGTATATAACAAGTTTGTTGACACCGTTTATAATTCTTCAAACAGTACATGACGAAATAAATCTACCTTTAATGGAAAGAATAAAACGTCGTTTTTTTCCACAACGACAACAAAAGGTTCGACCTGTCATTACTGTTCGAGATCAACAAATAAAACCTGTTGTATTTGAAAAACATAATACATCTTAATTATAACCGAAATTTAATGCTACAGTAAGTGAAGTTATATTTTGGAAAATCTCGGAACAAACAAATTGGATAACTAATTTTGGATTTTTCGAAAGATTAATATTTACTCAAATTTGTAGCAAAATATCAGCTGTATAGATTTTATTCTTTCAACAACTTGTCCTGACGCAATCTCGCTTTATTTATTGACATGTAATTATAATAGAAGGTCAAACTATATTAGTTTAATTTCCATTTGAAAAGATCATTACCAGACTTATCTGCGCTATTTAGTTGTTGAAAATTAAATAGCATGGTTTAGACATAAGAAAAAACATGGTATGACGTATTACTATGAACACCTACCTATAATTTGATCGCAATTAAAATTAAATTTAACAAAAAATAACGGCAGAAACAGGTCGTATATATATATACATATAAAAATGCGAAATTTGTAGTTTCCATTACATTATTATTATTATTATAATGAAGAATGGTATTGCAGGTTTAGTTTGTTTAGCAATCGTTCAAATTGCATCATTTTTATGTGTTTTATATATACTTTTCAATTGTATAAAAAACAAAAGTACATTAAGAAGTCTACCAAATCATTTAATCATATGTCTGTTGGTGGTTTGCAGTTGGACAATAAGTATAGATTTAATGAATACTGAATATTATTATTGGAATGATTTTGTTCCAATTCAAACTACATGGGCATGTCAGTTCTATAATGTATCATTTTTTTCTACATCCACACTCAATCGTTTTCTTATGGCATTTATGGCAATTGAACGTCATTTTCTTGTTTTTCGTCATCAACTTTATCGAACTCGTCGTTCACGTTATTTACTTCATTATTTTCCAATATTAATTATTATTATATATTCATTTACATATTCGATTTATACAGATATCTTTTTAACATGTCCACAACTACGTTTTCGTTATACACGTTTTCTATGTGGTTATACATGTTCATTATTATCAAAAAATGCATCGACAATGTTTTTATGGTTTCAACTATTTACTCCAACAGTAGTTACATGTATTGCATGTTTCTTATTACCGATCAGATTTCTATTTCAAAAAAGAAATTTACAACGTTTACAATGGCGTCGTGCAAGAAAAATGATTGTACAAATGATTATTATTGCTGGTGCATATATATTAAGTTGGTTACCTTATGCAATTATACTCCAACTGGCAACCATTAATCTTATTTCTTTAACTAGTGACACTACTGTAGAATATATGATATTTGATTCTTATGTAACATCACTATTAACACCATTTATTTGTCTTCATACAATATCAGAAAGATTAAAATTAGATATTATTAAACGAATGATTCGTTTTTGTTTTGTACAACGTCAAAATACTGTTCATGTACAAACTGCATTAGCAACAACAAATCAATGTCGTACTGCAAAACCTCCGAATATTTTACCACAAAAAAGAACATCATGTGGAAGTTGAATTTATAAGATATACATTCTATTTTCTTAACTATATATGTTGTATTATTAATGTTGATTTTATTCTTCAATTTAAGATTTTTATCTATGTAACTTTTTTTTCCATAAGAATAAATAAATCTATATCGACATCAAATATGAGAATTCAATGATTTATAGTCTAGAGAAAATTTCTCGACGATTCAAATGATATTACAGTATTTCTCTGTAGCACGCACTTTCTGATATCTTGAATTCGATCTATGACAGGCTTTGATTGAAACAAGTTGAACTGTTTTATTTCAAATCATATTGTTCTGATTATGATCTGTCGGATATGAAATAAACGTTGATTAAATCTAATGTTTATTTTCGACATAGTTTATTCAGCAACAACTGTGTATATAGATAAAATTAGAAGATTGATTTTTTTGATTGTACGATATCATAAATCAGAAGAGAATTGTTCAAAAAAGAACTAATGATTCTTGATAAAAAAAAATAGTTAGAATAGACACAATTATAAAAGTATTAAAATCATTCTGTTTAATTTATTCGATATTTTCCATTATACTTTATCTAATTATTATTGGCTATAGAAAGCTTGATATACCCTCAAGTTAATACACTCATCATGTTTGCTTTCTTATCATCTATCTCTTTTCTATACGTATATATATTGTCTATAGTCATCATATACAATGAGTGATTGATGATAGTCTGATGTTTATATATGTTTTTAGCTTTCGTCTTAACACGTTTGTCTATCTTATATATATATATCTAATCAATCGTTCTTACGGTCACTAAAATCATACACACATTCAATATCAAATGAGAATAAGAAATTCTGGATATCGTTAATCTATGACTGTTCATCTTGAATACATTGAAAGGAAAATTGCTTGAACAATTCTTTTATTTTAAAATTACCAAAAAAAGAAATCAATTGAGGTCAATTATCAAGATCCATCATATTAATCAAATAATATAGTGTATATTTTTCTTTTCAAAAGAAAATGTATATAAAAAGAAAAATGCTTGAGGAGTAGTTAGCAATCGAAGAGAAGTGCTGTCTACTCTATCGATGATTGAATGCACCAATAATATCAACAACGGCTAACATCGTTTGCTTTCTTATACATATATTTCAAAATATATCTGCCGTTGGTAGCAACGGCTTTCTCTCTCGTTCGTCCGCTGTTTCTCTTCCTATTTGAAGAAGAAGAAGAAGAAGAATATAATTCGCTAGTCGGTCATTCTAAACAAAGCTGAATTTTCTTGTTCTTGTTCTTCTTCTCTTCTCATTCTCTCGCATACTTTCTTTCGTGTCCGATTCATTTCATTAGAAAGAAGAGCAAACAACGGTCGTCATTTCATTTCTTCTATATTCATCTGAAATCATTCTTCTTTCATAAAACATAGAAAATGGCAAATGCATATCCAAATAATTTTCAACATTATAATACAAATCGTATGTATTAGACTTTTCTTTTTCTAAAATATTGTTTGATAAATAAAAAAATCTTGATTTAGGTTGGATGGCAAATAATAGTGTACCCGCCCAAGTTGTTAATGTAACAGCACAGGTTGAAAGACCATGTCCAGTTGTTCCACCTGTTTTTGTTTCTTATGTTTATGGATCGCCTATTGGATGGAATGCTGTGGTATGATATGATAAAATTATTTATTCAGTTGTATAAAATTAAATTATCTTTGTTTTCTTAAAGCTTGTTGGTTTATTATCTTGTTTACTTGCTTTGGTTTTTCTATTGACATGTCTTTATTATTTGGCATTTCGTCGTCGTTTTATGAAACAAGTCTCCGATTGTCCATCACCAGTTGTACTTGTTGATAAAACAGCAGCCTCAACAATTCCTGTAACAAGTACATCACAAACGGCTACAACAACATTTATGCATGAACCAGGAAAAGAAACAAAAATCAATACATTTTCAGAACAAGCATCAGGACCAATGGCTGCTGGAGATTTTGTTGTTGGTATGCCAACACTTGGTAATGGACATGCAGCACCATTACTTACAAATGGTCTTTTGGCTAATGGTAATACTGATCCAAGTGAACTTCGTTTACTTCAACACGAACATCATTAAAATGAACGAGTAACAAAAAAAAAAAGTATTTACACTTAGGCAATTTTTTTGTTGTGTTTTTGTTTATGTGTATGTTATCTTTGTTTCAATAATGAATGAATACAAAAATGATCTTGTCTGTAATTCTCTTTATATGTGTGTGCGTATATCTGTATTCAAATATTTGTGCAATACTTTCTGTGCTTCTTTGTTATGTGTTTATCTTTATTTGCTGAAAATAATAAAATATCATTTATCATTCTTTCACAAATCATAGAAATTGAAACAAATTTTCTTAAAAATTTTTTTTCATTGAAAAACATAGTATTTTGAGGTTACGATCATATATGAAAGAAATACTTATTAAATTTATTTTCAATAATTTTGAAGTGTTGTGTTGTATAATTCGAATATTTTCGTAATTAATTTCATACTATTCACTGATTGTACTTATCTAAATTCAATCATTTGAAAAGTACATAACAACGTGACTCTTTGATTCAGTTATATTAACTAATGTTATGTCACTTTTGTTTCGGTTCGCTAACTGCTTTTTTTTTAATTAGAAAAGCTTTGAATATTTATAATGACGTAAAACGAAGGAATCGCAATTAAAAAAAAATAGAAACGATGACTATTTCATACCATATATTAATGCAAAAAAAATAGAATATTAAAATAAAATTTTACTCTGTATAATTTATTAAAAAATAATAGTACGATACAGTACTTGTGAATACCCATAGCATTTATAAAGCAAAGGAATAAGTCATAATTTAATATATGCACACTTTCTCATCGTTCTACTTGACTGATTCTTCGTACGCGTTCTCACCGCACTTTAAGTTTATCAAGTGAATTCGATATAAACACGCGTTTTTTTCCTTACTTCATCTGTTTTGTTTAAATGTCAATACGTAAATAACATTGCCAGACAGACAGTAGAAACATCTATGGTAAATTATATACATACTGAATTTTTAATTGCAATAATTTTTTAATAGGATTCTCAAGCTAATGGACAGAAGGCTCCCTTTCGAAATTATCCAGTCAGCACTTTAGGCGATTATGTTCGACAACATGTATGTTTCGAAAAAAAGAATCAATTATTATATTTTTATTTATTTTATTGTCATAGAACTCATCTTGGCGTGCAAATCATTATTCAAACAAACAACCTAATCTTGAATGGTATCAATATTTAAGACGACAAGCAGATTTAGAAAATCCACCTGGTATTCCTTATGGTAAAAGACGAAAACCAAAGCCAAAACCAAAACCACAAAACAGAACACAAGGAACAATGCTTTATGATGATGGTGATTTAGGTATAAGTAAAGTAGATTTTACTTCACCACCTGTTACTCTTACATGGCTTGATTTACAAGCAAAAGCACCACCGAAAGATAAAGGTCTTAGACGAACAATAAAAAAAGCACTTTGTCCATGGAAAGAAGTCGGTGAATCAAAATTATTACTTAAAGGAGGTGAGAGATTAAAAAACAATATTTTTTCAAATAAAATTTGTGATTTATAATTAAATTAGTTAGTGGTATTGCTAAACCAGGACAATTGGTTGCTATAATGGGTGCTAGTGGTGCTGGTAAAACTACATTATTAAATATTTTGACACAACGTCGACCCGGTACATTGAAAGTAACCGGTGACGTAAGAGTTAATGGAACAAAAATGGATAGAAATATCAATCGAGTATCAGGCTATGTTCAACAAGAAGAATTATTTATAGCATCAATGACAACACGCGAGCATCTACATTTTAATGTAACTATTTAATTTCTATGAAATAATAATTTGTCAATATAATTATTTTCAATTTAGGCTATGTTAAGATTAAATCGTGATGTAACAAAAGAGGAACGTATTAAACGTGTCGACGAACTACTTGACTTTGTAATATATAATTAAAATAGTATTTATATAAATTTGTTTTTTTTTATTCATAGCTCAATTTAAAAAAAGCAGAAAAAACAATAATTGGTGAACCTGGACGTATTAAAGGTTTATCTGGTGGAGAAAAACGACGTTTATTATTCGCGTCTGAAGTATGATATATTTATTTGGTTTTAATTTTAATTTTATTTTTTATATAATTATAGGTTATGACTGATCCACCTTTATTATTTGCTGATGAAGTAATAATTTCTACATTGATGTAAAAAATAATTTTTATTTTATTCTAGCCAACATCAGGTCTTGATGGAAGTATGGCATTTACCATATGCGATGCAATGCGTAAATTATGTAATCAAGGTAAAACAATTGTATGCACAATTCATCAACCATCAAGTGAAATTTTTCAATTATTCGATACGTAAGATTACTAAGAAAAAGATTTTTGTTAGTATTTAATAAACTATATATACATTATTTAGGCTTTATTTATTGGCTGAAGGACGTGTAGCTTATTTTGGATCTCGAAAGAAAGTTGAAGGATTTTTTAGCGGGTAAAATATGAATAGGAATTTACAATTATTGATTATAATTAATATATTTATTTAGATTAGGTTATGTAGCACCAGACAATTATAATTTATCGGATTTTTTTATACAAACATTGGCTATACTACCATTTGATAGAGAAGCATCATTAGAACGTGTTGAAGTAAAAGAAATTAACGTTTAATTACGATTTTTATTATTATTATTTTTGATAGCATATTTGTGATGAATATGAAAAGTCTCCACTTTATGCTCAACATATTGGTGAAGCTCGACAATATCATGAAATTGATGATGATCAATCAAATTCAACAGGTGGAATATTTCATAGTTCATCAAAGTCTGTTTTAATAATGAAAATTTTCAATAAATAAGTCTTATTATATCTTCTATATAGATATAAATCTAGTTTTTTCCGTCAATTTCGTTGGTTATTATGGCGTTCAGGAATTGATATGTTTCGTAATCCATTTCAACTTCGTTTACGCATAATGATATCAATAATTCTTGGTGTTCTTCTTGGTCTTCTCTTCTTACGTTTACAATATAATCAACTCGCATTTCAAAATATATCAGCTATTATATTTATGCTTATTATTAATATATCATTTTCAACTGTTCAAGGTACTGCAGATGTAAGTTTCGATAGAAAATTTAATCTATGTTTTTATTATTATTATTATTTCATTGAATAGGGTCTAAGTCGACAATTAAATTTATTTTTTAAAGAACATGATGATGGAATTTATCATACAATACCTTATTTTGTAGCAAGATTTGCTTTAGAATTACCAGTACTAGGATTATCAACATTTATATTAGGAACTATCGTTTATTGGATGACAAATCTATATAATAGCGCACGACATTACTTTATCCTACAAGGAATTCTTATTTTATGTACTATAGTTGCAATGTCTGTCGGTAAGTTAAATTCAACAGAGAAAAAAATCGTTGAGAAATTCAAACTTTATATATTTTCTATTAGGTACATTAGTAGGAGTATCTGCTCCAAGTCCTGACGTTGCAGTTGCATTAGTTGTTCCAATTGTTCTTCCTCTTCTTGTCTTTGCTGGCTTTTTTATAAGTGCAAAGTATGTAAAAAAAATGAAAACTCAATAGATTATTATAACATATCGAATTATTATTTTAGAACAATACCTAATTGGCTTATTTGGATAAAATATCTATCATGGCTTTATTATGCAAATGAAATGGCTTTAATTAATCAATGGGAAGATGTAAACTCACTCGAATGTAACGCAAGTGGCAATTCAACATGTTTTGGTAATGGTACTGATATTATTAATTATTATGGTTTTAGTAAAGTATGTTAAATGAAATGCGGTTTTTTCAAATTTCTTATTATATATTCTGTTTTTAGAGTCATTATAGTCGTAATTTGGGTTTACTTTTTGCTATATTTGGTACATGTACATTATTAAGTCTTTTGATTTTGATCTTACGAGCAAAATTTCAACGAAAAACTGGATAAATAACTAATCTATTTTGCATAACCACTTTTTATTTTTTTATAATGTGATATTTTTATAAATAAAAATAAAAAAAAAGTAGTACAGAAACAATAAATTCTTTCTCATAATATGACTATGTATTGAAATATAATGCTTACAGTTAATATCTGTTGTTTGTTAAAGCAATATTTTACATTATAAAACGATAGATATAGTCATGTTTTGATAAAATATGTTTAATATCAAGCAATTTTCTTTTTTTCTTTTTTCTACATTATTTTCATTATTATGAGTAGTTTAAAATGTTTATATATATGCATATATACGCGTTAGAAAATGAATGTCCATCTTTCACGTAATATTCTTCTTTTTCTTGCTTGCTTGCGCTCTTTCTCTCTGTTACATCGATTTGCATTATATCTAGCCTTGGGTTTACGTATGTACGATGATGATGATCATCATCTCACCTTTATATATACCTCATCCCATCGGCAAGGGGAAGAGAAAGTGGGAGATTATTACGCGCGTAACGTATTTTTTACGCGCTTGCTTGATATTCATCTATTTTCTAAATTTGACTTTCGATTACACATTTCATATATAATATACTTCAGATCATGTCTCGTGGCGGATCTACTAGACAAAGCAAAGCAATTGGAATTGATTTAGGTACAACATATTCATGTGTTGGAGTATTTCAACATGGTAAAGTTGAAATTATTGCTAATGATCAAGGAAATCGAACAACACCATCATATGTTGCATTTACACAGACAGAACGTTTAATTGGTGATGGAGCAAAAAGTCAAGCAGCAATGAATCCATCAAATACAGTATTTGATGCTAAACGTTTAATTGGACGACGTTTTGATGATGAAACAGTACAAAAAGATATTAAATTATGGCCATTTAAAGTTGTTCATGGTAAAGATCGAAAACCATTTATTGAAGTTCAATATAAAGGTGAAAGAAAAGTATGAAATAATCAATAAATTTTTAGTTGTAACAAAAAAAAATAAAATTTTTTCTTTTTTTTTCTTGAATATTTTTAGTTATTTTCCCCGGAAGAAATCTCTTCAATGGTATTAACAAAAATGAAAGAAACAGCTGAAGCATTTTTAGGTATTACTATTAAACAAGCTGTTGTTACTGTTCCCGCATATTTCAATGATTCACAACGACAGGTAATAAAATCGAATTTACTTATACAAAAAAAAGTGACATTGTAGTTTATTTTCGTATATATTTATTTTAGGCAACAAAAGATGCAGGTACAATAGCTGGTCTTGATGTTCTTCGTATAATAAATGAACCAACAGCTGCTGCACTTGCTTATGGTCTTGAAAAAAAACTTCATCGTGATCAAAATATTCTTATTTATGATCTTGGTGGTGGAACATTTGATGTATCAGTTTTAACAATTAGCGGAGGCGACGTTGGTGGTTCGGTATTTGAAGTAAAAGCCACTGGTAAGTGAAGAAAACGTATTCAAAGAAATATATTCTATTTTCTTTTAGCTGGAGATACTCATTTAGGCGGTGAAGATTTTGATAATCGTTTAGTACAACATTTTGTTGAAGAATTTCGTCGTAAACATGGTAAAGATATATCAAAACATACCAAAGCTGTACGTCGTTTACGAAGTGCATGTGAACGTGCTAAACGAACATTATCATCATCAACAACAGCTTCAATTGAAATTGATTCACTTTTCGAAGGTATTGATTTTAATACACAAATGAGTCGTGCTCGATTTGAAGAACTTAATATGGTAAAATAATATTTTTAATTTCAAAACACGAAATTTATTATTTCTATGAATAGGATATGTTTCGAGGTACAATTGGTCCTGTTGAACAAGCACTTCGTGATGCAAAATTACAAAAACGTGATATAGAAGAAGTTGTTTTAGTTGGTGGTTCAACACGTATACCAAAAGTTCAACAATTATTATCTGATTTTTTTAATGGAAAAGCTTTAAATAAAAATATTAATCCTGATGAAGCTGTTGCATATGGTGCTGCTGTACAAGCTGCTATACTAAGAGGTATTTAGAAACAACACAAAAAAAAAACGAACTAAACTAAATTAATTCTTATTTATATAGGTGATCAAAGTGAAATGATTAGAGATGTATTACTTATTGATGTAACACCATTATCAATGGGTATTGAAACAGCTGGTGGTGTTATGACCAAATTAATTGAACGTAATCAACGTATTCCATATAAAAAAGGACAAACATTTACAACCTATGCCGATAGTCAAGTAAGATTAAATATGATATAAAAAAAAAGAAAAATTTTGTTTTATTTTAGCCAGCAGTTACTATTCAAGTATATGAAGGTGAACGTTCAATGACAAGAGATAATCATTTATTAGGTAAATTTGATCTTGAAGGTATTCCACCAGCACCACGCGGTATACCACAAATTGAAGTAACATTCGATTTAGATGCTAATGGTAATGTTTATATAAATAAAAAATCTTCTTTTTTTATTATTATAATATGAATTTTTAAAGGTATTCTTCATGTTACTGCTGAAGATAAGAGTACAGGACGAAATAAAAAAATTGAAATTAAAAATGATAAAGGACGTTTAACACAAGCTGAAATTGAACGTATGGTAAATGATGCTGAAAAATATCGTGAAGATGATGATCGTACACGTGATCGTGTTAATTCACGTAATCATCTTGAAACATATTTATATTCATGTAAACAAGCAGTGGAGAATTATAATGGTTCAGCTATAAGTGATTCAGAAAAATCCACAGTTATAAATGCTTGTGAAGAAATGCAAAGATGGTTAGATAGAAATCTATTAGCTGATAAAGAAGAAATTGAACATCAATATGTTGATTTAGAAAGAAAATGTCAACGTATTATGACAAAAATGCATAATGCTGCTGGTGGTGGTGGTGGTGGTAGTAGTAGTAGTAATGGTACCAATGGTATCGGTGGACAACCATACAGTCGAAGTCAAACAAATGCTGGTGTACATTCAGGTCCACGAGTAGAAGAAGTTGATTGAAAAAAACAAATTTTTTTGAACTTCTCTCATAAATCAGTGATATTAATTTAATTCTGTAGCTTTTTTTTGCTTTTTCATCAAAATCTATTGGTGTGTTTCTTTTTTAAATAGATAATTTTCAAAAAACTATAAATCGATACTTGTCACCATAATGTTATGATTATTAAACTTTATATAATGAAGTTTAAAGAATAAAAATTCTGATGTTATAATAACGATTTTATTTTTTTTTCTTTCTTTCTAAACAACAATAACGATGTAACAAAAAAAACAACGACGGGAAAATTATTAATTTTTCAAACGTTTCACATTCTTTTTATGATATCGTTCTTTTGCGCCTAATTTAGCACCACGATTTGCACCGCGTTTAGCTGCGCCAACGATTTGTTCAAATTGACCTTTGAATTTACCTCGTTTTCTATACAAAAAAAAATTCTCAATTAATAATATTTCATTTAGAAATTTATTTAATTACCTTTTATTCAAAGCATTAAAGTCAAGTTTGATATAAGCATATGGATCATGTTTATTGGCTAATTTTCGATCACCACCCGTACCACGCTATTGAAAAGAAAAAGATAAATGAATAGATTAAGATTAGTTTTTATAAATACTTTAGTTTTATAAGCATCTCCTGGTCGTTGTTTTTGTTTTGCTGGTTGATTTAATTGACGATGAATACCACCACCACCGGCTTAAGATATAAAGAAAAAAATATTTGTAAAATTCAATGATTTATTCATGAAAAATTACCTCGATATTTTGAATGAACACTTTGACTTTGTTTATCATTATATTGATAATCATCGTGATCGTCATCATCATTATCATCATTGTCAAAAGTACGTTTTCGTTTATTTTTTGCTCGTTGACTTAATGATAATGTTTCCATTAAATCTTTAATATCTTCTCGATTTAAATCATCACCATCATCAGATTCTTGTTCTTGTTGTTGATTACCTTCATCATCATCAACATCGATTATAATACGACCATCAGGTGCAGTACGAAAACCTGAATTATTTCGTTTATTTCTTGCTGCTTTTTTCATTGCTTCTGTTTCACGTGTTGTTAAAGGTTTTGTTGCTAGAATAGAAATAAAATCTAGATTTCAAAAAGAAAACAACAATATCAACATACCATAGATATTTCTAGCTGCTGTTGGTTCAGTTAAATCAATCGGATTACCATCATCAGTTTCTTTAATCCATAAATTTGATTGTTTTTCTCGTCGTCGTTTTGTACTTGCTGTTGTTCGTGCTGTTGCAATTGTTCGATCATCATCTATTCTACCAAGATGTTGTTCATCATCATCGGAATCATCAAGTAATTGATCGATAGTAAGTTTTGGTTTAACAGTAAATGTTGTTTCATTATCATCAACATATTCATCTTCATCATCAACTTTTGTTATAACACTTTGACCAATAGTTGATGTACCTTTACGACGACGTTCTTTACGAACATGCATCTTATTTATATAAGATAATTGAGGATGAAAACTAGCTGGAAAGAGATCACGTAAAGATTCAAACCTAGAAAGACAAATTTATTAACTCGTTTTTTTAATAATTCATATGTTTTACCCAAATATTTTGATTAATTTTTGTAAAATTAATTTGAGTTTTGAACGATATGTAAAATTATTTTCTTCACGCATGATTGTTAATGAATGAGCCTAAAATAATAAGAATATTAAAAAAAATTTATTAATAAAATATTTTTGTTTTTACTAATTGTTCAATATATTTTGATAGAGTCGTTTCATTAACAATAATGAGTAAAACACGACAGAAACTTAAAGCTGCTTGAACAACTTGTCTTTCTTTTGATTGAAGAACAAGTATTAATGTTGATATAAGTTCATCAACAATGGTTCCAGCTAAATTCTCTCGAAATTCAAGACATAAACGACTTATAGCAAGTAAAGTTGCTGATGACATTGATGGTGAATGTGGACTAATAAGACCGGCCATTAGAAAATGAAAGAAATCAGTCAATGAATCTAGAATTCATATGTATATAGAAATAAATTGAAAATTAAAATCGAAAAATCAAACCAATAAATGATTTTTCACTAAGTGTTGTCCAAAGACGTGTACATTTAATAATAATTATATAAGCATCATGTCTTGTTCTTCCATTGATTTCATGAAGACATTGGACAGTCTATGTTAAAAGTCGAAATAAAATAATTTTTTTTATTAAAGTCTATATATATACTTGTGGTATAATTTGTTTTAACGTTGGAATTGTTTGATTAGTTGGCATATCAAGTAAACTTGAAATACAACGAATTTGTGGCTAAAAGTTCAAGAATACATTTCATTGTTTTTTTCTTAAGAATTAAACTACAGACTCCTTTCAAAGCTGATTGAGATTTTGTTAGTGATGCAAGGAGATGTTCAAGTAATAATTTTGAACGACGTTCATCAATAAACTGTTGAATAGTTAACGTCGAACGTGTACATAATTCTTCCAAAATTCGATAAGCTTTTTTCAGTACACTTCTTTTTACACTTCCGTCTTTCTAAAAAAAAGAAAAAGGAAATGTAAAGATTAATATATTTCTTGTAAATACCATTGCAAATAATTGTTTTAATTTATTTTCTAATAATTCTAAACGTTGTGCATCCAAATAAGGTGCTAATGCTAAAATGATATCCAACAAATACATCCTATAATAAATAAATAAAATCTTTTTCTGAAATAAATCAATTTCCTACAATGTTGTTTGATCAGTTTCTGTATTTTGTGTTTTTTCTAAACTTTTATCAAAAAATGTTTGACATAATGTATGATCTGTAATTGTCAAATAACGTTTTATTGTTTCAAATACACTTGCACGTACTGCATCACGTGATGCACTCCATTTTTCACTTGTATATAAATTAAATAAAAGTGGTAAATAATTTTTTGCATATTTGCCAATTTCTTGTTGTTCAGATTCTAATTAAATAAAACCAAAGATTTTTTATTCAAAAGAGAAAACTTAATTATTTTCTTTACCATCTTCAGTTTTCGATATAAGATTTCTTAAGCCAGCCAATAGATATATTCTTAAATCGGGTCGTTTTGTTAATGATGTACCAATACCTTTAGCAATTAATTTAAAACTTGTTGAAATATCTGTTGCATGTGAGCAATAAGCAGGAAATAATGACCAAATTTGATCTTGTAATGTAGATAATACTGTTGAATTTGTTAAATCACCTTTTTCACGAAGATTTTCAGCTATAATAAAGAAATCAAAACACAGAGATAATTACGAATTCAGAAAAATACGTTATCGGAATGTAATACTTTACAAAAACTTAAGTCAAGTAATTCCGAAAAGAACAAAATCCTTTCAGATGTTCTCATTAGGGATGTGCGGTGTCAGTTAGACATGACCCAAACCTAAATTCAAACCCAAACTCCGAAATAGTTTGAATTTGAGTTTGGGACTGGGTCATGTCTAGTGTCGGTACAAATACAGAAAAAACTGACACTGAAGTCACCGAGTGTCGGCGCGCCGACATCAGCAGTGCTTCAGTGTATTCCAGTGATCAGTAAACTGATACCGCACATCCCTAGAGACGTTCTCCTAGAAATTATTAAATAAATGAAAACTAACCAGTTGTTTGTAATTGAAATGCAATTGGTAAAAAATAGGCAACAAAATGATTTAATTCAGTATGTGTGATATTATCTCGTAATAATGGTAATAACCATGATTGATCTAATTGAACATCTTTTATTGTACCAGTTAAATTTAATGGTATTACTTGTAAAATATTTTTTGGTCCAAATACTTGAATTGCTTTACCAACAGTTGAATCTAATTCAGCTAAAAATGAAAAATCTTTTGTTGAACGAAGACCAGATAACGATGATAAACACTAAAATAAAAATAAAGTTTAAGAATGATATTTATTATTTCTTTTACATTTTGACACAATTCAAAATAAGTTTTTCCCATTAATGAAAACATAGCACCAAGTAAATGAAGAACACAATTCCATGATAATGTATATGCATATGTTAAACCATGTTCAACAAGTTGAAATAATTGTTTTAATAATGGATTTGAACGTAAAGTATCAATTTGAGGTATTAATATTGTTTTTATTATTGTCTAAATTTACATAATGATTTTAATTAATGAAATAAAACAAAATTTACTTTGAGAACAGTTGTAGCTTTTGTTTGTACGCGTTTATAAACAGAAAGAAGACATTCATTGATACATATTTCAAATAATTTTGAAATATATCCAAGACATGTCACTGAATCTGAACGATGAAAAGCACAATATGCTCGACAAATACCATCTAACCAAGTAATCATTTGTTGTTGATCATTTTTAGCTGGTTGACGATCGAGTAATGTCTAACAAAAAAAGGAATATTTTCCATTTCCTATTGTAAGAATAAATCTATATATTTACTTGTATAACACGTGCATTAACTTGAATCATTGATGCATTCGTTGCTCTTGTTCCTAATGTTGTCTTAGAAAATTGTGATATTCGATCAATCTCATGTTTTATTGATGTTGAAGGTTGAATATCAACTAATGATTGTTTCGATGATGGTAATGATGCTAGAAGTTGAAGTTTAGCAGCATCTCGATGTTTTGTTCGAGATGGATTAGATGAACTTGCTCCATGTTTTTTCCATTTTGAAACAAGTTTATTATTGGTATTATGGAAACGTACTCTCATATTTTATCTTGAAAATAAATCAAAGAAAAAAATGTAAACAAAATTTCTTGCATAGTGTAAAAAATATATCAAATTGTTATATAAATAAATTATTACAAAGAGCTTTCAGCATCAAAAAAAATATCATCATCATCATCATCATCTTCACTCTCAATATTTTCTTTCACATATTGTTTCAATATATTTTCTATTGGAAGCATATCTCGCTGAATTCGTTTTTGCCAATGAGTTCCTTGCCAATAAACTTTTCCACATCCACGACATATATAAAATTTATCATAAGAACGATAATTTCTCAATGTTAAACCTTCTAAAACTAATGGAACACTTTCATTAGTTAAGGTCATACGATCCATATCAATCATTTCTGGTTGATAATTAACAAGATCAGGTTCAAGTTCTTCCAAAGAATTATTACTTATTTTACACCATAAAACACGAACATCACGAGCACTCACAATAGCATAATCATTACCATTACATATCTATACAAAAAAACAAAATAATAAGAAAAAATAGTAAATATAAAAGAAAAGATCTTACAGTACACCGAGTAAAAATATCTTCTGGTAATACATTTACATTGAAATGTTCAAGAACTGCTCGACATTGTTTACGAGCTGTAACGTTTAAAGGTGGTTGCCAACAACGACCTTCAACAGCATGAGATCGTAACTAATTAGATGAAAAATATAACACAAGTAGACATATATATGTAGTAAAATTTCTTATATTTAACTTACTAGATTATATGGTGCACCACGAGATAAAATAATTCGATCTTCGGATCGAGCATACTATTAGAATATATATATATATATTAGAATATTTTTTTGAATTCTACTTACTCTAATAGCAGCTGTATGTGGATCATCATTACCTAAAATCACTGTATCACAGCCAGCAACACGTAATTCTTTTCCTAAACCATGTAACATATTGTCAACAACAAATTTGATTTGAGAAGGACGTATCATTTCCGCTGAAATCTGTGAATTTAGAACAAAAAAATAATAATTAATTCTATTTTTGTTTCTTACTTGATTAACATCATCTGATTTTTGAGAAGAATCATTGTTATTATTTGTATCTTGCCAATTTTTATCTATTTCACGAGCAATAGCTGAATCAAGTTTTTTCGGTTTTTTTCCACGAAATGTTTTTAAATAATCAGATGATTGAAAACGATTAGAAAGAAATTTATAAATTTCAAGTAAACAATATGCATCACTTGCTGAAAATAAATAGAATATTTTAAAATTTCGTTGACAAAAAAGTATATATTTACCAGCATATGATAATTGAGCACTTCGTAATGGTCGTCGTTCCCAATTTGAACATTGTTCTGATTTATTTAATGGTTTACCAAAACATAAACGAACTAATTCACTAAGACCTTTATCTTTCGATGGTGTTGTATTATTTACTATAGCATATGGAAATATATCTCGTTGAACAGTTAATAACTATAGGAACAAAAGATAATATGAAATAGAATAAATATGAAATGATTTACTTCAGATTGAACAAGAGATAAATCGAGTAGAGTTTTGCCAGAGAAAAGTGCTTCATTAAAAATAGGAAAAGAAGCAGCAAGCATAGCAGCATCAGTTTTAAAACCATAACCTGGAGATGAATAGAAATATTGAATATTTATTTATATAATTCTTACTTACAAAGTAATGTCACTTGATCATCATCAAATAATCGATTTGCTAATCGTCGTTGAATCGTTTCAGGATCACAAGTATGAAAAAAATGAAGTAAATCAAGTAGAAATACTTCATTTGATAACGCTATTTGCATTATGCTTATATGTTGTTTAGATGTTGAAGTATTATTAAATACTGGTTTCCATTCACCTAAATAAAATTTATTAAAATAAATAATGAATTTTCATTGATCAGTTTAAGTACAAACTATGATAAAATCAGTGAATAAAATAACGCTAAGAGTTACTTACATCTCCTATGAATAGGCTGAAGATATCAGGCATGAAAAGTTAGTATTTCTTGAATACGAATGTAGAAATAAATATTGAATAAATAACTTACAATCAAATCCAATAAATACTTCTTCATTATTGTTTTGAAATAATCGATCAAGTAAACGTTCATAGGTTACCATTGAATCAACAAAAATGATTTGATTATTTTCTACTGGTATTTTATAATAATCAATAACCGGTTTTTCTCGAACAGGATCATCACGTATGGGTGGATTTGTTTGACTATTTTGTTTGATATGAATATATTGTTGAACCTTTTAATAAAAATTATAATAATTCATGATAAACAATAAAGAAATTTCTCTAAAATCTACATACCCAAGTTGGTAATGTATAATAAGGTCGATCCAATTGCGCCACTAAATAAAAGATAATATGTAAAACAACAAAAATCTATTCATCCTTTTACTCCAATATTTCACAGCAACAATATCATCTTTATCAGCTATTATTTCAATTAAATATTCAGATAAATCTGCATTTCCTTGTACAATATCCTTTAAATAAAAAAAGAGATTAAAAATAAATTTTTCACATTTGTTTCTTTTCTATTTACTCCAACTAATTCATTCCAACATTCATCACTCATTGTTTTTTCATCATTAAGTCCATTATATTTAACATTAATCAAATAATTTAATGTTCGTTTTTGTTGTAATATTGCTAAATTTGGATATTTTTCATTTTCTTCATGACCATATAAATTCCAATAACGAACAACTAATTTTGAGAGATTTTTTTTATTGAATGTTACATTATTTATATTATATTCATTAGATAATATTTCACGAATTTTTTTTCCATTATTCTCATATAGATGATTTAATAAATTCAGTAAATATTCTTCATATTGACGAGTTTTATTTAAATACATATCAATAAGATGTTCTTTTAAATTGATAATTAATGGTAGAAGAATTTCATTTGGTTGAAATTCTAATTGATAATCAAATCTAACAATTATATGTAATGCACGTTTATATATCGATGAATTTGTTGGAAAATTCAATGAAGTTCTTAATAGATTAATTAAATATTCTTTTGAAATATTAAAGATTTCAATAAAATCTTTTAAACATATTATTGGTAAAGATTTCGAAATCAGATTATTGATTAGAGTTTCATCGAATTTTAATTGAGATGAAGATTTATGACATTGAATGAATGAATGAAGAAGACAATTTATTAAATTTATATTATTATCATTATCAGAATCAGAAACACATAATTGTGAAAGATTTTCAAGTAGATCTTCGAATGGTTGAGATGATTGATTGAAATGTTCGAAAGCAAAATTTATAGCATCATTTTCATTCGTGGAATGATATTTATCGGATAATGCTGTTAAAAATGAAGCCATGATTTTTGATCTAAAATAATGAATTTAAATTGCACTTATAGTTAGTTACGCAAGCCAAAGAATCGAAGAAATTATTTTACCAAATATTATTTTTATATTTATTAGTAGAACTATTTCAGCAAATCAAATTTCGTATTTAAGAAGAGAAAGATGACACTATATATCGAACGTGTAATACGGAGAACGCATAAAGAACATATTTTTGGTCGAATTCAAGAAGTATGTTTGATTGTGAATGCATTCGTTAAGTTTCGTAATTAGACTTTTATAAGAAATATTTTTATATTGACCAAATGACATTGATAGTTACAAATATACACTGATATTAGTTGATTATTCTCTCTCTTATAGATATGATCACTTACTACACTCTCTCGAGATAAATTTGTTTTGTGTAGAGTTGATTGACTAGTGTTTGCCAAGTTAAGACTTGCCTCCATCAGAATATACAGAACGTTTATTTACATAATTAAAAAAAGGCTTTCAAAGAGTCTTAAGGACGCAAAGAAGATAATACCGCACACTAAAAGGTAAGCCGATTAACAAACGTTGTGTCGTAATTATTTAATTGTTCTTTTTTTTTGTGTTAGATAGTTATTTTGAGATTTATACAATTCTATGGAACACAATACACATCTTTTACTGTAATTATAAAATATATATACTGATTCTTTCTCTTTTACTATACAGTTCATATCTTTAATCCAAACCCACTTTTCTCCACAAAGAACGGATACAATAAAACAATTCTATCTTGGCCAATTGTTAATCTAGTTCGATTACCTTTGTGTGTGAATTTCGATCTAAGATATCCTATGTCAATTCTTTTGAACAACTGGTTTATCAAGAATATAGAAAGTGATGTTTGATCAATAAATCATTGATTGAAGATAGTTAATCGAACAAGTATCTAAAACTTTATTAGTAAAAACTAAGCTAAACAGAGCGTTTTTAATAAATAAGAACGATTTATATTGATCATAATGACTGATAGCCAACTGTAGTACCAACATTATCAATTCGACCAGATGGATTTTCAAAAGAATGTGTTCCTGGTTGGCGTTTACGCCATACTTGACCAGCATTTATTTCTGCATAGATTGTTTCAACATTTTTTGCTTTTGTTTCCGGTACGAAGAAAAATGTTCCCAAAAAAAATATTAATAAAAATCCAGTAAATAATAAAAATGTATATTTATGCATAACATCCTTGAGAAAAATAAAAGTTAAAACGTATAATATAAAATTTTGTTAAATTTTACCGTAAAAAGAGGCTTAAAACTAAGGCCAACTGCAAAATTAGCTGACCAATTAACTAATACTGCAATACTTGAAGCTGGTACACGATATGCTTGACTAAATAATTCCGCTGTAATTAACCATGGTATTGATCCAGGTCCAATACCAAAAAATGCAACATATAAAATAGTCATAACAAGTGACATCATATTCCAAAATGGAGTTGGTTGAACAAGAAGTGATATAACAAGAATAAGACTTGTTATAAACATTCCACCGATACCTGTAAGATGAAGAATACGTCGGCCAAGACGATCCATAAGAAAAACACTTATTATTGTTACGATAATATTTGCTCCACCTAAACCTAAATTTGCATATGAAGATACTTCTTTACTGAAGCCAGCTGATTGAAATATCGATAATGAATAATAAATAACGGCATTGATACCAGATAATTGTTGAGATAATTGAAGAAATACTGTTATAAGTAATGCCCAACGTACTGTTGGTGTTGTAAATAAATCAATCATTCGAGCCTGAATATAAAATATATGAAAGAAAATTAAAGGAAATAGAAAAATTCTATACTGAATTTTGATTTTGACTTTGTTCATCTTGCATAGCAGATATTTCAGATTGCACATTTGGTTGTTGACGAAGCCACTGGAGTGCTAAAAATAAATAATAATTACCAAACTATTCTATCATATTCATTTTTTCAATCTTCGAGTTATATGTGCGTTAGTCTATCAAGTACTAGTTACTACGTATTAAATTATTAAAAATTACTGTGTACTACATATCATTCACACTGAATAACCTATTCAGTAAAGTTTGTCCGTATCGAACTGTTGACTTAAGCTAATCAGATATTTATTTTCTTCTTAATTGTAATATTAACCAAGATCGTATATTTTAGTATTTTTTATTGTTCATTCATTTAATCCAAATATTTTCGTTTATTACTTCAAGGTTTTACTGATTAATACCCATCTAAAATCCTGATGTCAATATATTTAACATGAGCTTTAAAATTTATGGAAATATATATATATATATGTGAATGATGAAGGATCAATTATAACTATCATTTCAATCTATTTCTCGACAAAACAAAACATGTATTCAACGACAATATTTCTTCTTGCTTTTGGTTTTTTGGCAACAGCTATTATGGCACGTCCAGAACATCATCATGAAAATACAGATAATGAAATATCTGACGAACTTGATGAAAATAAATGGTCGACATATCGTTTATCAAATAATATTCGTGTACCTCAGGCTTTATCTGCAAAATTAGGACGTCCACATCCAACATTTACTGTCAAGAGAATCTTTAATGGAAAATATGTTCTGATCAGTCCAGCTCTTATTTTCAAAGTAAAAGAAACTGATACAGAGACAAGTACAACTACTGAACAAACAAATATTGATCAAGAATCAACAACATCTGCAACTATTGATGAAACTTCATCACCAACAGAAGGAGAGGAAGAAGAATCTACAACAGCAATGCCACCATTCTTCAAACGACGATCACTTACAAATAATAAAAAGGAAAAATTATTCTTTTTTGATGAGTAATAATCTCAGAAAAATTTAACTTTTTAATCAAGCACTGTAATTTTTCTTCTATTATAAAAAAAAATAAACGAACCTTTTTCAGCTTCAACTGAATTATTTTTTTTAATTAATAAATACTTTGGACTTTCTGGTACAAAACAAAGTAAGATTACTTGTAAAACACTAAGTACAATTGGTAAACCTAAAATAAAGAAAAACGAAGAGTAAATCTTTTTATATTAATTCTTAAAATAATTTTTACCTAAAGCATAATGCCATGTAGTTTCAGAACCCAATATTGGTTTTAAACTAATTACTTGTGAAACAAAAAGTAGAAGAACAACTCCTAATTGAAATGAAGCTCCTAATGTACCACGTAGATTCATAGGAGATACTTCATTTATATAAGTTGGAGCTACGGATGAACCATAACCTATATTTATTTTCAAAATTAAATAATCAATAGAAGAATTTTATAATTATTACCACAAGCAAGTCCAAGAAAAAATCGTCCAATAATTAAAAGTTCATATGAATAAAAAGGTTTTGACATAAACATTAATATACAAGCAAGAAAAGACACTATGTTATTATAAAACATTCCACCTTTTCTATAGAAAAAATAAATACATAAAAATTTTTATTTAGAATTGATCATTACCGTCCTAATCGTTCAGTAACGAAACCACCGAACAAACCACCTAACATACCGCCAAGAGCAAAAATAGATACAGCAAATGAACTGAAAAAAGCAATTTTTTTTAAATAAAGAAAAAAAATTCGATTTTCTTACAAGATCAATGTCACAGTTGAATCACTGATTTGTGTCTCATTATTTCTTCTATGATTTGTTTCATTAATAAATTGTTGAATAAACTAAAGGATTGCTTTGTTTTTTGAAAAAAATCCTTTCCTCCTATAAAATACTTACATCTTGTGGAGAATTCCTGTTTATGACAAAAACACAGAAAAATATTCATGAAAAAAATTTGTTCGATTTAATAAACTTACATAACACCAGATGCATAACCGAAATGAAAAGCAGTGCCACTAACAGCTGCGAAAACAGCTAATAATAATGTACTAGTCATACCCTATGAAATTATTGAGATAAATATTTTCTTTATAGTGTATTAAATCAAGAAACTTTGTCAACATTTTGTACATTGTTGAGAGGAGATGAATTATTATCATAGTTAATATTAGATGCAGTTGCTGAATAATTGGCATTATTTCGAACAATATCAGATTCTTTCTGATCGTTATTAGCAAGTAGATGTGTTGACGATGGAGAATTGCTCATGATGCTTTATTCTAAAATTAATATACATACTTTTAACTTTCGAGTCCTGACAGAAATGTGATATAATCACCCTCGACTATCATTTACCTTTAACCTCTCTTATCTTTTTTTTTAAAAGGCAAATTTTTGATATGATATCTCCCTGCGAGACTTTTTAAAATTCTCTGTTTTATAGAGATTCAAAGATATGCGTATGTTGTCAAGGTAACTAAAGAGTATACATAAATACTGTGTATATAACAGAAATATCAGTTTTTTCTTTGTGAAAATTAGAAGAAAACAACTACCAATGAATTAATAAATAAAATAAATGAAGGTGAAATTTTATCTAATAAGATGATAAATCTAGTTGTTAGTTGTAAAAAATTTCAATTTAGAGGGTTCGATTCTTTTATAAAATATATAAAAACAAAGTTCAGCTATTTTGCTGTTTTTTTTTCTTGAAAATTTATTCGACTTCAAAGAAACTATATGTATATATGAAACAGTTCGTTCTACGATTAAAGATTTTCCTATAATCAATTCAATAACTATCGTTGAATATTTTCACAAAAAACAAAAGCAAAAGAGGAACATAAATGCAACAAATACATAATAAAGATTCATTAGAGTAAAAAACAAACAAACGTGATAATAAGCTATGCTGGAATAAGAATGAGCTGAGCTAGATATTTTGAAATTTATATACAAAGACAAAAGCCACTACCTCTTGTTCATAGATTAAAGATATGGCCTGAGGTAGCATGATTAACATGAATGACTAGGTATGTTAAACAGAAGAGAAAAAATGAGCAACCAATTTTTGATAATTATTGTTGATGTTTTGATTTGTAAACAGTTCCTTTAGCAACAAGAATTTGTACATTCTCTGGTGTTTTCCGCCGTGTTTCAGGTATAACAAGAAAAGCAAGTAACCAAAACATACAACTCATCGCTGCATAAAATAGAAATAATAATGCACCAACAGCATACTAAAAGATAGAATAATCAAATTAATAGTTTTGTTTTATCTGAGAAAATAATATTCTACTTACGAAAAGTGGAATAAATGTCATGATTATAAAAAACATTGATAACCAATTGACTATAATAGCAACAGCTGATGCATAAGCTCGTTCTGATTGAAAGAACATTTCTGTTGACAACATCCAAGGTATAGCTCCTGGGCCCATTGCACAGAACCCGACATTTGCCATCATAGCGAATATTTCCAAAAAGATCATGTGGAAGAGAGGAATCTATGATAAAAAATTTATTTTTAATTAAATACTTAGAAACTATCTAATGGGATTTATGACATAAGAATGATTTAGAACTTTTCCGCTTATATGAAAATGTTTCAAAAGTAAAATAATAATAAAAATCTATTCTTGTATAAACTTTTTATTAGGTTCATTATTTTCGTGAATATATAAATGATATTTTAAACTTACATTTCTTGATTTAAGAATAGTAACACCAATTACACACGTTGCTGCTGCCATACCGATTAAACCATCTATAAGAAAAAGACAAATTCTATAACATGATTTTGTCTTTTTATCGAATTATTTACATAGAAAAAGTGATCGTCGTCCAACTTTATCAAGAATGAATACTAATGATATTGCTACAGCTAAATATGTAATACCACATGAAAGCATTGCATATGAAGCATAATCCATTCGTAGATGTGCATGAAAAAGAAGGATATCTCCAAAGAAAAAGATCTAGGAGAAAAACATTAAATAAATAAAAAATTTCTATATTATAATTCAATAACATACAACATAACAACCAGTAAAATGTTGAGCAACATGAGTCATAGCCGAAATAAGAATGCATTTACGAAGAAGTGGTTTTGTAAATAAATCACGAATAGCTATCTGAAAAAAAAATTAAAACTTTATTTAAAATTTAATTTTACTTTTATATTCCTTACTTTTGTAGAATTAGTTTGAAGATTGTTAAAATCTGCTTCCATTTCATGAATTTCTGCTTGTACAACTTCAGAATTTGTTTCACAACGAAACCATTTTAATGCTAAAAAAAAAAGATTTATTCATTTTAAAAATAATTAAAATCATTAAACCTCGTTCAGCTGCTCGACGACGTTTTCTTTGTAAAAGAAATTTCGGTGTTTCATGTGTAAATACCAGTAAAGTACATTGAAGTATACTGAAGATAATCGGTACAGCTATTGATTTTAAAACAAAATAAAGAATAAAAATATATAAAGTAAAAAAACGAACTAACCAAATAGATAATGCCATAAATGTTCACGACCTAAGAGAATATCTAAACCAAGTACTTGAGCTAATAATACAGCCATAGCTACAAACAATTGAAAGCAAGCACCGAATGAACCACGTACACGTATTGGAGCTATTTCATTGATATAAATAGGACCCACATTTGTACCAAAACCTTTGAAAACAAATATATAGTTTCTCAAAAAATAATAAAATGTGTATATAACTAACCAGCAGCAAATCCAATTAAAATTCGACCTACGATAAATGCTTCAAATGAACCTATAAATTTACTAAGTACCATTAACACAGAACCAATTACAGCTGGAATATTATTTAGAAGTAAACCAGTTTTCCTGAAATTATAGATGAGAATAAGAGTCAATATATAAATCCTAACTTTACCGTCCAAATCGATCACTCAATGGTGTAGCTAAAAGACCACCTAAAACTCCTCCCAATGCCACAACAGAAATAGCTGTTGAATATAAAATATCTTGCTTATATTCACTGATTGTTGAATTGTAGCGTTTCAAATAAATTTGTTGCGTGTAATTTTTGATTAACTGTAAAATAATAAAAAATATAGTTTATAAACAGGAAAAAAAAGATATTTCAGATATTTTTACCTCTGATGGAGCATTCATAACACCTAATGCATAACCAAATTGAGCGCCGGTACCGATCATTGCAGCAAACATTGCTAATAATAATGTTCGAGTAAAACCAAGATGTTTTGGTTTTAAATCAGCTGGTTGAACAATTTCAACTGTTGATCCATTTAAATCATCATTTGGTTTTTCATCTTTTTCTGCTTTCAAGTCTTCGACTTTTTCTTCTGAATCTGTTGAATTTTCAGATATTCCTTCATTTTCCACTTTTTCATCTAGTGCTTTTTCGACAAGTTTCTCATGATCATTTTCTTCATCATTCTTATCCGATGATTTCATTAAATGCTCATGAGCTTTTGCTGCTTCATCTTCTTCCTTCTTACGAATTTCATCTTTTAACATTTTTTCACTGTTACAAATCTTTCTAAAAAAATCAAAAAACAAAATTTTTTATTTCATAATAAAAACATATACTAACATTCTTATCAAATAATCAGTTAGAGTACGATATTTTCATTTGGCAGTATAGTACATTCACATTGATCAATGAGTGGAACAAAAGAAATACAAACAAGACGAATGATTAGATAAATTGTACCAACAGCAATAGCAGTATCATCAGAAATGTACAACATTATCAAGTCAAATAAAGTTCATCTAAAGAGGGCGCTATTCACCAGTCAACATACTTAGTTGATGATGATGATAGATTTTCTCAGGTGCGATATTATCAAAAATATTTTACTATGGTTCATACAGTATAGAGCATCTACATATTAGCTTGTTAACTACAACCAATTATTAATTAAGCGACATGTCTTAAATGAATAATTTTTATTTTCTAGGATTCTTTATGCACTGAATAGAGTGTTATATTTTATTTCGTAACATTCGTATTAATGAATAAAATTTATATACTATAAAGATTTTAATGAAAAAAGAATATGGCATGTTGTTTATTAAAATAATAGTATGGTTATCTACTAGTAGCTAAATTGATCGGTTTAGCATAAAAATATTAAAATGAAAGAACAGATTTTAAAAATCAACTAAGAGTTTATTATCGTCGTTTTATTGATTTTATCATTGTTATGCTTTAGGTGGATCGGCTTCTTTTGGAGGCATTGCTGCGCGACCTATTTTCAATGCGGTTGCTACTTGTGTAAAGTGTGATCCTTGATGTTCAGCTATTTTTAATTCTAAATCTGATGGTTTTCGTGAACCATCATGACCAGCAAAAGTACCTAAAAAATTCCGATAAAATAGATAATCGAATTTATCTATATAACATGATAAATAACTTACCGATACCGTATGCACTACCACCATGAATTTCATCCATATTGCCTAAAAGTGGGCTTGAATAGCCAATGGGTACCTATTATTTAAGAACAATTTTAAATGATAACATTGAAAAAAAAGGTTAATTAAATACATACGAATAACATTCCATGATGAATAAAATTTGTTAATGATGTTAATACTGTTGTTTCTTGTCTAAGAGATAATCATAAAGTTCGATTTATTTTTATTTGAAATATATTCTTACCCACCACCTTGTGTTCCAGTTGAAAAAAATACACTAATTGGTTTTCCAATAAGTGCACCTTTCATCCATAATCCACCGGTTGCATCCCATACAGCTTTAACTTGTGCTGGCATTCCACCAAAACGTGTTGGGAAACCAAATACAATACCGTCGCAATTAACTAATGCATCTTCAATTGTTACAGTATTTTCTCCTTCACCAGCGAATGAGAGTGTTGGGATATTTTTATCTTTTTCTGGTGCATGCATTTTAGTTAAAACTTCTTTTGATAAAGTTTCTGGTACTTGAATTAAACGTGCTTCAGCACCGGCGGCTTCAACACCTTTTAATATTGATTTGGCCACTAGAAATAAACATGCAATTAAATTATGTTTTATAGATTTAATAAATCAACGTACATGTTGCGACATGACCGTACATTGAATAGTAGATAATATTAATACGTGCTTTATTACCACTGACAGCTTTTGAAGCCATTGTTTGAAGTTTTGTGGTAGGATGAATTCTAAATAAATAGAAAATAATTTGTAAAAGATGACTTATGTAAGAATAGGTAATGTTATTATATAATAAAAAAATATCGGTATATGTATCATTATCTCCATGATGAAAAATCATCATAATCGCTCTTTTTTTTGTGATAAAGTAAGCCTAACGAGTGATGCAATAACCAAAACAAAATTGAATATTAGTTCTATACTCTATTTAGTCTACTACTTAATAAAATAAAACCATTGAAAAATTTCACTCTTTCTCGTTTTGGAATTGCATATTCGAAACGAAAAAACAGATAATCTTATTGTGGTGCTAAAACAAATGCTTATCTGACACACTTGTTATTGTGTAAAATACAACTATTATACAAAAAAACTCCAATAATAAAAATAACTATATGTGTATATGATCAAACACTGTTTACGCGCCAGTAATTTCAAATACGTGACTACCTATTTCAAAAACAACAAAAATATTATTCTAAGTACCCCGTTAATTTCAAAAGGGCAAGTACATAGAATATATAGTACTCAAAAATATCATACTATTAGGATGACGAAGCAAAAAAATACACCAAAAACAAGAGACGCAAAGATAGATAGATAGATATGATCGAATAAGAAGTGTAACATGAAAATCAGTCAGCCAATTGAATGAAAAGAGTCATTAGTACTATTATATGTAAAACGATAAAGTCTGATGTATCGAAAAGTATCATGTACACATAAGTCTTATTTAACAATCAAACAATAATGATATTTTATATAGAAAGAAAAAAAGTTTTTCACACCGAAGATGTCGTTAATAGCCAGTTCGATAACTTTTATAAGTATATATAATTTTTAGTATCCAAAGAAATTATAAATTAGGAAAGATAGTAAAATTATTCGTCATTCTATTTTAATTGACATTCCTAGTAAGAAGTTTTTATCATATTGCAGAATATTTCACATCTTTTACAAATTCGTCATAACAATCAAAATTATATAACAAAAGATTCTGAGCAGAACGTGTCCAAAAAAAAAGCTATTTTTTTACTAATTTTATTTAAATATTATCCAGAATTCTTTTGAAAGAAACTGTAATCCTGATTACGGAATATACTGACTATTTTTGATCATATGTATCTCAATTAAGTTGTGTTGTATATCGATAGTCAAGATATAATAATAGATTTTGCACTTAAATATTCAACATCTAAACATTTTTCTGCACATTAGATGTTAATCTGCATTATTAATTATAAAATAGATGAGAGAGATAATAAATATAAAAACCCAAGCAAGTAGAAAATTGAAACAAACATCCGATTCAGACGCCGTTTAATTAAGATATTGTTGAGAAAGCCAAAAGGACACTATTCATAACTTCAAAAGTCATGATAATATTTTCATCAACATCGCTTTCACATGTATCACAGTGCAAACATATAAGCAGACGAGTAATTAAATTATTCATCAAATGATAAAACTTTTGATTGTATATCAGAGTATTAATATAGATTTTTTTTATTGTGTATACAATTTTTGGAGACTTATTTGATAGATAATTAAGTAGAAGAAAACCTACTGATGAATATTATATGTCGATGTAATAAATCTTTTGATGGTCACTATTTGTATACAATTTTAAACATCTTTTAATTGATCCAAAAACAAAAACTATTAAATAGGAAAAAGAATGTATATTCATGAAGTTTGTTTTCAACTTCTTGACCTTGTCCTTTGTAATCGTTTATTGATGAAATACAAAGTACTTATTTTATAAACAAAAAATGTATATATCCTATTGTAAGAATAAATAATTACTAGTTCGTTGAGTTATTATATTTCTTTTGCAAATATTATCTACGTCAATAACACATCACAAATAGTTTATCATTGGCCAATCGCATGTACTTGAGACAGAAAAACAACGTTGTGTTTTTCACCTTATTCTTCATGACAAAAAAATATATGACTGGAGAGAAAAAAAAAACAGCGACGAATAAAATAAATAAAAGTTGTGGGACAACTTGTAATTAGAGGTTCCTTTTACTTAATAATTATTCGGTATATAAATGATTTCCCCAATGACTATTTAATCTTATAATAAGTTCTTATTCACATTACATGCAAGTAAAAAAAACATACAAAATTTATTTTCTATTTCATTCTATCGAATTATCAAAATACATCCTTTACCAAGGGCGTTCAAAACAATATTTTTTTCAGTGACGTATACATCGAAAATGATGATTGTATGGTTAAAATAGTTATTTACGTTTTTCCTTTTATTCTATCTATTACTCTTCTTATAAACAAGTCGATTAATAGTCTAATGTCTTTTATCTCACAGATGCTTCTGTGTGATATAGTACTTTGCCCTATTGATATCACAGGGAATATATACTTTGTACTATTGACTTTTATTGTACTCTTATCAGTTTTGTATAAATTAGAGCATATGTTTTCTTTTTGAAGTTAACTAATGTTTCACAGATATTATTTAAATTTATATCGAAATAAAATGAAAAGAATGCAACAGTATTTTTTTCAAGACAAAAAAAAAGAACATGAAGAAAACATTAAATTAGAAACAAAAAAAATATGTCTCTCTTTTTTTTCCTCTAAATATAAGAAAAAAAGTGTAATCACTCTATGTTTATTTTGCTTTGTTAAAACAGAAATCACCGTATTTGACGACAATTGAGAAATAGATAAAACAAGTATATATGTATATATGTATATGTGTACGTATTAAAGTTTTGTCTTTAGGATTTTTTAATTGAGCGAAAATGACATTAACATTGTATAAACAAGATTAGCAAAGGGTTGTCGTTCAAGTAAAATTCTATCTACATCAGCTCCAAATTTTTGATGTTCAAGAATTTCTCCTATAATAGATATTAATAATTTTTGTCCTTCAATTTCTCCATAACGATACGTCAAATAAGAACATAATATATGAGTATATTGTTCTTGTGCTTGTACTATATGACGAATTGTTTTTTCAAATGGTTGATAATAAAAATCCGGATTATAATTTGTTACTAGACATGGAGTTAGAAATAATATAACTTGAACAATTTTACTTATAACTGGATCATGACCAATTAATTTATTTAATTTTCGTATTAAATATTCTGCACGCGATAGAACATCATGTCCATAAACATGTACATAAACAGTATTACAACATCGTTTTGGATCAAAATGTACAATATTATTATTTAAATTCATTAAATCCATTGATGAAAATAATAATAAATAATGTATATTAGTTCTAACTAACCATGAACGATCATTACTATTCATATCCATTGAAAATGATGGAATTGTTGCACGAAAAAATGATACTAATGATGTAAGACGAACAGTTAATAGATTTATAAATGTATGTTCTTTTAATCGACATTTAATTGGTTGTCCACTTAGATATTCTTCTCGTTGTTCTTCAGCTTGTAATATTGGATGTAAACAAAAATGATCATATGCACTTTGCATATTAGTTATTTGTATCCAATCATTTGATGATAATGGTGCTGAACATTTATCAATTGAAAGATAATTTAATGCAGATAACTATAAAGAAAAAGTAAATATAACTGTTTTTTGTTTATCACTTTTGACTTACATCATGTGACATATGACGATTATGTTTTTGCAATGGTGATGATGATGATGATAATGATCCTATTATAATTTTTTCTTGTCGTTGTAAACGATTTGCTTTAACAAGTTGTAAACGAGCAGCACGTTCTTCATCCGTTCGTATTAAATCTTTTTGCATACCAACCGCAAAACATTTTGCTAAACGACAAGCTGGACATTGTCGTCGTGTACGTTCATTAACTGGACAATGACCACCGAAACGACAAGGTGGTAAAATCTATAATGAAATCAAAATGTTTACAATGAGAATTTCCTATTTCAATTAATTAAACATACGGAACTAGCTCGACCATTTCGTCGAAAAAAAGCTTTACACGTCGAACAAGTAATAACACCAAAATTTCGGCCTGTATTTTTTTCGAAACCGCAGACACGACATGGGTCGCCAGGTGAAATACGATTTGCAAGATGAGATTGCATCTAAAAATAACAAATGAAATTCTAGAGTTGAAAAAAACATTTAGTAGTCTAACATATTCAAGATAATCTTTCTACGTTTTCTTATTATTATACTTTAGTTTGTTTTGTTTTATTCTATATAAGATAAAAAAAAAATAAATCAAGTTTATACGTCAATGCTTTTCTCTTTTTTTTTATCTATCATATCATATTATCGCTATCATTAATAGTAGAAATGCTATTTTTTCAAATATATAATATCAATCTTTTACCTTTTTTGATACACGATTCAGAAGTATTGAATTATTATCGTAGTTTTCATTTTTCCCATATCGATAATGTCTATCATCATTATTATACGTATTCATAATATCGAACATTACTTTCACCGGGACGTATCAAAATAGATTTGTCTTATACTTGTAATATAAAGCGTATATATATGTTTATGAAGGTAACAGTATGTATGCTTGCACTTGAGTAATAGTTGTTCCACGTTCTGTGTTTTTTTTCTCTTTCGTCTATAATAACAAGATGAATCGAGAAGGGAAGAGAGAAAAAAAAAAGAGGACTTGAAACTTTTTTCTTTTTGTATCCACACCCTCGTTTTTCTTTCTGTCAATGAGTATAGATTTTTTCATGAAGGACATTTCTGTCTTACTTTAAAGAAGTAGATCATATCGATTGATTTAATTAATCGAAAAGAAGAAAACTGTAAGTGGAAAAAAAATATAACGGAAACAAATAAATATAACTAACAGTAATGATCATTTATTTGTTTTCAATGACAAAAAATACAATATCTATGTCATATTTTATTATGAAATGTACATATATTAAAAATGGTTGAAGCATATGTTACATTTAGTCAAGGATGTAAACTAAATAATTGTCTAGTTTCTATACTTATCCACGAACGTATATAATCTTGTGGATGAATGCACTATATTACTGCTCGTGTTCAGACACGTGCGTCGACCGAAGGCTCTTAAGTATTGAAAAAAAAGAAGCGTTTCATTATGCACGGTTCAATAATAAAACTCAAGTTATTCATTATAAGTGCATATGTCTAATATAGTTGGGCGTCAAAAAGACTTTCTAATATTTATTTCCTTTTTTTTCATTTAAAAACTAAAAATAGAAAACTAATTCAAAACTCTCATATATATATATATATATATATATATAAGAATCCTTCAGTTTGTTTTCGATCTTTCTCTACTATTTTACTAGTTACACCCTGTTATTGATTAAAAATGATGTGTGCATTTTATCGATCGATTGGAAAAATTAGATAATCGAATGATTATTTTTCTCGTTATGCTTTTTCGAAACAAAAAAAACCAATTCAATATCTTATACGTCATGGACAATATTATTTTTTGTCTTCATTTTTAAAGAAAACAAGCTATTTGCTCTGTTCAAGGTTCTAATAACAAGACACACATTATTATCATACGATAAGAAGAAGAAAAAAAAAGATTTTTTTAAAATAAATACCTTCTGTGGATATGAATGGTTTATTCTAATGATTTAATTTGTACATATAATCAACTGTTTAAACAAGAAAATAAAATGCACTTGATGTCTCCTAATCTGTGTTCGTGTCGTTGTCGTATAGATTATTTTTACCCACAAGTACGTTATATTGTTGCTAAAGTACTGCAAGCACTTGCGTCCTTCTTTCTTTTTTTCTTTTCCTCCCTTATCAACAAGCAACGGAGTCCTTTGACGCGTAGCGACAACCAAAACGAATAGAGTATAGGCAACAAAATAGAAAAAGAAAACGACGCAAAAAAACAGAAGGATTTTTGGGTTGAAAAAAACGGCGCCGAAGAACAGGAAAAAAAATGTTTCCATATTTCTCGGGTCGTCGTAGTCTATGTTTGCAATATTCAGAGAATAATAATAATAATAATAATAAATATCTATATATATATATATAATCTAGAATGTACCGAAGGACTCAGTGAGACATAATATTAAAATAATAGAAAAAAAATTTAGTATATATTTTTTTGAAAACTTTTTATTTATACATAATAAAGATATAAAAAAATCTAGAGGAAATTCTTTTGTGATATTTTATTCAGTTGTTTTCTTTTTTACTCAGAAATTTATAGGTTAGTTCTTATAACTCGGTTTTATCTGCCTCGTGTCATTCACACGTGATAGACTATTTATATAGTTGCGAATTGCATTTTTGTATCATTATAATATATTAATAAGAAACTAAAAAGGAATTCAATCATTTTTCATTTATTATTCAAATTTTTTACTTAAGTGATAAAACATATATAATAATATACAAGGAATATGATTAGTTAATTATTTACTTACATCTTGTCAGTCGCCAATGACATAGAAAGTTCCAACGATGAAAAGAATATTATATATTGATACTATAAAAATCCTAACATCAGAAACCTTTTATTTTTCTAGATTTTTTCTTTGCCAAATAAAATTCATTATGTCTAATACTGCCAACTCTATATTATTAAAAAATAATCTTCCGTTTCTTCAATTTATTACCTTTAATTAAACGAGAATATATACATATTTTTCATTTGAGATTGTTACATATTTTTATCATATCTACGCATATTCTCATAAAAATATTGATGTTAAATTTAGATATACTTCATTCAATGTTATAATGTCAACATGATCATACATCAAACATTATTTTCACTCTATATAATTTGTAATTTTATTAAGTATATTCTCGAACAAAAATGAGAAACGTCAAACATCTGTATTTACTTTAATTAGAAAGTTGAAAGAACTTCATTTAAGAGTCTTCTATTCTTCAGGAACATATATTAACAACAAAATATGAATTCTATATAAAAGAATTTTTTTTTACCTAGAATTACCGTTCGGCACATCGTATTAAAACACATCTATAATTACTTCTTTTAATAGAATACTTATTCTCTTATCTAGTAAGAGAAAAAGTAATTCAGACTAAGTTAAAAATACGATGACAAGATGATAATTACTTGTTATTAAGATTAGTGCACTATTTTGTTAATGGAAACGTGGCTGTGCCACGTGATAAAAAATTCTAGGAACTTAATTTAGTCGCAATCTAACAAATATAAATATTCTCTAAGGAAATAGCTCGAATGTATTTCATATTTTAATTTAAATACAGACTATTATAATGAGATGTTAAATCTTGATTGAAAATTATGCATCTTATCTTAATAAATGATTGTCTGTTAAACAATGATAGAAAGTATTCCATTGCACTATGTAACTCTTTTTTAGTATAAAACATTCAGATTGTTTCTTATTTTTTCTTTTTTAAATTAAACTCTTTTGTTTGTATTTAAACCATCTTTAGAAATATTGAATTATATCCCCAAGAAATGTACTTTTATTCAGCATATAAACAAAAAAAAGAACATCGAGAACATTTTTTTTTCTACATACGAAATCTAAAGCTAATTAAAAACAAGTATTAGGATTAAAAAGGTAATCTTACAAAATCGCATCATTGAAAATGCTCTGTATTTATAAAGAGTATAAACTTCTGTTGGAGTAATCCTTATAGAAAAATATAGAACAAATAGTTTGTTTATATTTTAATGGTTTTTATTCATGTACTGTATAGTTTCCATTCAGCAGCTTTATTTATATCGTATTGATAATGATAACAAAACTATAATCAATTACATATTCATTCATTTGTTATCAGTATAACAGAAAAAAATGTGTATATACTTAGAAAAACAAATACGAATGAAGATGTTTGTTGTTAACAATGAATGGTTTTTATGCATTATGATAATTTTGATGATTACGATTCTGACAAATATATTATGCACATAAGATAATAATTAAACATAGAATTAATCGACAAAATAAAACCATGTAGACATTACATGGCTGACCAAAAATAGTAAAAATTGTTTGATAGTATTTAAGTGAAATAAATGTTGCATATTTGAGAACAATTTTGATAAGATTTCGTTTTTTTTGTGCAAGAATCACTACATCAAATCAATCCCAAAGTTTAAATAAGCTAGATGAAAATGTTGTCGATCTGAAGTTAAACTATTCATACTCATTAATATATGTCCAGGTAAACCAAGAATAGGAAATAGAAAAATACTTGTCTGCCAAACAAGTACATCATTTCCTGTATGGTTGTTGTCTATATAATAGAAAACTATGATTAATTTTTAACAAAATACTCGTGTTTCATTATTATATACTGAAATAAATAACATTGTTCTCGATGTCATAAGTTTGTATGTAATAACAGGAATATTAATAACAACGAATACTTATTCAATATATATTTATAAATTCGTTAATATAAACCAAGATTAACAATATATGTGATAAATATGACTCACTGTTCAGTATTTAACAAAACTGATGATTTAAATTCGTTATTAATCAGTACGAAATCTTTTACTTGTATTTATATTACAGATGCTTGAACAGCTTTTAAAATTTCCACAAGACAAATAGTATTCGAGGTCAAATTCTATATTTAGAAAAGGTTTCTTACACGTTTAATCGATACAAATTATAATGTTTGGACTGTACATCAAACATTAACATTATTTTTTTATATTTGTAGATCATACTATATGATACAGCGTAATGATAAAAATGAAATTTCTTAATATTGATAATATATTTTTTTATAGAAGATATCCTCTCTTGTCATTTGATCTAATAAATAATATTCTAACAGCACTTACTGTATGTTATAAGTGGGTCTGTATTTATCGACACTAAATTCCAAGGATTTTAAAACTACGTTAAATAATGCAAAAAAAGTCTACTCTATTATATTTCGAAACTTATTCTAAACGTCTAATCTCTTAAATTAGTGAATTAATTATTACATATCATTTAACTTTTATAATCATGAAAGATAAAAGTAAAATTGCATGACTTTCTTTACATGTATATTACCGAAATTCATTTTTGTGTCAGTTCAACTGTAAGCACCATAATACAATTCAATACAATGAAGTAACAACCAAAAAGAAATCAAAGGATAAATATTTCATAAATGACATCGTCGCATAGATAAAATGGATAACTCATAGTAGATACAAACTGTAGTTTTTCTTCTCATACGAATGTTGTCTTTCAATTAGAATTATCTACATCAATATCTTCTATTTTTGTTATAATTTACTCATCCTAAACATTTGGCATCCGTTTGTCTTAATGTCTCTTAAAACATTGTCCTAGAATTTTTTTTTACTTTCATATAATATTTTAACAATTACATTTTCTCACGATATACTAACGTTAGACAATAATAGAGAATGATAAAATTTTTAATATATTTCTCAAGGATATTGCCATTAAATTAGTTTAATATAATAACTTTGATGACTATGTTAATCAACCATGCTAATGAATAGTACATTCATATAATATGAGTTCCGATGAATTCTTTCAATGGAATAATATTGTTATCATCTCATTTGACTTGTTTTGATTGTAGAAACCTTAGAAGAAATATACCAATTTTAACAACATTTATACAATTCTAGACATTATTCGTTTGTAAATCAACAAAACGAAAACGACTGAATGTTTATCTTTCAATGAATATACTACTATAAACATTTTCTTATTATAAAGATTTCGAACTATTGTTAATAGAAGCAATTGAATACGTGAGAAATACGATAAGTTACTTCCTATAGATAATAATATTGATTATTTCATATTTTAGAATGTATGAATCTGTACAAATTAATGTTTATTTAACTTTCTTCGTTTTTCTTCTTTCTTCCTCATTGCCGATGTCATATATACAAGTTGGATGCTCTTATATTGACATGACGTTCGCTACCATAGAGAGTTTTTTATTCTCTCATTTTATGTTTATTTAGTATGTTCGTTCTTGCTGTCTTTTAAAGTCTCGCTTTAAACTAGTTGATTGAAATATCCTCTCAATATTTTTTTCTCTTTCTCTCCCTCCGTCTTTTTCTTTTTACGGTACCTCGTTTTGATTTCACTTTTAATTCTTCGGGCAAATTTTTTCTTCTCCTTTTTCTTTCTTGCCAGAATATATTACTTGTGGTTTGAACCTCACTTAAACATCCATAGAAAAGAAGAAGAAGAAGAAGGAAAAAGACAATCATGAATGAAAATGATGAATATTCACATGTTCAACGACGTCTTTGTGCTGTTATAGCTAAATCTGAATGGACATCATCGCGTATGCGTATGCAAAAAAGTGGTGAAGAACTACGTGAACGTCGTGCAAAATCACATCGAACAGCAAATCAATTTTTACAAGAACTTCTTGAAAAACGTACTGATAGCGATTTAATCGATGATAATGGTGCTGTTGATCGATATCGTAAATTTGTTCGATATAAATCATCATCTAATGATGATACAACTAGTACATTAGATGAATTTCATCGACGATTACGTGATTTAAACAATAATAATAATCAACAAAATCAAATAACAAAATTAAATAATCAAAATTTTAATCCAATCTTTCCTAAACAACATCAATCATTTCAAAGTGATTTACAATCATCAATTCAAGATCGAAACGATGAAGAAGATATCGTACGACAAGTACATAATGATGACAGAGTATGTAAATATCATAAAAATCTTATTGATAAATTAATCTTTAGTAACATGTATTAAAATTTTATCAAAAAGTAGAAGACAGATCTATATATTTAAAGTAAAAAAGATCGATTAACGTTTGAAGTATCTAGATCTAATTTACTCTTGAAGAGCAATTTAACTAAAAGGCTTCATAATATTGAATGAAATTTTCTTTTTTTTTACTCTAAAAAGAAAAAGTAATCAAGTGAAGATTGACCTTGTTTTAAATTATTAAACATAAACACAAATTTCGAAATATATCAATTTTATTGAAGAAAAAAATATATCATATAACATCGTCTGATAGTATTATTCCTATGAAGAAAAAAAACGTTCTAGCTAGAAATGTCGACTTATGGCATCCGTTGATGTTAATAGTAAAACTTTTGTATTAAGATTAAAAAAATAATCTATAATGCTAAATTGTAATAGTGAAATCACCTTTTTACTATAAACAGAAAAATGTTATGTTCATATTGAACTTATATAAGTGTATACTTAGAACTATTCAAAGAGTAACGATAAGTATTTTTGTTACGGTTCAATATATCAGTCTATAAAAGAAAATACTTATACTCTATGAATACTTTTAAGTATATACTCATATAAATACAATATGAATATAAAGAGAATCTTACTAGAAAAAAAAGCCTTATTAGAACTAAATTAAAATATGAACAAGCATTTTATTTTATCATAATAGATATATTCGTATCAACATATTGATTTTATTCTATAGCCTAAACAATCCAGAACAATACCATCCGTATCAACAATTCCAACTACATCAACTCCAAATGATACAACAAATGAATTAACTACTTCTACATTCCAAGTTGATGAAAGTCAAGAATTATCCGATGTTCAATCACCAAATACATCTTTTATTGATAGTCAAACAAATCCTGTTGAATCATCAATTCATCAGCATCATTCATCATTATTTGAAAAACTTGAAACATTAAATTCTTCATCAGCATCTTCAACTCAACTACTAACACAAACTTTATATGCACCTAAAGCACGTCGAGCAGATGGTAGTGAAATCATACTCTCATCATCTTCATCATCATCAATATCAAAAAGTCCATTACCAGGTGTTTCATCTAATATTTCATTATATAATCATTCTTATCTTCCACGTTCATTAACATCACGTACTAAACTAAATACAAGTTCAACATCAAAACGACAATTACCATCTCTTCCAACTATTCAATCAACTGAACCACAACAACTACAAGAGCAACAACAAGTTTCACATGAACAATTTAATCCAGATCAATTATATGATTTACTTGATAATTTAGATAATAAATCTAATCAATATTCTATGAATGATTTTACAAAAAAACTTGAACAATTATCTTTATCAACTGTTATTCATAATTCAGAAGATCAATTAAATAATAATAATAATTCTTCAATAGAAAATATCTCAATAAATAATGATAATGAAGAAAATATTCTTCCAAATTTATTTAATCATTCATTATTATCTTCACAAGAAAAACATTTTTATACAACATTAAAATTCAATATGGATACTATAAAAGATATATTTCTTTATACAATGACATTAAGTACAGTGCAATTAAGTGCATCTATATTACTTCCATATTCAATACTTATGGGTCGACGACCTTTAATAAAATCTTCAAATGAAACATGTTTTAAACAAATTCTTACTAAACAACAAAAAAATACATGTCAAGTAACAGCTATTGAATCATCTTTAAACACAAAACAACTTCAGCAAAATGATATTCTATTACAAGTAAGACAGTTTATAGATATATATTTTTTTTTGATTATTTTTTCTTCAAAATTTAGATTAATGATCAATCTGTATGGGGTTTATCGACAGATAAAATAAATGATATTTTAAAACGATCTAATAATTGTTCATTGACGATAGCTCGATTATGTCAACCATTTATTTAAATTTGGTTATTTTGCAAAAAAAAAATAAAATTTTTAATTAGAATAAAACAAAACAATTGTTATTTTTAATAAGATCGTTTATAGTATTTTAAGTATGATCAAAAGAAAATGCTGCCAATTGATGTTCATATTTTCAAACAATTATATAACATTGAAAATCTTATATAAGCCTTCTTTTTTTCTTAAAAATGTACTTGAGAAATGTAATGAGGAGTATTACATACAAAGTAAGCTGATGAGGGAATTATTCTAATTGATTTCGAATTTTTATACTTAGAGTTTAATATTGAATAGAAGAATAAGAATTCATAGATCTGTCTTTTTGTATTATAAGTATTTCAATCATTTTATTAAAGAATTAATTGTAGTAATCAAGATTTTTTTCGATTACTGTATGAGTTTAAAGATCTACAGTTGGATGCAAAAATAATTGCCGTTAGATTTCTTCTCGCTGGAAGTGTCATGTGTTGAGACTTTTTTATGCTGTTATATTGTATAGGTACTGTGCTCTACAAGTATACTAATCACTTAAAGTTGCGCCCTCTCTACAAGTTTAAACGAGACAACAACCTTACTTCCTTAGAAGCAGTTAAATAACTTATAGGTTATACATGAATTTTATTTCATCCTTCGTGCTAGAATCGTTTCAATTTACTAATAACTTGAAGTTTTTCATTTGTAGCAATTCGTTAAATTGTCTGAGACTTGTGCCAGCAGGTAGTCAAACAATGATTTCATCTATACAGGGCTGGCGAGTCACTGTACTAGTCTTAATATACCGCAGTACTATGTTCTTCAATCTTGAAAATATTGTTTTACCCTGTATGAGTATAGATCTTCATTATACGGATAGTCTCAAGCCTCTTCGCAATAATTATTAGTTTAATAATGCAAGATAATGCATCGATCAGGTCATACGCAAATAACGTTTGAATCATAAGTCATTTTTTACAAAACTAGAATAATATGTTTTGAGCAATGCCGGTCTCCGTGAATGTATAAAGTCAGTATCTAATGTTTACAAATAACTGTATAATAATCACCATTATTGTTGCACTCTACTGTATATGTTGAGAAAATCTTCAATCAAAGTACTTTTGTTTATTCAATCATCGGATTTATTTTTTAAAGAAATCGTTAATAAAAAACATTTTCTATATGAAAAAACAATTTCTTATAGTTTTGATTTTGTCTCTTGTTTAATTGATTTCCAAACTGGATGAACCTATAATAAAAAAACAAAGTATTGAAAATAAATTCTACATTATTTTCTCAAGAATTTACTTTATGTCGATTTGTTGGATTAAGTCGGGCTCGTTCCATTAATGCTTCATAAACTTGACCATCATAACGACCAAGACATGAATCTAAATAATTTCAATTGCGTAAAAAAACATATGTATGTTAAATTATTTACTAAGTTCATTATCATGAAAATCAAAAGCATCGACAAGTGAAATAAGATTTGGTCGAAGTCGTGCATACATATCTGGTAAATTAAAAGTTTCTAATTGATAAATTTGATCAGCTGTAAGTAATTTTAACTAAAAATAATCAAACAAATAGAAAATTTTGTCATTCAATTGATGATTTACTCGAATAAAATCAGTTGCTGAATTTCGTAATGTATGAATTGCAAATACATGAAAAAGTTGTTCAAAAACAGGTCCGAACGATTTATGTTCAGATGCTTTACGTACACCATCATAAAATGCTCGTAAAACAACTGTTTCAATAAAAGCCTATATAATTTTATAAATAAAATAAGAAAAATATCTTTTGAATTATCATCACATACTTTTGAAATATGTACGAGTTCAATAGAATTCTTTGAAAATTTATTATAAGTTGATGCTTCTGATTCACTCAATCGATTAGACATTGATTTTAAGAGCCTTAATATAAAAATTCAAAAAAAAAAGAAATATTCTTATAGTAATAACTTACATTTGTGATCGACATTCGAATAAACGACAATAATCATCAAGATTAATAATAGTTGCTGGTGGTGTTGTTGTTGAATATAAAAATTTAATTGATGATTCCGTTTCCATTTCACTAATTTCATCAAGTTGTTGCATAACTTTTAAAAGATATCTATGAATTAAAATATTTTTTGTAAAGAGATTTACACAAAAGTTTATTTTACCTAGCTGTTTGTTGATATAATACGGAATTATCACCTTCATAAGTACATCCTGCATCAAGCTGATTATTTAAACCTTTGATTCCACTTGCTACTAAATATCCATGACCACCACAAGCAACACGACACGTTTGTGAAAATCGTTCACCTATGGATGACATATATGCTTTTAAACCAGATGATACTGCATGAAGCTAAATAAAAATAAATTTTATAAATAAAAAATATTTTTTTCTTGATTTATTACTTCGGGTAATAGTTCAAATAAGATTGTATCACTGTCGAGAATTTCTCGACGAAGATTTTCAAGTTTAATAAAAGCATAAAAGAATGCATAATTTGTAGCTATACATGGTACTAATTTTTCTTGTTGTAATGGATAATCAAGAATTAATGTTTCTTTTCTTTAATAAAAAGAAAATTTGAATAAGATTTCTAGAAGAACAAAATTATATAAAAGATTACCCATTAGGATTTTGTCCTTGACGTCGAACAGCTGAATATCGCATTGCGATTGTAATAGCACGAGCAAGTAATATTGAAAAATAAGCACAAAGATTAACACGTGTAGCAAGCATTGTACCATAAAGAAGACGTGGATCACCAAGTCGATGAAAAGTACCTTGTTCATCAACCTACATATATAGAAAATACCACTACGAAATCTAATTATTGATTTTAAAATACATACATAAGCTAATTTCATAAGCATATGATTTCGTGGAATTCGTACATTATGTAATCGAAGATATCCGTTATCACCAACTTCATGTCCAAATCGTGTACTAATTTCTCCGAGTTCCACACCTAAAGAAAAACTAGATAAATATCAGAGATAATTAATTTAATCTTTTACCTGGTAATGGTTCATGTGTATTTAAATCTCGAATTTGAACAAAAAACATTTGTAAACCGGCTGGATGATTTCGATCTGGTGTAAATAATTGTGCCATTAATAAAACATAATTTGTTGATCGACCTAATGCACCAGGCCAAAATTTTGTTGCTGTTATAGTTGGAGTATTAAGTACAAATGTATCAGTATTTATATCAAAAACAGCTTCAGTTTCTAATCGTTGTAAATTTGAACCATGGCCTAATTCAGTTTGAGCATAAGTACCAATAATTTGAAATGAACGTGCAAGTGGTAGAAATTTTTCTTGTTGTTCATCACTAGCCATTGTTTCAAGTGTATGAAGAAACATACTTGTATGTAAACCAAACATAAATCGTCCATTTGTAAAAACACTTACAAACCAACCAAGAAGTTTTCTATCTGTTATACCGTAACGTTCAGCTTCTTTAATAGCAATGAAACTTTTACGAATAAGTACAGAATAATAATCATCCGCATCTAGATATTCGATTGGTAAATGAGTATCATGAACTGGATGTGCATAAGCTAGCCGAGCTAAATAGAGAAAAAGAATAAATAAATTTTATGAGATAAGAAAAAGATGTTTTAACTAACTAAGTTGACGTCGTCTATTTACATTAAAATAGCTGTTTGGACCTCCGAATACAAATTGTGTAAGTTCTTCAACATCGAATGTTGCTGATTGACGTTCACGTAATAGGTCAGGATTTTTTGTATCATTTAATTGATAATATGGACCTTGTTCTTGACTTTCGACCATTTCTTTTTATCTATCGAATAACGACAAAATACAAAAAAGAATTGTGTATATGTGTGTATTTATTCATCCTTTTAGACACGTTTTTAAAAGTTATCATACTCTTCTTATCAGCTTTTTATCTGTTCGATTATATTGTCCTTTTACGTATCATAATAAATAGCAAAATTTGCAAAGAAAAAGTGTAGATTCATATATATGTTGATTTGTAGTTTAAATAGTTCTGATTAATCTTAATTTGAAACAGAACAAAGATTTACATCTTACTGAGATTTTTATTAAATTGTTACATATATATATATACTTTAAGAATTATAAAGATACATATTTAAAAAAATTAAAACAATATTAATTGCAACAAGTCACAACGTCTTCGTTTCACATTGATCCTTAGAGCTACTGTACAATAGACGGAATGATAAGAGATATGCTGGTTAAAAATCGTGAAGCATTCACTGAATTGTAATAAATTACAAATATTTTATTACGTTATTAAACAATAATTTCATCATCGGTAATATCTATTATTTGATCATTTCTTGGCCACATATTTTGCATTAAAGGTTCCATTTGTTGAATTTCATGTGTTAAACTAGTTACATAACTATCTATATCCATATCAAGATTTTGCGTATATAATATGCACATTATTAATTTATTGTAAAATTTTACTGCATTTTTTTCGGTTTCTGAACGCGAGAGAATATATCTCCATAAGAGTTCAATATAGACGTTTTGAGCAGCATATATGGATAATGAATTGTCATAAATTTCAATTATATCTACATGATTAAGATGTCTAACATTATTACTTGATAATACAAGAATAATGAGAAGAATTTTTAATAGAAGAGGATCATAAATATATTGTTCCATAATTCCAGTACGTTTTAGAAGACGTTTAGTTAAATTAATACCAAATACATTCGTCCATGTTATGATAAGATTATTCGAAGTTATTGGATGCATTAGAGGTTCATTCATATTAATCATAATACCGAAATGACTTTTTACTAAACGTACTTTATCATCCATGATAATGCTATCAAATTCAGGTATATTTTTAAAATATTCAAGAAAGATTTGGAATGACGATGAAAATTCGTTAAGAAATTCATGTATAGATGTATGTGGAACAGCTGGAAAACATTGGAATTGAGTTTTCTTTGCTCGCATACAAGTATTTTCATAGGCATTAAAAATATTGGCAAGAACAACTTGATCAGATGAGGACAGACATTGTACTGATCTTTTTGATACACATAACGATGTTGAAGGTTTCATCTGTTAATAGAAATGAATTAAGATCTGATATTATGTATAAAGTGTCGCTTTGTCATGATAATATGTTTATGTCTATTTTCGTCAACTTTTGCTAATATTAGAAGTGTTGTATCAGACAAATAAATTTCAGCTAATGTCGTTCCTACTCAGGGTGTTATCTGTTTAAGCTTCGTATAAATACATACCCATTCGACACATTCTTGTTTAGGTATTTTGCCACGTTTTAATCGATTCATTTCAACAAGTTTATTTCGAGCTTCTCTTTCTTCATCTGAAAGTATCATTGATTTCTTCATTCCAACACGAAAACATTTTGCCAAACGACAACAGTTACATAAACGACCATGCTTATATGAAACTAAACAATCACCATCACCCAGACATACAAAGTTTCGTGTCTAGAAAACAAAAAAATTGATTTTAAACTATTAAAACAATAGAATAATAGTAATGAACTCACACCAAGTTTAACTGCATTGCGTCGAAAGAAAGCTTTACATGGCATACAAGTTGATACACCAAAATTCAAACCAATTGCAACACCATCACATACTAAACATCGTCCATGACTTTTATTGGCCATTGTATAAAAAGAATAGACGGAATGGAATGACTTATTTCGCAGATTTTCACCGTAACAATAAATGGAAAACTATCTGGTTTAATATAATAATATTATACAAATCTATAATTTCAAAATAAAATGTTTGATAGTAACATAATTTTAATCTGAGCAGTCAGAATATTCTAACGAAAGTTATATTAGATTTAGTTAAGAATAATCTATAAAAATCATCGCAAACAGATGAGTTTACTCAATTAGTCATACTATGGAAACAAAGACAATTCAATATTCTTAAAGATTTTTCAATAAAAATACAGACTGTCTATCATTTACCCTAAATTCTGGCACCTGCAATGCATCCCTATATCGAATCCGCATTTTTGGATGATGAATCATCGCAATAAAACATATTCAAACTAACAAATATGATTAATATTCACTATATCAAAGTATTTGTAAACCATATGATAATGTTAATGAACTTGTAATATATTTTAGTGATTTTCTGATGAAATAATAAGTGACAAGTATAAATACATGGCAATGAGATCATAATGAAAATCATAATGTAAAACAATTGATTACCAGCAGTTTCTGTAATGATATTCTCGATAAATTTTCTTCCTACGATATAAATTAAATATCAAGTAAATTGGCTGAATTGTTGTAAATGGTTGCCATTTGTGAACTTCAATAAGAAATTAATTTTCATTTTAAAAGCAAAATTCTTTTTATTACTAAAATAAACATGAATATAAATGAAATGAATAGATCTCTTCTGTCTTACAGTAAACGATTGTTTTGATCGAATATAAAATGTTATTTCCCTGTGATAATTGATATCTTCATTATTCTATATATATGTTGTTTTCTTTGCAAAAGAAGCACAGATGATTACAATATTTATGCTTAGAAAAATCGTATTATTGGCTTAGTATTTTCAAACTTTAGAAATTGATTTATCAACTAGTGCTACGAATCGAAATATTACTATAGTTTAACGAGAATAAAAGCTCAAAAGTAATTGATCAGTTATCTTATATTAAGAGACAAAATTATGTTTTAGTACAAGCAGTTAGCATAGATTCAAACTGAAGGAAACATTCATCATATTATCTTCAAGCTATTCATACATTCTAAGAAGTATATCTATATCTCTGCATAAGATCTTAACATAATCCATGAAAAAATAATATGCAAAACTACCATATCTTCAGATTCATGATTTTCCTAATCAAATCCTGACAGATATAACAGAATATATATATATATATATATTATTGATTGTAAAAGTTTAGATACTATACAAAAAACTAAAACAACATTGAGAACTTGAACAAACTATATTCAGTATTTAATTATTGCCAACCAAATAATATTATAGATTTGTTTTGGCAAGCATAACACTCATCAAATATAAATTGATTGTAATGCTAAATAATAATTTTTTTTGGAACATTCATATCAGTAATATGCTCTACTTCAGCTTGTTTTGGCCACATATCTTGTATCAGAGGATTCATTTGTTTGAGTTCAGATGCTAAATTATCTACATATTCATCTACACACGCGCTCAACTTTTTCCAATATAAGATACACGTTATTAATCTACTGTAGAATTTTACTGCATTTTGTTCACTTGCAGAACGTGAAAGAATATATCTCCATAATAATTCAACATAGACATTTTGAGCAGCAAATATAGTTAATGGTTCATCACAAATTTGATCTATATCTGTAGTACCAAGATTTCTTGGACTACCACTGGAAAGTACAAGAATAATTACAATAATTTTTAGTAGCACTGGATCGAAGATATATGCCTGAAGTAGTTGATTAGATTTTAAATGAGCATGAGTAATTTCTGCACCAAATATAGTCATCCAAGTTGTCATAACATTATTTGGTACTGTGGATTGCATTATAGGACCATTCATATTAGCTACAATACCAAAATGATTTTTTACTAAACGTATTTTATCATCCGTATTAATACGAGCAAATTCTGGTATACATTTAAGATATTCGATAGAATTTTGAAAGCCATGAGAAATTTGATTGGCATAGTCATGCAAAGATATATGTTCAGGAGTTGAAATACATATTGATGAATCATTTCTTTTAATTGAAAAAATAGTTTCATGTGCATGAAAAATATTTGAAAGAAGAGTTTGGTCCGACGAAGATAAATATTGACTTGATTTACTTATTGTCATTCGAAGTACGTATGGTGGTTGCATCTATAAATTAAAATTAGTATTTCTATTGACCTAATGAATATTCTATTTTAAGTAGAAAATTGAATTGTTATCAGAAAATGTTCAGAAACTCATAGGTTACTCGCATGGAAAAACATTCTAATTGCAAGAGAAAGATCAAACAAGCTATATTAAAAATATCAAATGTTGCAAAATTATTAAGCTATGAAGAAAATAAGCAAAGCTTTAGTATGTTGGATACTCAGAATAAAGTTATGTTCATGCAGTTTTCGTGATAGAATATTTCATTCGTCGATAAATTATAACTTTCTAGAGATCTTCAGTAATTGTTGTTTTTTATACTATTCAAAATAACTGATAGTTAGTGTAAAATATGAGAAAAATATATTTATAACATACGAAGAAAGCTTAGAAACATTCTCTTTTATTTGATATTTTAATACAGATTAGTTATGAACTTTCCAGAAAATTGATACCTATATCAATTAACAGTAACAATTATTGAATTTTATTCATACTTCTTCTACAATTAGCAATATGTATTTTTTGTTAATTAATTTTACAAAATCTCGATTGCGTATTCAATACATACCCATTTGATACATTGTAGTTTAGGTATTTTTCCACGTTTTAATCGATTCATTTCAACAAGTTTATTTCGAGCTTCTCGTTCTTCATCTGATAGTATTAATGATTTGTCCATTCCAACACGAAAACATTTTGCTAAACGACAACAATTACATGAACGACGACGCTTATATGTTATTAAACAATCACCATCCCTTTTACATATAAATTGTTGTATCTGGAAGATAAGTAATCAATTTTATAATATTGAGATGATGAAATATGAATAGTTAACTTACACCAAGTCTCGTTGCATTTCGTCGAAAGAAAGCTTTACATGGCATACAAGTTGGTACACCAAAATTGATACCAATTGCAACACCATCACATACTAAGCAGTGTCCATGAATTTTGTCTGCCATTTCATAATACCAAGAAAATACGTATATCGATCAATTTCTAAGATTTTATGTACATTCAGCAACTGAAGGCGAACATGTTTTGAAAGAATAAATAACAAAGATCTGAGAATAATATATATATATATATATATATTCAATCTAAAAATATAAAAGAAATTGTTTTTCTTTCATAAATTAAATCCATGTGTAGATGTATGTTAAGAATGTCGGAAAAACAGTATTTAAGTTATCACTCAACAAAAATTAGTATACACTTTGTAGGGCAACGCAAGAATGTACTTTAATGAGAATATTTTCTCTCAAGTTCATATTCTGTTTTTCTTGCATTGCCGTTACTAAAAATAGTAACCACTGATGGAATTACTTACCATGAATCACATTAGATGTGTTCTATTATGTGTTTACGCCATCTATATAATAAAATGTTGAACAATGATTTTTTCGTATTAAAAAAACTATCAAAATATGTCAAATTGCGTTGGTTAACCTAGCATTACTAAGACTTTCTTAGTCTTCGACTCTTTTTTATTTAAACCGCTTATAATCATATTCTGAAATTTTTTAATCTAGTAAATTTTATCTATGTTACGTCTTAATACTGATATAGTTCCTATATTCGTATGATGCTCTAATTAAAATTGAACATTCCGACATTCTCTGTTTCGATATACATTGATAAATACTGTCTTTTCTGATCTATATTGTTAAAAATAACAAAAATGGTTTGCTGTGAGTTAGTTAATGGTTGTTATTTTTACCAGTCATAAAACAAGAAAAATAAAAAATAAATTTGTCAACATTTGCTCATCATTAAAGTTTCTTATTGTTAATATAAATGGAACACACTTTCTATTGATTGATAACTTAAGTACTACTTTTTTCAAGTATACATTCTTAGTGTCTCTCTATCGTTGAATGTGATGAAACTACAGTAAAAATAAATATCAGAACGAACCCTATAAAAACTTGTGTGCTTATATTTGGTTTCTCCCATATATACCTGTTAGAAAAAAAAGTCTATTCTCTACTTACATAACACATCCATATAGACATCGTAATTTTTATCATTACAACTATATAGTAAAGAAAAAAATGTATTCATGTAACAAAAAATATAATCAATTTTGTTATCAATCATAAATATGACATAATAGAAATAATGAATAAAATCGTTTTGCATACATGCTCAGCAAGATGAATATTGGAAAGTATTTACACGTTTATAAGTCGATCACAATAGTATCAGGATTGTTTTATAGTAAGATATAACTTTTAAAAAATTTGGTGAGAAATATATTTCGACAAATTCCATCAGTAACATATAGATAGCTCATTTCGTAAATTTTCTACTATGAAGCTGATAATGAATTAAGCAGTTCTTGTCTTACTAAAATAATAGATATAGCAGATCATCGTAGATATGATTTCTGTCTGTATTTTTCCAATATCTATCAGTATCACTAAAAACCATATGATAATACATCGTAAAATAATATCTATCGAATAGAATATTCCATTTTATCACTTTTTAAATGAGATGATAAATTTTAGAATCAATATCATGCAATGAAATTGTGAAGAAAGTAAACATGGACAGAGTCAGATGTTGGTACACAAGAATTTTAAACAATATAATTGCATCATATCATTATGTTTGATATTCTCCATAAATAGCTTCTTTGCGGCATATATTAACTGTAAAATATTAAGTAATGCATGTTTCCTATAAATATATCTATCTAAAAAGGTTTTTTACTTCTTTATAAGATCTCAATATTAACTATGAAATACAACATCCAAAAAAAAATATAATAGTTTTATAATTCTAATTTTCCTAATCAAACCTTTACAGATATAGAAGAATATATATATATGTATATATACTTAGTTGTGGAAATTTTCATACTATATAAAAAACTAGGACAACATTAAAAACTTGAACAAATCATATTTTGTGCTCAATTCTTCATAATTAAACAGTACTATATATCTGTTTTGACGAATGTTAAACTCATTTGACATAATTCGTATATAAAATAAATTGATTGTAGTGTTAAATAGTAATATTTTCTGCAACATTCATATCGGTAATTTCCTCTACTTCAGCTGTTCTTGACCACATGCTTTGCATAATAGGATCCGCTTGTTGAATTTCATGTGCTAAACTACGTACATAAACATCTATATCCATATCGAGATTTTTTACATATAATATACACATCATTAATTTATTGAAGAACCTTACTGCATTTTGTTCACTTGCAGAACGTGAGAGAAGATATTTCCATAATAATTCTACATAGATATTTTGAGCAGCAAATATGGTTAATGAATCATCACAAATTTGATCTATATCTACATTGTCAAGATTTCTACCATTACTACTGGAAAGTGCAAGAATGATGAGCAGAATCTTCAGCACAAATGGATCATATATATATGGCTCAAGTAATTGATTAGATTTTAAAAGACGTTGAGTTATATCAATACCAAAAACATTCGTCCATGTTATAACAAGCCTATTTAATGGTACTGGTTGTATCATAGGTCCATTAACATTAACTAAGATACTAAAATGGTTTTTTATTAAACGTAATTTATCATCCGTAGTAATACGAGTAAATTCTGGTATACATTTAAGAAATTCAATGCAGCTTTGAAATTCAATAGAAAGTTCGTTTATATATTCATGTAAAGATGTGCATTGAGCAGCAGGTAGAGTTTTTGACAGAGCGTTTTTTGCAACTGTACACGTGTTTGCATAAGCATTGTAAATATTTGAAAGAGTAGCTTCATCGTACGCAGAAAGATATCGAATTGAAGTATTGGTTATCATATGTAAGGTTGGTGGTAGCATCTATAAATGAAAGAAATTTCTTATTCGGATTGCCATACATAACGGAGAATATCAGCAACTAGTCATAGAGAAATAGTATTTATATGAACTGTACTCAAAAATTCAGTATGATTATTTACGAAAGAAAGATCTAAAAATGTGTTCAACAGTACTAAAGTATGTTGAACTATGCCCTTCTTGATTTCTATTTCCTTGCAGGATGACACATAGCGTAGATATGTTTTCTTTGAAGAAATTTTGCTTTATCGTTCGTATGTATTAATGATAAATTTATCTCATTCACAGTTAAAGTAGTAATGTTTTTGCGTATAAAAGTTTAGAAATGAATGAGTTTTTATAGAATACAAGATCAAAGTCTTATTTTTGTACTATTATGAAAAGCAAATAGATTATCAATGGCAAAATATTTATCATCGAAGTCTTAGTATTTATGAAATGTGAAGGTTTCTTAAAACAATCATATCTTTGGAATAAAAACCAGTTGTGCTTCTGTAAAAATATGTTGTATGCAGAAAATATTTTAGATTTTTGCTTAGTTTCGTCTAAAATCTACATATAAGTAAAAGAAATAATTTCGGTATTCTTTCATTATCTATTGTAGTCATACATAAATGCAAAGAGTCAAACATATCAGTTGAAAAGTAGAGACTTATGATAGCTGTTTCATTTAAAAATAAAATCGTCTATTATCACCGTATCCTAAATCTTAATTAAGTGTCTGCTTGAAATAATCAAAATGTTTTAATACTGAATGAAACACATACCCATTTGGCGCATTCTCGTTTAGGTAGTTTTCCACGTTTTAATCGATTCATTTCAACAAGTTTATTTCGAGCTTCTCGTTCTTCATCTGATAATATCAATGATTTCTTCATTCCAACACGAAAACATTTTGCCAAACGACAACAATTACACGAACGACGATATTTATATGATATTAAACAATCGCCATCATTCATACATACAAATTGTTGTATCTAGACGATGAATAATTAAATTTTATAATGTTGAAATGATAAAATATGAATAGCTAACTTACACCAAGTCTTACTGCATTTCGTCGAAAGAAAGCTTTACATGGCATACAAGTTGGTACACCAAAATTGATACCAATTGCAACATCATCACATACTAAACATTGTCCATGACTTTTATGTGCCATTTCTAATATATAAAATCTAGAGGGTATATAATTTTGTAATCTAATTTCGACATAATACAATAATAACTAACAAGTCTTAAATGACTGAATGATGAAAATCTTGTCTTTTTGAGTAAAACATATAATATGCTTTATCTGAAATAGATAACAATATTATTAAATATAAAATAAATTCGTTTTGTATTTTAAATAAATGTATAATATCTAAATTTAAAAGTATTGTAGTGTGCCTACATCATTACCTTTAATCTAATATTAATTTTACTATAGATAGAATAAGATATATTATTCATCGACATTTTAAACTAGAAAAAATGTTTATCAAAAGTTCCTATTGAAAAATTTCTGTCTTCTATTGTATTCTTTCAAAACGACAAATAGTTCAACTAAAAACTAATTTGTATAAGTCTACTTGAATAGATAATTGAAAAAGTGACGTTCTATTAACAAAGGTTATTCTTCAGATTTTTCAATATTTCTGCAGTTGCAATGGTAATCCATAGAGATATGTCATAAGAATCGCGGAGAAATTCATATTATAGATACAGATTGAAAACTAATTTATCGATGATAAATGCAAATAGATGATAAAAAATGTAACTTGATCTGATTAACAAATTACTGTTTTTCTTACGTGCAATAGATAAGAAAATAGCAAAAGAAAAATAATCACATCAACCATTTTACATAGATCTTTGTACGACTCTATTTAAGTAACATAAATATTGAAATAATTTGTTTAAAATATTCAATTCAGTTCATAAATATAATATAATTTAACGCCAATACTTGTGTACAGAAAAAATTAATCGTAAGAAGATATTTTAGTAGATTATAAAAGACAAGTTGCCAAATAAATCATCGAAAACATTCGGTACTGACGCGAGCAATTTTATTGGTACACTAAGATGAATCATTGCTCCATTATTATTATGCAGAATACCAAATAAATTTCATATCAAACATATGTTACCATCAAAAAAATAATTATTAAATTCCGATCAGATTTTCATATTTCCATAAAAAAATTTATTTACACATGTATATAAATTCAAATATTTCTTTAAAAGAAGATCTTCATTAAATAAAGATCAATATAATGTTTGTTGATTCACTTAATACTATAGACATAATATTACCATTAAATAAAAATAAACAACGAATTTATATTATATTAATTGCCTTTGGAAGTATATAGTCATGTAGATTTTTATTAAAACTAAATCAAATGCATGTATGAATATGATTAACGCATAACTAAAGAAAATATATTTAATTATATCCGTCGTAAAAAAAAGTATAATCTTCTGAAATTTATAAATATCTTGGTTAGGTAAACATAATTTAAACAGAAAATTATTCTTGTTTTATTTTACTCACAATACAAAAGTATTTCATCAATATATTGATATAAGTCCGGATATATAGAGCAGAAAATAAAAAGAACAATGATGCGAACGTTAAGTGCATTGTTGTTCTATTCGAGTAAATAAATACTCGAAAAAGACCGCGTTAATAACACACTTTTCTCTTCGAACTCCATGCGAAATATAATGGAAGAAGAGTAAAAGAAAAAAAAATACTTTATTTGCATAAATGACCTTCAAGAACAGATACTTGTGTTGGCGAATGTCACATGACGTAAATGAATGAATCATTTGATAGAAAGAAAAGAACAAGAATAGACTTTGCACTTCGAGGACATGCAAAAGAGAAAGAAAAACAAATAAGTTCTCAGGAAATAAGAAAACATATTCAGTAAGTTCGAATTGATATAAAAATCAAAAAAAGATATTTTACTATATCATCAAATAATTACATCTATCAAATCTAAATTTTCTTGTTATTGCTATTTAACGCAAAATGATATCGTTTTATTCTAATAAAAAAAAACGTAAATATTATTACACAACCATTGTCTTTTGAATATGTCATACATAATAATATAGAAAGAATGAAAAGCAATTATATAATCATCGCAAATTAAATATAAACGTAGGAAAATAATAATTCTATCTAAAACACGTTAAAAGGATTTCATGTAATGTTTTTGACATATTTCATAAATGAAAAAAAAAACTTCTAGAATTTATTTTTATACAAAATACTAATTAGAATAGAAACTACATTTAAAGTTCTTCGAATTTTATTTTTAGACAAAAACTGACCTATTTCTGATATCATTCAATATTAAAATTTATATTTAGTCTAATACGAGATTTTATTAAGATAAGTAGAAGCTTAAAAGGATTCTTTAAAGATAAGTCTAATTTATCTTAGAATATTTTTAAAGTTTCACCCAAATGTACCTTTATTGAAATATCAAGTTATTACAGCATAAAAAAACCAGTTTAGTTGATATTCCAATACACATTACACTTCTCTTGTTATTCAAACAGAATTTCTCTCAGATATTTTTCTATTAGAAAAAGAAAACATAGATTGTTAAGTTTTCATACGATTTATTACAATATAATATATTTGATATGAAACATACGCTTGTTTACTTGAACAAAAATTAACATAAAACGTATACAACATTTAACATTATAATAACGACGGAATAGATGTTCATAACTATAATATAATTCAATACACTGGATGCTATTAATATGATTAATATTTGATAACCATTTAAATAAATCCAATCTTTAATTATACGTAAATTACAACATAAAAATTATAATATAAACTTTTATGTCAAAATCAGTTTTTGTACATTATCTGTGTACATGATCTAGGCCACATACTTTGCATTAATGAATTCATTTGCTCTATTTCATCAGGCATATTATACACAAAACTATCGACTATAAAACATACACGAACTATAAATATAAGATCCATAACAATTTTGTTGAAAAGCTTAATTGCATCTCGTTCTGATGGTAAACGTGATAATATATATTTCCATAGTAGTTCAACATAAACATTTTGGACAGAAAATATAGTTCGAGTATCATCATAAACACGATTCATATCTCTATCGTACCGATTTCTACTAATACTACATGATAAACTACGAACAATTAATAGAAGTTTAGTCAATAATGGATCATGGCTATAAGCTTGTTTTAATCCAAAACATCGATAAAGATCCATGGCAATGTCAGTACCAAAAACATTTTTAAATGTTAATAGAGTACTATGTTCATTCACTTTACTAATTGATTCATTAATAGTAAACATTGTACCAAAATGATTTTTTATTAAACGTATTCTATCATTGAGTGATATTCTATTAATTTCTGGAATAAGTTTGAAAAATTCAATTAATGACATATGTCGTTTACTATATTCATTGAAAAGTGCATGTACAGACGAATGTAGTTCAGAAGGAAAATATGGATGTTCTTTACTGCTCGTTGCTAAATACGTTCGTTCATATGCACTATAAATATTAGTAAGAAGTGTTTGATCTGACGGTGATAAAAAATTTGAATGGCTAAATGTTGAAACTAATAAATTTGGTGGTCGAATCTATAAATAATAAAACATAAATTTTAAAATAGTTTAATTAACTAAAAAATACATTTGATTAATCAAAATTACAAGAGGATATATTATATTTACATACCACTTCTAACTGTTTGTGCGATTCTAATTCTGTTCGTTTTTGACGATTTTGTAGAACCAATTGTCTTCTTGCTTCTTTTTCAGCATCTGACCGAATTAATGATTTTTTCATTCCAACACGAAAACATTTTGCTAATCGACAACAATTACAGATACGACGATATGACTCTGTCACCGGACAATCACCATCTTTTTGACAAACAAAATCAATTCTCTTAAAAATATAAATAAGATATGAATAAAAAAACAAAGAAATTAACATACACCGAGTTTGACTGCATTTCTTCGAAAAAATGCTTTACATGGTGCACATGTTGGTACGGTAAAATTAATACCAACAGCAGATGAACCACATACTAAACATGGACCATGTATTCGTTGGGACATTGACTAGTTTATAAAACTATAGATTAATTACAGCTAATAATGAAACTAACATTACTGGAATCAATTCACGAAATGTCAATATGACATTTATAATAGAAATGAAAACCAGATTGATGAAATATTTTTCGTGAAAAAATAGAAGTTGATAAACGTAAATGTATTTGATTATTAATATCGAATGAAATGTTTAATTAAATATATTTTTGATTATATGGTCTTTACATATAATTATTTACTATTACACTTACCAATGGAATAAATATAAAAATATACTCTAGCAAAATAAAAGCATTTTTTTCTAAAAATAACATAATATATAAATTATCAGATAATAATAGAAAAAAATATTTTTATTACGTTCATTGTTTGTAAAATTGTTAGTCAAAGAAATTTTTCCAAGATATGAGGGAAAAAAGAGGAAAAGAAAAACATCGAAGAAATATAGAAAGATAAAATATAGAAAGAAAAGAACAGTCATAACAAACGGCTGAAATAAAATCATACAATATTTTCTGTTTTGATCGGCTCATGTTATTAAATGTGATTAGTGTTTACGTAAAGATGCAGCACTTGATTTTTCCTTATGTTAGATTTTACACGAGAAGTAAAGAAAAAATACTATTGATACTTAGATTCATATTCTGCTGTAACTCTACATGCTGATCTTGATAATATCACCTTAAACTTTGAAGATGACCGCTATCATTCACTTAACGCGCTATATACGAGAACACATAAAATGTCAGAAGACGATTTTGATATTTTTCTATCTATTCATTTTAAATATCTTCGATGTAATTCAATGGTATAAATTTATCTCTTTTTTCTCTCAGTGTAGATGATAATCGGTAGTTTTGGTTCACTATACCAGTAAACAGATTGAGTGATAATTTGTGTATCATATTATAGATAGTTTTGCTATTCTCAAATTCTTCTAGATTGATCAATGTATTGTCAATTAATATATTGAGTTTTCTCATGTGAAGGAATCATTTCTTCACGAATAAAAACTTACACCTATTATTTACGCTCTCTATGTAAATAATGATAAACTTGACATAACTAATATATCATACAACAAGATGTATAGTTCTTTATGTCACAAATAGAAATGTTACAAAAACTAGTTTTATCCTTACCATTTTCGATGTTATCAATGATGCCTATATATATATACAATTTCTCAGCTTATCGTCGGCACGTTATCAATAGATTAAATCACGAACAGCTCTAACGGCATGTCGTTCTATGGATATACGTGATAAAACATATCTCGATAATACGTTTCTATTACTTAACAATTATCATCTTTTTGACAAATAGGGTTAATTTTCTAGAACTAGAATAATACATGACTAGCACAATATCAATATCGTATATTGTTCAGAGATAAGATACTGGATAATAGATATATATTGTATATCATTCAATTGATAGAATGTTTCGATTATAATACTTTGTCATTAAATATAGAATCTGAAAATAAAGAAAAAAGAATTTTATTAAGGTAATTAAATAAATTTGACAATTGCTATTCTATTTAGTCACACTTTCAAGTATATAAATAAAATAAAAAATAAACATAATCTGAAAAACAACACAATAAAATATAGCAATACTCTGGTTTGAGAGAAAGATGGGTCATTTATTTCAAAAAAATGATCGATGAATGAATGATAATGCTTCTAATATATACATGATATAGATGTACGTCAATGCGATTATATTATCTCCTATTAATATATAGTATACATGATATAATGTAATATGAATCTCTATATCAGGATTTAATTTTCAAGTATGTATATACATTATAGTTATCATAACATGTTCAAATATTAAATGCATTTGTTATATAACGTATTATCAGAAAGAACAGTTCATTTCTATAATTAGAATGCTACTTCATTATCAACTATATTATAATAACTATCTGAATACTCAATGTCAAGTATCTATTTCAATTAATATCTCATATAAAAGAAAACTATGAAGATACTATAATGTCTATGTCTTAACTAATTTCTAATTACATAAAATGTCGAGTGTTGATATCTGAACTTTTCCTTAAAGAATAGTGTCGGATGAAACATACAAAAGAATGTTGTTCTAATACGATTAAAATTTTTAATAAATAAAATAAATTAAAAATAATTATACATATCCAAAACTTTTTAGTTTAAACATGTCTTGTAAATAGTAACAAATAATATATATGAAGAAATTTTTACAAAAAATTTATATTAAATTGAAAAATAATAACTTTACTGTAAATTATAATGATGCCCACACGTAATTTTCAACGGATTAAATATCGATACTTGTTTTACTATAATAAAATCTCTTCGATTTATATTCATTTATCAACCAACTCTAATAAAAATGAATAAATCATGACTCATATGAATTTTTCACTTGTTTAGATCAATTCATTCTATAATAAAACCAATTGATATTCTTTCATTCTCCAGATAAAAGTTCATCAATATCATCATCATCGTCATCGGATATGACATCTGTTTTCTTCGATACAGGCCATATACTTTGCATTAATGGTTCCATTTTATTTATTTCATCTTCTTTCTGTTGCATGTAGCCATTTACGGTGAAGCAACACGTTTGAATATAAAGAAAATCTCGTATAAATGTGTTAAAGAATTTCACTACATATTTTGTAGATGGTAACAACGATTCAACATATCGCCATAAAAGTTCAACATATATACTTTGACTAGAAAATAACGACAACGTATCATCATAAATATGATCCCCACTTGTACTATCATTATATGTATTCATAGCCATGGATAAACTCCAGATGATAAGGATAAGTTTAAGTATTATAGGATCACGTGTGTAAGCGTGTATTCTTTCCATAGAAAGTAATATATCATTGCATATTTTAAGACCAAAGAGATTTTTCACTGAAACAACTAGTTTTTGATTGATAGATCGCGCAAGAATTGCTTCGTTAAGACTAAATAATCCTCCAAAATGATTTCGTATTGATGTTGTTCTATCATTTATCGTTAGCCTATTAAATTCTGGTATAAGTTTAAAATATTCAACTAATGATCTATTTCGTATCTCAGATTCATTATAAAATATATGCATAGTTGTATGTTCTATAGAAGGAAAAGATGAATATTGACCACTATCTGCTCGTGCATAAACTCGTTCATAAGCATTGAAAATATTACCAAGAAGAGTTTGATCAAATGCGGATAAAACTTTTGTTCTTTTTTCTATCGTATATGAGATTGTTGCTGGTTGAATCTATAGATAAAATAAACATAGTATAATATTTATTTGAGTATCAACACCAATAATTTTACATCATCGTGAGTACTTAAAGATTATAATAATTATACATTTTCTTCGATTATCTATTTGTCTAATTGAATTTTCGTCTCAGGAACGTATAAAAGCTTTTCTTATCTCAATTATCTGTTATTCTCTCAAATTAGATATTGTATCAAGAACAATAGCGCATTAAGCTACGGATTCGTCAAAATAATGGAGAATAAAATACGATTAGAATATGTCATACTCAACTAATTCGTTACAAAAACTGTGTATGTATATATAATACGTACTACAGGTGATTTCTTTATAATTTCTACTTTCGTTCGTTTCTGTCGATTTTGTTCGACAACTTCTTTTCGTGCTAATTTCTCAGCATCGGATAATATTAAACATTTTTGCATTCCAACACGAAAACATTTTGCTAATCGACAACAATTACACATACGACGAAATTCGTGTAGCACCGGACAATCATCATTTAATCGGCAAACAAAACCAGCTTTCTAAAAATAATCCAATAAAAACTAATAAGAAATTAATATAGACTAACTTTAACTGCATTTCGTCGAAAAAATGCTTTACATGGAGCACATGTTGGTACACCGAAATTAATACCCACAGCTGAAGAATTACATATCAGACATGGACCAAGACTTCGTGATTTGACTGGTATTGTCGATGGCTGTTGGTCTAACATCTACACTTTTTCTTGATCATGAAATTGAATATAAGTATATCTAAAACAGATATACAATAATTATTTTTCTATATTATAATGCAGATATAGTTTTGAAAAATTATGTTTCATTCAAGTTTATAAATCAATGAGAATATATATACACATACTTTTTTGTTTAAAGTACATTACTATTCTATTATAAAATGACTTTATTTGACAGTAAGTAGCTGTCAGCAAATGACATGTAAACAATTAAAGTCTCAAATAGCCGAGGAAATATGAAATTTAAATATGTATTCAAGGCAAGCAATTAGCAGATACTAGCAAAACAAAAGAGTAGGTCAAACGTTACATATAGGTAAATAATAATAATGTCAAAAATTTATGAATGTACTTGTTCTCATTAATTATAATCGTTGTAGGACATTTACCAGAAGTATCTTATTAAGATGAATAATACAACAAGGTATAATTCGTTTATGTCCGATCTTTCGTAACAATATTTTAAATATATGTTATTCCTATAGCGTATGATTCATTTTTTTTATCAGTGATACTCAATCAACCGAGACCAAATCAATATTAACGATTTTCCTTGTCTTTATTCACTAAATATTAGATAGAAAATTTAAAATTATGATAAATAACCGTCATAAAAATTAGCTATTGCGTTCTTACATAAGTATTTGTTCAGTTATACTATATTTCAACATGTGGAACAACTTGTTATAGAATTAATAATCTATATGAAATGCTAACTTAAAAATATTACTAATCAAAATTTATTTGTACTACTGCTATTCTATTTTATATATGAACAATTGGAGACGATAATAAACTTAACTTTGAACAAGAGAAAAGTTAGACAATCACGAACTCTTTCCAAATGTTGCTTGTTTGACAACGTATTTCCAAGATGCCTCAACAATAGTACTATATAAACTCAACTATCTTTTTTTGTTTTGAAAGAGCGTCAAAAATTAAAGGTACTGGGGGGTTCCGTTTTTGAATAAACTTCTGTTAATAATGTGTTGAAAAGTATTTATATAATTAGAGTGCTATTTTCTGAGAGTTTGTCGAGTAAAAGATCTTATCGACTCTTTTCTTCGCCTGATAGATAGGAGTTTTACAGAAGAACTTTCTCAGACCGTACATTTTGACATGCTCTTTAAACCAAAAAAACTTAAGTATACCATACTAGCTTAGCATAGTGCTATCGCGCTGAAAATTTTATCACGTCATCGTCTGAAAATAGCATACTAGTGAAACGAGTTAGGGTTGAGATCGGCTTTCGAAGAGAGGAGGGGACCTTAAACAACAAAGTAGTTATATATCAGTTCCATAGATAAATTCTGTTCGATAATGACCAATAATATGCTTTTTCTCTACGTATCAAGATCTAGTTTATGCGACTCTAATATGAAATATAATGATGAATATTTAAAGAAAGAAATTAAAAAATTACCACAATGCAACATTAACAGATTGTTATTGATTACAGCAAAGCAGTCCTGTAATTATTGAAATATTATTTCGAGGGATTCTCGTTTACCTTTCGTACTTTCTTTGTACTATAAAATATTCTGTTCAACTGTTATTACTTAACTTTTTTAGTTATTAAACGAGAAAATATTAACTTTCAATCTCGGATTAAGCATATATCTGAACGCGAAAAATGTGTCACTGAGACTATGGTAGAGAGGTATGCACCAATGCCAGCTCAGAACTTGAGGACTGAATTCTCAATGAACTGACGCTAGTACATTCGTAATCTTGAAGAATCTCACTCCTACACTGCATATAAATAGAACACTGATTATGTGTCATCATCTATTCTAAATTAATTGAAAGCTTTATCAAACATCAGACGAAGCTGTCATTCACATAATCCACTCATTCATAATGCACAAAAAGGAAGTCATAAAGAGCAGAAGAAGGTCACATAAACACTGCATACCTATTTACACTAGTGCATTTAAAGGAAAAAGAGGTGTAGATACAAAATTGTTCAAAATAACAAGAGTCTCATATTAATGAGATATATTATTAGAAACATGCACTCTATCGTACTCAAGAGAGTTCAGACTTAGGATACATATGCTAATAAATGTTTTATTGTATTTGAAAATAAAAATATTAGCAATACTGATGATCTTTGATAATTACAATATGAACTATACGAATAAAATTCATTAACTTCTACACCCATGGTTTTAGGAATAAATTTAAAGAGATCATTTAGAGAAAAAATATAATAAATAAATATTGAAAATTTTCTAAAGCTTTCTATGAATAAAAATTATTGTTTTTATTCTCAAATTTTATTTTTCTATTTTGATTTAAACATGATTCGATTAAAGGGTATTTCGAAAGAAATCTTCTATTTATTCTAAGATTAACAAAAAAATACATACCAAAATCTACATATATATAATAAACACTTAATAGCTGACAATTCATTAAAATATCTAGAAAAAATAAGCTTTAAAATTTAATATAAAAATATATAATTAAAATAAATATGCGCAATAACATTAATAATATTTCTCAAGAAGTATGCTATGCAAATCATTTCTTTACATTTAAAAAGACATTTGACAAACATTTGTACTCCAGATTATATTGACCTACATTTATCTCAAGGTTTTAAAAGAATGAAAGGAATATTATTTCGCATCTATTGTACTAACACTTTACGTTACTTGATAATGTACAGACTTAATAATATTGAACAACAAACAGGAGATGCCATGACTTTGATTGTGATATAGACATGTAATATAACATTCTTATGTAAGTGAAGCGTACTATGTCAAGGTGATATAAAGAAATATGAGCATTATCTATTTGATAAACGATACGTACTGTAAAGTGATGTATATATATTAGTAATCATTGAACTTTTATCATGAAACAAATAAGAAAGATAATTTATTTTTGAATAAGTAACAGGAAAAGAAAATATTCTTCTCACGTCAGGAAATTCTCTTTTTGCAAGGAAAGAAGAAGAAAAAATGGAAGTTAATCATTAAGCTATCGAATGAGAAAGAAATGTTCAAAAGCTTTCTAATGATGCTACAAGTAGAAACTCAAAGAAAAGTATAGAAAAAGTCAAAATTATTCTAGTGAAGTCTTAAAAAGATAATCTATTCTATATGTCAAGAATAATCAGTAACTTTCCTTCTTAAATCAATAAAAACCAACGAATGATATATATATAATAATGATGAATATTAATATGCTGAAATGAATTAAATTTGTCCTGTAAAAGGACATCTGCGACAAAATGCACTTAGTATCTCAAAAGAACAAGAAGAAGAAAAGATTTGTTGATAAAAAATAGATTCTTTCATAAAATACGCCCTACTTTTTCTTCTTCATGGCAAAAACAAAGTATACGATTATTTTTTTTCTTGTGTTTTATTATAAAAAAAGAAAAGAAGCACGGTGCGCAACTGCAGAAAGGAAAAAAAGGAGCGTACGTGTGGAGAAGAGAAAAAAAAGGAAAGAAAAACCAGAATAAATCTGATTTTTATTTTTTTGATAAATCAAAAACAAAAGAGAAGAAAGTCAAACAAAAAACCAAAAAACATACATTGGCTTTCTATTTTTATCTTTTCTTTTGTTTTAATATACACAAATGACAATACATATAAAGAGACAATACACATCTTTACGAACACACATAAGAAGTCTGAAGAGAAAGAACAAAAAACTTTTAGCCAGAAAAGGAAAAAAAGAGAGAGAGAGAGAGATAAGAAGCGGGAAAGAAAAACGAAATTGAATACCTTAGTTGTTTTATTGTCATTAAGTCAAAAGAAGGAATAGTTAGTGCATATAAAAGAAGAAAAAAAACGAGATGTTATTGAGGAGAATAAGCAAAAACAAAACAAAGAAAAAAATCAATAAGACATACACATTATTTGAAATTGCTCTATGAATAATATGTTCTTTCGCCTCTTTTTTTCTCTCTAGATTATAACATTCATCACCGGTTCTTTTATTTTTACAAAATCATTTGATATTTCAAGGTGTTGTACGTATTGAACCGCTAGTGCGATGATTTGTTGTTGATTTTTGTTGTTGTTGCATTGCTTGATATTGAGCAAGAGCTATTGAAGTTGACGATGTTTGAGATTGTAGTTGTTGTTGTCGGGATAATGCTTGACAAATATTTAATGTTGCATATTGAAATGCAGCACGAGCTTGTTGTGTTAAATTACATAATTTTCGAATTGAATGAGATACTCGATCAAATGCTATACAAAAGAAATATTATTTATTTGTTTACTATTTAAATTAAGGTTTTCTTTTTTTTTGGAAAGATGGTGAATTTTCTTTTTTTCTATGAATTTCTTTTGCATAGGGGATAATATGAATCTTGAGTGGTATTTATTGCACGATAATCATTTCTTATATTGCAAATTTCCTGTTCTAAATATAGGTTTTACACTAATAAAGCTTCAAACTACATTAACTTTTTTTTATTGAATGTAAAAGAATTATTCGAGCATTAATATGAAGCATATCAAATATCATAGGGAATCTTGATTGAAAGAAATTTTCTGTTATGATGAATTCATAAGTTTTTATTAAATTATATGTTGAAGTGATTGGATTTTAAAAGAAGAATTATACTTTAATCAAAACCTATAATCGTCAACAATGTTAATGATATACTTTTAAATTATTTAAGTATATAAAAAGAAAAAAAATCCCGATTTTCTTATATAATCCTTTCGTAATTATTTCTGTTGTATAATCTCGTATATCAGAAAGGGAGAGAGAGAGAGAACATTTTTTCTTATTCTTCAAATATTAATTCATTTTAATCTACCTGCTTGTAAAACTGTATCAGTCATGTAATACGATTGAGGATGTTCAGTACTTAATCGTAATTTATTTTCTTCTTCTTGATGAATGATTTCAGCATTTATAATTGATTCTTTCCATGATTTAAAAACAAACATCAAGTCACGTAAACGTAATTCTGCTCTTCCCGTTGCTAATAATTCAAAAACATGACTTGCCTAAAAAAAAATTGAAATAAATGAATTCTTTTTTCAAATATACACTTACAGTTATTTCAACTTTTTTACATTTAAATACAAAATATTCAGGTACAATCAGAATACGTGATGAACAACAATTTGAACCATTTAAATTTGTTGATGGAAATGTTGGTGATGGCGAATTTAAACTAACATAACTTTGAACCTAAATAAAATCAAATTTTTTAGTTTTAATCTTCAATTACGATCTCATATCAAAATTTTAAAAAAAAAGTATCGAGCAAAATACTTATAATCCTCTTAACACAAATAGAAAAAGCAACAGTATTTCAATTGTTAAGAAAACTCGCTTTTCCTTCTATAAATCTAAGTTATAATCAGCAGAAATAGTTTTCATACCCATCTTTGTTCTTGTATAAGTGTATTTAATTCATCAAAACCTTTATAACAAAGTTCATTTAAATTTTGTAACAATTCATGAATATTCGTTGGATTATTATTTCTTGATGATGATTGTGATAAACCTATTTGTGGTTGTTGAAGCACCATTGTATTCATTTTACGTTGTAAATTAATATTTGAATCTAATGAATTTGATGTTACTGGTTGTTGCCATGTTGATTCGGATGTAATTGGTGTTGATGCACTTGCCATTGATGCAAGAAAACTAATATTATCATGAACAGCTTGTTGTTCTTTATCTAAACTTGATTGTCTTTGTAATGTTGATGAATGAAACATTGATAATGGTTCATTAGTAAATAATTTATTTGCATTTTGTATTTGTTTTTGTTGTTGTGTTAATTGAATAAGTGCTTCATCAATTGAAGATGAAGTTGATGATGAAGCTGATGATGATGATGTTCGAGTAGCAATTGATGATTGATGATTCATTGATGGAACTTTATTGTTAGTTGGTTTCGAAGGAATAAAATCTAGATTTATAAAAAAAATATTATTTAAGACAAGAACAGTAAACTTCGAAATTTATGATTTGAAAAATATCTGATAATTCTCTCGTGATATAATAATCTAGATGAGATCTTCACATTCATAGTTCTTACCTGTATGTCCATTAGTAAAGAATGAATTTGTTGATGTAAATATATGATTTGGTGTCATTCCTCCATCGTTTATTCTCTTGTCATTTTCAATTGCTGTTATTGTTATAGGACTGTCTGTTGTACTACTTGTAAGAATTGATGCTGCTGATGATGATGAAAAATAATGATTATTATTATTATTATTATTACTTAATGAAAGACTATTGGGTATATGCGGCTTAGCAGCAGAATTATTTGTTGTTGATGTTATCGTAGGTGACGAAGGTGAATTAGTAGAAAAAATCTGACTTGTTGAATGAAGAATTGAAGATGAGTAGGGATGAGTAGACATTGGAAAAAAGATAGATTGTTCATCCGATGTAAATGACAAATGAGATGATGATGATGATGAACGAATATTTCCAACATTATTAACAATTGGTTGTTGTTGTTGTTGTTGTTGTGTATCTATTTATAAATTTAAATAAAAAACAATTCATTTATATGTAAATATATATAAATATATTTGAATTTTAATATAATATTTACCGACAGCTGTCGATTGTAATAACTGACTAAAATTGATTGTATCTGAAGAAGAGACTGGTGTTTGAATAACAGCATTACTAATTGATGATAATGTGGAATTTTTATTCGTTGTTTGTGAAAGAAGTAAATCCGATGTTGATGATGATGATGAATCAAGACGAAAATTCTCAAAACCAGGTGGTGGTCCTATTGGTTGTGGTTTATCAATAATTGTTGGTGATGAACATGTTAAATCAGTAAATTGATTTAAAAAAACATCATCTAATGCATTATTTGATGTTTCATTATTATTATTATTATTATTTTGATGAATATTATCAATTAAAGCATTTGGTGTTATTGTTTGTGGTGATGGTGTTGTTGTAGTAATAGATGAAAGAAATAGAGCAGCTAAATCAGCATCACTTAAACTATAATTATTATTTGGTTTATTCACTGTTGTGGTTGTTGTTGTTGTATCAGATGAATTCATATTCAATATTGATGAAGAAAAATAATTTGATAATGAATCATCGAATAGATTAAGTGCGGACGGATGTTGAAGATCAGGTAATAACGATTTATTATCAGTTACTAAAACAGACAATAGATACATTTAAAATGAACTTCTTAACTTTAGTGAATTAGTAATCGATGTAAGTGAACGATAGTCTTTAAATTTATCCTTCGATAATATATATATATCTTTTGTTTTTATCTTCGAACTAATACAATAATATTTAATAAATCACAAAAATTCAATTTATTTTTCCTTCAAAGAAATGTTTGTTTTTTCAATGAATTTCATTTGAAACATTATCAATAGATATGTTATCATTTCCTTTTTATTTATTCATAAGTCTAACAAAAAATATTATCAGTTTGATCTATCTAAATACGACTAAAATACACACTGGTATCTTTTCTTGAAAAAGAAAACTTTTAAGGTCGACATCTGTTATATTTCATCCTGAGAAAATTATAACTGAAATACAAAAGAACATATGTGGAAAAAACTGAAATGGAGTATGTTAAATGACTAATTTGTCTGCCTATTATTACTAAACGATATTTTTGTATAAAGATCTTTTCTATATTAAGAAATTTGATATATTTAAAAGCTAACTCTAACAATGTAGTCATCGAGAAATGATTTTGATTTTTACGGTTATTAATAAAATATTTTTTAAACATCACTTAACTCAATAATTTAAAAAATTAATAAAAGCAATGAGTTGACAAGCAAATAAAAGCGCATACATCATTAGTTCTGTTTAGTTAAACATGCATTGAATTTTGATTTCAGCCATAATTCTATTCAATTTCTTATAAACATAAACTATTTCTCAAATAGAAACTATTTTAACTGTTACTATCGATGAAAAAAAGGAAGTTCGAATAGAATATTGCATCACTGGGAAAATTTCGATAAGATTAAATAATATATAATAGATTTATCTAAACTTAAAAGTTTACCTTGTAATTCACTGACAATCGGCTCTTTTAATAAATTACATTAAATTTCAATATATTTAAAAACAAAATCTGCCTGGAAGAATTTTATTTGTTTTCTTTTGTAAACTAAAAAAATCGAGTTTCTATGATTCTCATAACAACCAATCAGAATAAAAATATGACAAAATTTCTCAACTATAGACATCTATCAAATACTACTCAGTATATATCTTTTTACCATTATTTCCGGTTAAAATCGTTGTTGAATTTTGTTCTCGTATTGGCATAAAATAATATTGATTTGTTTGATTTATGACGAGACTTTAAACAATATAAAATATTATAAATAATACATTTCTTATTCGAAACAAATTATTTATATAAGCAATATAAAGATTTAGATTAGACAAAATTGTTAACATGCAATGAATTAATGTTAATAGTTTAATATAATAATATGATATTATTCAATACCTTTGTTGTTCTTTGTGTAAAACTTTTTCTTTTGATTGTTCAATTAATTGTTGATTGTAATTTTTGTCTAAGATCAAGTTGACCTCGTTATCACAGTGTGCGTCTTCGTTGAAACTAAATTATATATATATATATTGAAATAATTGTTTTTTTCTCGTATGATTTTAAGACATAAAAGAATATTGATCTTACTGTGAAGAATGATAATTTTGTGGACGATACGTCGTATTGCAGATATATGTCGAGTAATGAAAGTTCATTGGATCCGACAATACACGTCTAAAAATTTAAGCAAAAATAATAGTTACTTCCTCAAAATACATTCTCGCTTTTCATCGTCACATGGTTTTTTAATGACCAATGTGTGTGTATAGAAGGTGTGTGAAATCTAGTCAGAAACCGAATAATTACCGTCGTTTGTTTTCCTGCTACTCGTTACTTTCTTGTTTCATAAACAAAACCACTTTAACAGCATCATTCTTTAATATATTAGTTTTTTTTACTAAAATAGATAAAATAAACTTTCTTTTTTTTTTCAACTAAGAGAATAAAACAATTGAATTAGCGAACCTATGATGTAGTACGATTTGTCTTTTTTTTTATTGTTTCTTTTTTTTCTGTTGTTATTGTTGTTGTTATTATTATTATTAATTATCTTATTAATTTTGCTACTATCTAGTCTGAAGATGAAGAAATCAGAGATAAAGATAACGAGAAATTTTATGAACAGTAATTATGATACATCATGCAGAGGATAGAAAGTGAAATGTATATGGCTCAAAAATAAGAAGAATTTTTGAGTATAATATTAATAGTATATAGATGACGCTGTTAGATGAGGACCTGCAAAATTCTTACCTAGTAGCATTGAGAATTTTTACGAGGAAATAAAATCATGCTATTACTTCTATTTACTCAACAGAGTTTTGAATAGAATTCTAATATTCATCCACAATTTTAATTCAATCGATAGACTTGAATACATTTATATGTATATGAAAAGTAAATTTGTGCGAAAAATTCTATTTCTTCAGTAGAATTTTATTTAACCCTTAAAAGCCGTATGTCCCTTTCAATGGACATTGCATTACACGCTATAGAACGAAGGAATAAAGTCTTTTCTACAAAAGCTACTGTTTTTAGGGACGAAGACAGTCATAGTGAAAGTATGATGGAACAACATTATGCTAAAACAGTTGTCAAATGCCCAAACCTAGCTCTTAGAATGTATAATTTTTCAAGCAAAATTGGTTACTCGGATATTGATATATCCTGATATATACAATATAGATTCTGAGTAATATCATTAGAAATAACCCTAAACTATAGTTTAGAACAACTTTGCACGCTTTTAACTCTTCTACTAAGGTATTCTGACGTTATAAAAAAGTACCATTTTAATGGCATTTTTGGGCATAGTAATCACGATTATTGTGAATTTTTCGCTCAACAGATAATTGGAGATATGTTAAAATATCATCAGAATGAACTGACAGTGATTCTGAACCATATTAGAAACTCAAGCGCACAAAAAATTATGAAGGTCATATTCCACCCAGGCCATCTGGGTGGAAAAAATTTTTGGTCACACCCAGCAGTTCTAACCACGGCAAATGCATATTGAAGGCCTAAAATCTCTATTTATGTAATTAATTCTACCTGAACTTCACGGGAACCCCCTTCGGCTTTTAAGGGTTAAGTTACAAAATTCTAAACTCTGTTGAGTGAGAATTTTGCAACTGCTGATAAAATAAAATCAAAATTTTGTTTGCAATACAAAATAAAAAGAAATATATTATACAAGTAGTGTAGTTTTCCAAAATCTTTGATTTTATCAACCTGTTATAATATAATTTATATTGATAATTTCGTTTTCCTATAAATACAAAGAATATGAATAATCTGGATATTTTTAAAAATTAAATATAGAAATTTTCCTATGGAAATAATTTTCTTTCAATAAAAGATGGAGGATTAAATCAAGGTTTTTTTTTTGTCATTTTGAAAAGTATATAAAACAATCCCTGTTGAGTCCGAAAGTAGGCTATTTTATAAATCGATATATTTATAATGATTTATAAATCATAAATTTTTCAACCGAAAATTTAAAATATTTATAAATATTTTGGCATTTATAAATCGGGCCTATTTATAAATCTGTTTTTGATTTATAAACCCTTGAAAGATTTATAAATACCGATATGATTTATAAATATCTGCTTGATTTATAAATATATCACTGATTTATAAATACCTACCTGATTTATAAATATATGAACGATTTATAAATATCTACTCGATTTATAAATCTAACTCAATTATAAACGAATATTGGATAAATAAATTCGAGTATATTGTATAAGCATCTGACCAGTTTACAAATTTTGACCTAATTGATAAACCTGAGTGATTAAATTATCTTTTGTCATTTTAAGTGTCAATATGAGTGTATAACATCCCCATGATGGAATAGGATTTCACTAAATCTATAAGCACTATTGCCACGAATTTATACTAGACATTTAGACAGCTTTGAATTTCTAAACTTGTCAAATTACCAACTTCGACTTGGTTTATAAATTTTGACCCTATTCATAAATCTCGACCCGGTTTATAAACATTTTAAATTTTTACAATTTCTGATAAATTTAAATTTTTGTCCAAATCATTTCGGACTCAACAGTGAAAACAATCGATGGTTCTGTTTTCTTATTATGATACTTTAATAAATATCGTTCTTGTTTTTGTGAATGTAATTTATTTGAAATTTGAAGATTTATATTATTTCTATCTATAGAAAAAACGATGAGTTTATTAATTTTAAATATCATATTCCTTTATAATTTCAAGGCAAATAGACTGAAACATTATTCAGTACATATATATACAATCGTCTCGATCTGAATAATTACTTATAGATCGAAAAAATGATTTGTAAAAATAATTGATGTGATTGTTTGTATGCATTCGTTAGTTAGTTACAAAATTTCGAAGAAAACAGTATATGACATACTATGATTAGAAAAAATTAAAATAAAATTATCTATAAAAAATATCAAATTTGTGATCTCATTGATGACAACATATAGTCAGTTGACATTTATTTTCTAAATTGATGTAAGTATTCTTGACAAGAAGAGTTTAGCATGAATGCTAACCAACAAATCTTACATGTCAAACAAAAATACATCAAAATATGGTTGATTTGTTTTTGATAGACAGAACATTCTGTACGATCTATGATCAAAGTCATTCCGCTTCTATTTATAACATGAATACATTCCGTCACGTTTCGCCAACCAGACTATTACTAAGTCTTCTTTCTTTTTTTCTTGTCTTGTATCTTATCTTGTCTCACACTCGACTTCTCTCATTATCGTTACAAAAGAACAACTAATTGCTTTAGAATCAAAATATGATAAGCAAAAAGAAAAAGAAAAAAAAAAGCAATAGTTCTCCAGAGATCAATCTGTTCATCATCATCATCATCATCATCATTGTATGACATATTCATCGAACTATCTGCGTGATGTTTTTGATTCCAATCGATTTTTTTTCTCCACCTATTCTCAATGGAATTGCATGATCATCATCTGCTAGCAGAAACGTTGATCGACGATAAGTATATATCGCCGTTGGATACTAATGAATTGAACATAACGACATTGTTTATATTATTAAAAAGAATCTAGCTAATTGCTCAGCATGAATATTAAACATGTGAATTTTTAAGAATTTCTTATTGTATATAAAATACATGATTGTTAAAAAACAATACGAAAGAATTCTTCATAGATGATGCATATGGCATGATTAACTAGTTATGTCAGTAATGGATCATTTAGTATAGAAGAAGTATAATGATTTGTAAATTCATCGTTAAACTTTTTTTTATATATGAAGATATTGACTTATTTGATCTAGTCTTAATTGAAGAGACAATATTAAATTACCTATTTTCTAAAAAAATAAATACATAATTTTAACACGTCTTTTTTTCTTTTGTCTTTCTCATCGTTAGCATTATAGTCATCGTTTATCTTTTTCCCATCCATATAGACAATAGATGTGTCAACTATAATGAACTAGTGGGTTTATTCTCTATCTCTCTCTCTCTCTAATTCGATAGTTCATGTTCATTGAAGCACATCAATTCTGTTGTGTTTAGGTGTCAAACGAAGAAGATCAAACAAGAACAAAAAAAAGAGATAAATGCGATTTTGTCACTCTATGGTTCGCGTGTGTACACTACTGTGTATGATGCTACTTTTAATAGTGTCGTGTTCAATTGCCTCCCGGTCAAAGTCAACTCTACAGATGGTGTCGTGTTGTATATTCTTTCTTTTATTTTATAAAGAAAAAAAGAGATTTTAAAAGATAAAAGAGAAAATAGATAGTGATAAACACACCCTACCGATGGAAAAAAAAGCAATCTATAGTGTTAGGAATGAAATTGAAACTATATAGAATATATTTGATCTGATGAAACAAAAAAAAAGAACTTAAATAAGCGGCTGATATATAACTGACACAAACATGCCAATGTATTCTAGTTGATAATGATGAATAAAAAACAACAGAGAAGTGAATTTATCAAACAATACTATCGATTATCTATTCTTTATTTCTTACTCGACTTATATCGTTAGCATATCTATGTCGAACACACAGCAAGTAATAAAAATCTAAATGTTGCCTATCATATGGATGTCACAAAAAAAATTACAACAATCATAATTTCAATTTTAAATTTTGATATGCTTATAATTTAAAATTCAATACTTTTAAGTGTCCATGTTAAATTAGATTTAAATAGATACATAGTTCTTTTTTTTTACATGTTCATATTTCGATTAACTTGCCCGCCCTTGTCATGTCTTGTACATTTCTATATACTATCACTAATGAACTCAACCATAACGGTGTCCATATGGTGATGTTTACTTAGGTGATTCAATGAAAAAAAAAGTAATGTCGTTATAAGGAGGAGAAGACGAAGATGGTGTGTCCTCGGGCGACAAGAAATAGATAGATCGATAGATAGATATTCATGTTAGTAGTGATGATCGTTTAGCGGGTATATATATATATGCATGTATATGAGACAAGAAGTCTATAACAGCTTGCATATTTAGTGATATTTATCTATCTTTTTTATGGAATTGAAATAATAGAAAGCTTTAGGCAGGATCTGTTGGCATTGTATTAATAGAAATAAGATCAAAAAAAAAAGAAAGAAAAACAAGATTTTAATATAAGAGAACAAACACAATGTACAACATGCGAAAAAAAAACTTCTAGTGAATAAGAAAGTCAAAAGAAAAAAAAATAAAAAAATAAGACAATTTTTTTTTCTTAATTGATACTCGTGATAATAAATTTTTTAAAAGTACGGAGGATAAACAGGAACATGATGTTGCTGATGTGACATATATGATGGTTTAATTGGTGATGATGTATTCGGTGATGTTGAAGATGATGATGATGTACCTGTTGTATTTGTTGTTGTGCCTATTGATGATAACATTGATGATGAAAATAATGGATGAAGTGCGGCTGCAGCTGCATATGCTGCTTGTTGAGATTGATGATATGCTGATGATGATGGTGATGATGATGTTGATGCACTGTTAACTGCCATCGCTGCTGCGGCTGCTTGAGCATGATAACCATTTAATGCTGGTTCATTCTTCATTAAAAGTCCATAAGGAAATGGATCTTTATCTTTCATACTGCATGATGAACTACTAGCAAGTAAACTACCATTACCATTACGTTTTGTGTTTGGTTTTCGATTACGTGTTTGAATGTTCTCTTTTTTTAATGTTATTGGACGATTTACCTATCAAATATAATGATCTATTTAGAAAATTTAAGAATAACAAAACAAAACTTTGTTTATCTATTAACTTCTAATTTTGTTATTACGTCAGATTAGAAAAACAGATACATTCTCTCTTCTCTTGTCTCTCTAGTTAACGGTTCATCTTTTTCAATTGAATATGATAATAATGATGATGATGTATGTGGACAATGTCTCGAATCTTATTCTTTTTCTCTAATCGAATTTGTCACGTATTTAACACAATGAATGAATTTGAACGCGTTTATACGATTGATCATGATAATTATGTATACTTTCATGGACACAGCAAAGCTCTATCCTTAAATCAGTTCATCATGTAAAGTTTACACATTTTTGACTTTAATATATATATATATCTATTCTATGAACATCTTTTTTTTATTGATTAAATTACCTTATGTAATTTATAATATAAACCACAAGCATTACAAACACTTTCACCATGGCCATTTCGACGCCATAATGTTGTTGTACTTGTATTACAATTTGAACAATGAACGCCTGTTTTCTTAACTGTTGACTATAAATATAAAGAAAATAAATAAATAAATAAAAAATTTGAATATGTTTTTGTTTTTTAATGAAATATTTTCTTACTAAACGTCGTTTAGGTTTAATCAATGGTCGATTGTGTCCATTCATTTTATGATAAAGACCACAAGCATTACATAAATAATTACCATTACCATCACGTCTCCATAACGGTGTAGCTTTAGCTCCACAATTAACACATTCGCGACCTTCAGCTAAATAAGCAAAAGACAAATCATTAATTATTTGAAAAAAACCGAAAAATAATTAATTTGTTTTTCAAACCTTGACTAGGTTTTTTCTTTGAATTTGAATTAGAAATTTTTCCTGTTGAATCTGTTGGTGATTTCATAGTTGACCAAAAAACAGCTGAATCTTTAAGAACATGACCCCAATTGTGATGATGATGATAAGCTGCTGCTGCTGCAGCAGCACTTGTAGTTGGTGATGTTGTAGTAGGAAATAAATTTTGATGGGGATGATGATGTGAATGATAGTTTTTATTATTAAGTAATTCTTGTTGTTGCTGTTGTTGTTGTTGTTGTTGTTGTTTACTTGATGAATCAAGTAATGTATCATGTGGAAGATCTTTTGGCGGTGTTGGAGGATAATATGGTTGACCAAATGATGCTGCTGTTGCTGATGATGAATTTGTTGCTGACATAAAATTTGTGTGAGCATGTGGAGGCGGAGGATGTGAAGACGTATAAGGAAATGTAGATGATGTTTGAGTTGGCCAATTTCCAACTGAATATTTACTTGGTTCAACCCAAGGAAGTGATGTGAGAGCTTAAGAAAAGAAATAAAAATATTCATAAAAAGTTTTATTATAACTAAATAAATATATTTACGTGCTGTTCCATACGGTCGATAATATTCTACACTTGTTGAATAACATTCAGCAGGATAATTTGACCAAGCATTACGATGTGAATTATTATTATTATTATTTAATGATGACGATGATGTTGTTTCGAATGTATCCATTAATATATATATATAGATAGATATATATATTATTGTCTAATCGAATAAAGAATGTAAGAATGATGATGAAACGGGTTTATCTCAATTTTTGATAGATCCACAAAGATCTTTCTATATTCTTTTCTCGTCACTCGTATATCTTGTCTTCGATAGGATCTTTTGTTGAAACTACAAGTTACACGCGTCGACCGGTAGCACAGATAACAACAGCATTTCTTTTTCTATGTATGAGCAAAACGAGAAACGAACAGAAATATGGTAAAAGAGCAAGATTCTTTTGACAAGATATGCGTCTATCTAGATTTTTTTTCTATTACCTACCTCTCTATCTCTCTCTCTCTTCTGGCTTGATGTACAAGGCAATTTGTGTTTCGTTGTATATATGTATGTCTTGGTTTTCTTTTTTTTTTTTTCTTGACTATTGCAATATAACGACTAATCAGATAAATGCATTCATGCGAAAGAAAGAGACAGGGAGAGAAGATGTTCGCCTTAGTCAAACGAGCACCGACGACTTTTCTTTTCTTTTCTCTTTCTCTTTTTATGTTCGGAATGATATATGCAATTGGATTGGTCGATTGAATAAAAATATATTTTTGTCCAATGATAAATGAGAATGATGTTATCTGATTGGAAAAAAAAGGAAGAAGAAAAACAACGATAATTATTATTCATATTATTATTTTTCTATTATATTCAAAGTTGATATATGCCAAATATATACATTAATTAGTTTTCGATTTTTTTGTAATGAAATAATTTTCACAGTTATAAGAACGATACAAAAGAACATTCTTCAAATGTTTAGTTTGCTAATCAAGAAGAAGAAGAAGAATTACTATGCGGTATTTTGATCTAACACGCTAGTATTTGTTTGAAGAAATAAAACATGATGAATGATGCAACAGTTCAAGTTCTTAATGTATATACATATATATATATGTGTGTGCTTTATCATCTTGTTGACCACCTACAGAGCATTTTAGCATTTTTTTCTAAATGAATAGGTCGATATTGAACTACATAGACTATAAATTAATAAATGATGATTATCAAGAAAATAATTCCGCAATTTAATTGATCAAGTAACATTCTATAGAAATAATAAGAAGGTTTTTCTTTTCTCAAGATCGAACAAAAAAAGAAAACGAGAAGAGATATATATTCGCATTGTATTAGTTATATTTGCTTGCTTGACGACGTTGATGTTTGTTTATCTATATATACGATCAATCATTCAATTAATCGAGAACGTAAAAAAAAATAGGGAGAGACGAATGCGACATACCATACAGGCATATTATGAATATATACGTATGTATATAAATGAAATCACTTTCGAGACGAAGTATGAGAGTGCGAGTCCATTAGATGACAGTTAATCGACAGGCGAACGCAACTGTCACTCCTGAACGAGCCCATAAATCCTACGCAATATTAATTCATGTATAAAACGATTGAAAAATACAAACGACATTCTTTATGAGAATTATCACCTAAACTATATAGATTTTCATTCTATTATTGTCCATTTTCTCTTGAATAAAATTATAATTAGATCATTTGCGAAAGGAAAAGGGCTTCTCTTAATACAAATGAACCATATAGATATGCCCGAGGGTGGGCGTTACTGACTCTAACACATTTCTTTTTCTACGTTAGATACATATTGATGACGTGCAAACGTAATGAACTAAGGAAACGAGTGACAGACAGATGCATAGTTGTGAGTGTTACATATACCGATAAAGATAGACACTTGGCGGAACAACAACGAACAGTTAGCTTTTTTTTGTCAATTATATCCTGTTTGTTATTCTACTTTGACGCGAACTCAAGATAATAAATTGATACAAATAAAACTACAGCATCTGCATGTTGATGTACAAAACTAATTCATATATATATATATATTTATTAATTTTACTTGATAAAAATTTCAAATTTTTTCATTATCCTTGAATCTTATATTAAGTACATGTTTTTTACACTTAGAAAAAAAAATAACTATGGTTTACACACTCGTATACATACAATATAAATTAATCATTAAAACTGTTCATTTTTTTGACAAGGACCTCCCATCTATTTCTTAACTTAAAATGCATATTTGACATAAAGAGAGATCGATGAGTGTCTCTATTCCTTTCACTTGTAATTATGAGCGAATGAAGGTGAAAGTATATTACCGACAAACATATACTCTCACACTAAGCTAACAGCTGACTAACATTCATCAATCGATATTTTGATGTTTATCTCGATGTGTCTTGTCTTGGAAACAAAACTAAAAGAAATTCGCCGAGAAAAAAAGAAGAAGATATGCCATCTCAAACATATATGCACGTTTCATAATGATAGAGTCTAGCTATCATCAGTTTCATTTAGATGAATTAATCGTAAACTCCGCCTATTTAAATGATAATTACCCCATGATGATTATATACTCAAATAAATGATAGAAACGAAGAAGAATAGAAAAAAAAAACTACTCATTCATTTTATTTATTTATTTTTAAATGAATAATATCCATCTGACAATTATTTCTTCTTTTTTTTACTATCTTTTCCACTTGATTTTTCTTTTTTACCATCTTTTTTACTTTCTTTTTTATGACTATCACCAATACTAAAATAAATCATTTATAATTACAAAAAAAATCAATCAATATAATACATACTCTTTTTCTGCTTTCTTATCTTTTTTTCTAAAGAAATTTTTCATATTAAATATAGATAATCTTGCTATAGATTGTTTTTAACTTACACATCACTAGTTTTAACTTTTTTCTTTTCTTCAGATTCAATATCTCGCATTGGTTTTGTTGAATGCATTGTATTTAATGTATTCATTGGTTTAGTTATATCATCTGTGATAGAAACTCTTTCTTCATCTGTTAATCGATGATCAATAATTTGTGGTCTAATTAATAAATATTATAAAAGAAAATCTAAATAAAACACACTCACAGTACTTGAGGAGGGATTTTTATTTGTAATGGTGCAACTAAAAATAATTTCAATAAAAATCAATCTATATAAAAAACAAACAAACCATATTCAGGATTTTTAAAAGGTTCTACTATATGAGTACTTGGTGCCGGTGAAGATTGAGAAACAGTTATAGCTGACATCGTTGATGGCTAAAATAAGATTTATGTATAAAATTCTATTATAATGAACTGTTTAAAATTACTTGTGGTTCATTTTGTGTTGGAAAAAGTTGTGTTTGTTGTCCTAATGGTTGAGATTTTTCTGGTTGATATTGATTACCTTTTTGTAATAACATAACAAGTTGTCCTTCAGTCAAACCTTGTGGAAGTTGAGATGGTGAATAAATATGACGACGAACATTAATTACATTTGAACGATCAATTGGAATATTTGGTGGTAAAAATGGAACTGGTTCTGGTAAATCTTAAATGATAATGAAAGAACAATAGTTTTTAATCGATCTTTAATATATACAAGGTTGTCGATTTCCTTCATTTCCATAATAACTACCAAATTGTTGTTGTGGTTGTTGTTGTAATGGATTATTTTGATAGAATTTTTGTTGATCATCACGTTCTCTTGGAAAACCAAATGATGGATCATATTGATATTGTTGACCATAATCATTATATTGATTTATAGGCATATAATTATTATATTGTGAAGGGATATTCTAGATTTAAATATCAAATTTTTACTAAAGATAAATATTTATATCATACTTGTGGTGAATATCCATAAGGTGAAGACATTCCTTGTACATTACGCATCATTGATGCATCTTCATAATCAATTAAAACCATATTATTATCTATTTGTTTGTTTGATAAACGATTCAATGTATTTGTTGGTACATATATCTAAAGTAAAATAATTATTTGAATATAATCATATTTAACTTACTTCATATACAGATAATTCATCATCACTATGCTGCATAATATTATAATCATCTCGATGATTATATCTAACAGGTCGAGAATATTGATAACGATCCATACCATCATCTCGTTGATATCTCGTACGATTTTTTATTCTATGAGAATCTCGATCTTGTTGATTATCTTTTCGTCTATATATATAATCACGTTCTTTTTGCTGTTGTTGTCTTGAATTTAGAATATCATCATCATCATCATCAATATTATAATTTTGTTCTTCTTGTTTATCTGTTAAATAAATTCTTGATTGTTGTTGTTGGGATTTCATTTGATTCGATGGATTTTTCGTATATAATTCTTGTAAAAGATTATTTTCTAATCGATAAATTTCAGGTGTATCTGTATCATCATTACGATTCATACATAATAAAAAACAATTATCTAAATAACGATCACGATTATTTGTTGATTGTATTGGATCATCTGATGATAATCCTTGACGATCTCGAAAGACCATTTTTTTTTTGGTGAAAATGTAAATTATAAAACTGATAGAAGAAAAAATATATGTTGATAGGTTTTTCGATCGAATATAACGTAGAGAAAATGCAAAACAAAAAACTCGCGCGTTTAGTTGAAAAATATCCGAATTAATACTATTTTTAATTTATTATTTGAGAATTTTTCTGTTTTATGTTTATCCTTGATTTTCTTTTTCAGAATTAGAACTATTTAGATATGGTATAACGATTCTTTATTCAGTCGTAATGAGTTTGGAAATAAATTTCATGACATTGTTATGACAAGTGTTGTAACATAACTAATAATGTTATGCCTGGATCTATCTTTTTCATTGTCAATATAAGACTCTAGAGATTTGAAGAGTTATATTTGAAATAGCTCATTTTTGACGGATTAAATACTTATGTATTTTGCTTTTCATATCATATGATAATAAAAAACTTTCTTTTAATGTTTTTTTTCTAAATAATTGAGTAAATTTATCTTGATAATTCGAAAAAGAATCAAATATATATATATTTCAATCTCTTATAGAATATTTTCTATTTTTAGAAGCAATAATTCAATCAGTTTCAATGTTTGATTTAGTGATGATCATCATAGATAAAGATACAATATGACAGAAAACTAATGAAATTTTTTTAGTATAGATCTGATTGATTGAGACAAAGAAGAGAACTCATGCGAAAAAAAAGAATATTCTAAGTACAAAATATAAGAATATTCTTTTTTTCTATTTACTCTATTGAATTTCCTTTTTTTTAGGTACTCGTAAATTATTTTAAAGGCATATATAACTATCTGTTGTCTATACTTGTCAATAGCATTTGATGACATCCTAGTTAGTCTGTCATTTGTGACAAAGTCTTGATTATATCTAACACACATGTCTTTACTATTATAAGCTTCATTTCATACAATGTGTGTGGGATGCTTGAGTGAGTGGGTGAAAAAACCAGAAAGACTATAACAACGAACTGATGAGTAATCATTCGGTATATTAATTGTGTCTGCTAGTCGAGAAAGAACGAGAAACTAAAACTATCTCATTTATATACATATATATATATATATATATATTCAAATAAAGAGCTTAACAGAAATATATATTATTTTATTCAGTACAAAAAAATATGGCAGAAGGTCATCGATTTCTTATTTTTAGTTTTATTGCTATTGCATTTTTTCTTATAATATCAAGATGCAATTCATATCCAGTCTTTAATGAATTAGCAAGTATGTTTAAATTGATTTAATCTATTTATATTAATTAATTGAATTATTTAAGTTCCACCACGTTCTACAAAAGTTTTCCCACAAAACGATGTTAATCGTTATGTAAATCGAGTAAAATACAATTTTTGTTTTATTTGATATGAAAACTCATTTATTAAAATCTAGATGAAACAATATTATGAAACAATGGCACATTTAAGATATTGGCGTCGAGATATTAATGAATCGGATGAAGATGATGATGAAAATTTACACGGTAGATTATTATATTTATTAATATTGAAATAGTTCTATATGATTTCTTCTAGCTATGCTTCGACAATATAAAAATTTAAACTCTAAACGTTAATATTCTATCTATAAATATTCTATTGTGCATGTATTGTCTTTTCAATAACTGTTTGATTTCTTTTTATTCATGTATTCTTGGTCAATAAATAGAATTCTTAATGGCGATATATTGTCATGTGAAAGATTTTAAAATTGAATTGTTATGCGCGAATAAATAGATATTTTCATACAAAATATTCTGCAATAATCAAGCATATCCGCAATTTTTGTTTTGAGAAGTTGATAATATACTTAAGTTGGAAGAGATTGTGTTACTACGACGTTGATATAATACTACACATAGTTTTCAATGTCACATATTATTAATGAAGTAGATTATCTCCTACATAATAAGAAGATAGAATAATGTAATATCTCTAATTAATAATTGAAAATGATTATATAGGTTAGAAAGTATATTAAAGATGATAGTATATTGTATAAAAAAGAACATGTCATATCTAGTTTCTATACCATTCTTTATTATTTAAAGTCAATATTAGACGTATTTTCTTTCAATAATGATTATATGATGATATTTCAATCTGTTGACATTGATAATATTGCTCGAAATTATAGGAAGCTTTTGTTTACATCATTTTTCCTTGTGTGTGTATGGTAAAATAATAAGAATCTGTTTTCTTTTGTTTTAATCGATTTTCGTCATCCTAATAAACTATATGATCTATCTTGAATAACCAAAACATCATATATATCGATCAATGTCAAATATCTCACATCATTATTTATTCTGTCAGAAATCATCATTATATTCTTTTTGCTGAAAAATAATTTTCCTATTGATAAGATTTTGGTTTATCAAAACAGAGGAAGCCAGAAAATGACATGTTTATCTTTGTTTAGAATTCTTCATAGGAAGATATGAAATTGCTTGAAATAAAAACACATCCGCGTTTTTTTTTTGAAAATAATTCTTTATGTTTTCAAGAAAAAAAAAATCTGTACAAAGGAACGAACAGAAAGAAGAACACACAAAAGATGTATATTGAATCTATACTTATAATACTAGATACATTATCTGATAATGGGCAACTCACAATATAACACAGCACACATATACATACACATACACAAGACAGATAGAATAAGAAATAGAGGCATCATTTTGTTGCTAATGCATAAAACAATTATGTACTGTTGTTGACAGCGAAATAGAACAAAAAATATGAGAAACAAAGAAAAGGCAATGAAAATCTATCACATAAAATAATCGTCGTTTCGTCATCGGATGTAAATCACAGGATTTCTAAATCGGGCGTACATGAACTCTCATCAGACGTCATTGAGATAGGTTCAGGTGATGCCATTGGTGCACGACCATCGCGTGATAAACGATAATATCCTAAAATATAAAATTAATCATTCAAACTAAATTCAACAAAAAAATAACGAATAGTACATAATACAATGATCTTTCAGTATCGTTTCAACAACAACAAAAAATAAATTAAATAAATTATATTGTAAAATCTCTTAACGTCTCATTCAATTATACTCTATTTTAATAGCAAGAATTCTGTTTAATAACAAAAATTTATATAGATATGTGTTCAAACTTACATTGTGTTGAATATTTATGTAGAAAACAATATCGACGAACGACGACAGAACACTGAAGACGTACAGAAGAATGTGCATGTGTATGTGTATGTGTGTAAACATATAATAGCATAGTGCAATATATATGATATGTGTGTAAACAAAATAGGGATACTGATATGAATATGGTTACAATATAGTTTCCAAAATAGCCACTTCACCTGTACCCATTGTTGCTGCTGTTGATGTTGATGTTGGACTTAATGTTGCCGATGATGATGATGTAGATGGTGGTTGCAGTGGTTGCGATAGTGATGACAATGGTTGATGTTGCTGCATAGTTTGTAAAATAGAAGAATGTATTTGTTGCAAACTTTGTTTAACCATTCGTGCTGATGGACTAGTTGAATGAGTAAGTGGTGGTCGTACAACTGGTGAATCCATTGTAATAATTGTAGCAGCTGTTGAAGTATTTATATCAGTATCAATATTTGGTGTTATTTGACTTGATGATGAACGTATTGCTTGTGGTTTAATTTGTCCAAATGATGGTGATTTCGGTGTTATTGTTGTTGTTGATGGCGATGATGGTAATAGTCGATTCCTATCACTACTATCATTGATTTGACTTGTTTCTTCAATTAAACTTGTTAAAATTGTTGAATCAATTAATTTTTCTATAGTTCTTGAATGTGTTGGTGATGATGATGTAGTTGTTAAATCATTTGATGGATCACTTTTTTGTTTAATCAATGCAATAGTACGTTTAAATTGTGAAGTTAATTTTTGTTTTGGATTTGAAAGTAATGCTGCAAGTGGTGATGATGGTGAAGATGGATCCTGTTGTTCATTTTGATCACTTTGTATTCGATCTCTTGCTACTAATGGATTTGCATCCGCTATAGCTGATGATATACTAAACATATTTTTATTCATTGTTTTTTCTAAATTCATTTTGCCTCGTTTTCGACCAACACGTGCAGCTAGAAAATAAAAATTAGAAATAATTAATAAAGAAGGTTTCTAATGCTAAAATATATATATATATAAGTAAAAAGTTATTTTAAAAATGCATGCAATCACAGCAAAAAGTCAAACAAAATTATCTTTTTTTTTTTCTCACATCTTGTTGAGGCCTCAACTGGTTCAAATTTGCCTGTATCTAAGTTTATTAATTATTGCAGATATTATTATTAATAATACAAATAAACAACACAAACCTGGATTTTTCTTCAAAGATTGAACTTTAAATCCATTAATGCTTAAAATTTCTAATAGTTCAAAACTGAAAGAAAAAAAAAACAAGATAATTTAAAAATAAAAATAAATAATTTTTTTTACCGAAATGCTGATACATCTTGTTTGATTTCATTGAGATCATCTTCTGTTACACCTTCAGTTTGATCTTTTTGTTGACGTTTCATTATATATCGTTTAACTAATTCACGTATGACTGTTTGATATTTGATTTCACGTTCATTAATTTTAAGAAGAATTTTCTATACAAAATAAAAGAATTTAATAACACTTTATATAATTAAGAAAACAGATGTGTTCTTTGAACTTAAATTAGTCATTTGTACGACATGTGCGTTTTTAACTAGTATCGTAGGAGTTTAGTTGTGAATCATGAAGAAAAATTTCTAGGTTCGATTTGTGAAGAATTCAATTAATCATACCTTTATACTTTGCCAACGATTCCTCAGATGTGTTTTTGAACAACCAAATACTCGACGATATAAATAACGGCATGCATAACAAATCGATTTCGGACTTGGAACAATATTAAATGGTGGTGGTAATGTTCCACCATCTTCGAAATAACTTGTCCAAAGTTTAGCTCTAAATATAAACGAAGAATTATTCCTATAAATCAATTAATTTTTATTCAAACCTTGCAAATTTCCATTCAGTTTCAGTTGAATTCTAAATAAAAATTTAAATTTATTGAAAAATAAATACATAAATATTTCTACATACAGCTATATATTGATATGAATTACTCATCATAGCAATAAGCATATTAAGTAGAACAATAATCATTATAGATGAATAAACTCCATACATAAGTAAACCAATAAACATTGTAAATGTATGTTTTTTATATATTTGAAATGTTTGCAAATCAATCAAACCAAATGTTCCCCAAAACAAAGTTTGTAATGATTCAAAAAGACTAAAAATCAAAGTATTAGATAAATCAAAAATAAATCTACACACCTATGACTTACTTAGAAAAATGTTTATGAATTTCTTTCAAACAATATTCATCGGTGCCTGTTGTATCCTCTTCACATTCACGTTTTTTCATACGAGCATAATACCAAAATAATTGATTAAGGCCACATGCAAATGCAAATGCCACAAGCATAATAAGTACACTAAATTTTAATATATCATGAACCATACGTCCTAAAGATATTTGTAATGGTCCTAAATGTGGATTTATTGTAAATATATAAACAAGTTTAAGTGAACTGAATATATTGGCTGCAGCAAATATTCCTTCAGATATTAATGTTGGATCCCATGCATTCCAATCTCGTCGTCGAACATTATGACCAGTTGAAAATGTACCGGATTCAGCTGTTATATTATGAGGATGATGATGAGTTGGATGAACACCTGATGATGTATTTCCATGATGAACACCTCCTAATTTTCGTTGTAAATCATTTTCTTCTCGATTTATCTATATTAAATTATCATATATTATATCGATTGTAATTAACAAGGGAATATTCTCAATAATTCAATGTCATTTGATTCTATATGATGGCTACGAGTTAGTCTCTAGTTGATAAAGAAAAAAAAAATTGGAAACAATTCTTATTTAGTAATCAACTCACTGACTAGTCAATTTATCTATCTAGAGATTTAAAAATATATAAATTTTTAATCCTACAAAAATCTATTCTGTAATTAAAATATGCCGTTAAAAAGCAGCAACGAACAATCAAGAATATTACGTTGTAAGATCTTGTTAAATGAAATTATATCTTAATTTTATTAGAATATCAATCCTTATCAACATCTCTTGCCTATCGGCATTATTCTAGTAATCTTACTTTAACAAATGCCATGACACGAAGAACGATCGTTGCAACATAAAGACAATTAGTAATCCAATCAAGTAAATTCCATGTATCCGCCTCAACAATATAAAAACGATTAAATTATCTGAAATAGAATTTTATTTTACCATATATTGATGAAGTCCTTCTTGATATAATTGTTTTATTTCAGCCCAAATAAATCCAGCTACATAGAGCATAATCTAAAATGAGAAATCTTGTCAACAAAATGAAATGATTTATTATCTATATCTTACAGCTAATTCAACTGGATTGGGCGGTGGACCACGTCTTTCATTTGTTTCTTCTTCAATACCTGATAATATTTTTCCAAAATCAATTCGTAATGAAACAACAAAAAGTAAAACTAGAAAAAGATTTTTTTTCGTTTCATTTTAGCTTTGAAAAAACTGAATACATACTGAGAAAGAAAATATATGAAACAGAATGACAGATAAATTTAATAAATGGTTGTCGCATTATTCTACCGATACTACTTCTTGGCATTAATAAATAGGCAATTGATAATACTGGAAAAAGTAAACCAACAAAAGTTGTTATAAAAATTTTAATCACCGAATGACGACGTCGAAAACCTGGTAACCCTTCATACCACAGAGAAGCAAGTAATTGTTGACAATGTGAATGTGAAACAAACTTAAAAATTAAATAAAAATTTAGAATTTAACAAATTTTTAATTTTTACCTTTTTTTGTTTATAACGTATAGCTAATTTTAATCTTGCTAAAGTCATTTTTTCTGTTGTATCTGATAGCACCGGTGGATTTTCTGTATCATAATTTAAAATAATTTCTAATTCTTTTGATGAACGTGTTTCCGCTAATAATGCTGCACTATAATCTTGACATTGTTGAGCTAATTGTTCATATTCTTGTTTAAATTCATTTTCTATACGTGATAAACGTTTTAATTCACGATTTAAATCAAATGCTGTCATTATTGGATCACGACTTGATAATGATATATAACATGGTGATGATAATGCTTTATATGCATTTATACGTGATCGTGAATGTCTTAAACTATCTTCTTTATTATATACAAGACATTTTTCACAATCACAACGAACATCATGTGGTTCGGTGACCTTCTCACCTAGAAAAATATTACGCTTAAATTATTTTTTATATGAATAAAATAGTATTTTGTACTAATGAATATCCCTAGAGATGAAATTTAGATGAGAATAATTACTAGTCGCGTGACACATAATACTGAATGATTTGACAGATGAAAAAAAATTCAATCTTCTATGATATAATGTTTTTTGTATAGTAGTATTAAGATTTTGATTACAAAAGTTATATGATTAGTTTTCAAATAATTTCTAACTCTTTAATAATTAAATAATATTAATACCTCTTTCAAGAAGAATTTTAACAATTTCATAATTGTCTCGATGTGCAGCCAATACAACAGGTGTAATATCAGGTGTATAAGAACGAGATGTACTTAAGTTAAGCTGTTCGCTTACCTAAAAATATATATATATAATAAGAATTAGTTTGAAATAAAACTATCAACAAAACATATTTCTATCTATTATCAAATTATGAGGATACACACACGCGGACGTACAAACATTCAGCCAGTACCTACAGGGTTTTTAAGTATAAATATGTGACGTATATGTCAAGGATACTACCTATTATTTATCTATTAGGTGTTTTTATCATCTCATTTCATTGTAAGATTATATATAGAATTTATAAATTTCAACAGATTTATTAATTATCATATTGAATTGAAATAAGAAGAAAAGAACTAATTACTGTAAATATTCACACATGAATACGTTCATTCATGCATATATATATATATACATTCTTCTATTTTTTTCAATATTTTAAATTTACAATGTTGTTTTCAGTTAAAAAGTAACTCATTAGTTCTTCTTTTAAGACCTTAAGTGGATAGAAAATCACAGGTAACAACAAACACGAGAGGAGCAAAGGTGATGAAATACATGAGTGAATACTATATGATTATGTGTATGTGTGTGTATGTGTTTATGTGAAAAAAGAAAACAGTATCAATAGTGCATGTGTGTGTGTGTATGTGCGTGAATGTATACTAGAAGTAGCAATAGTTATCGTTAGATTAACCAATCCATTCATGCACATTAAAAACAAAGAAGAGAAGAAGAAGACGAAATTAAATTCTCGCATTTTTTATGGCCATTGCGCCTACCGATTGCTGCTCTTTTTTCCGTACTGCCTGTAGGAGAAATGCCCATTTAGATTTTGGATTCTAAATACAAAATAAGAAGACGAAGAAGAAAAGACAGATAAGATGAGAGCAAAAATATGCAGGATATGTATATACATGTATAATAAAATAATAATAAATAAATAAATAAATAAATAAAAAAAGAAGAAGATTTTCATGCTTTATAAATATGCATTTTTTTTGTGCATGACGTGACCACTAAACTATATAACTAACTGTTAGCTACGATAAGCAAATATTATTTTCTTATAAATGATATAAAAATTTCGCTGAAAGATTTTTAAGCAGCGGAGAACTTATAAAAAAAATTATATATTATAAGGGTTAAGAGAAGGCAGGTGATCTTATATTTAAATGCACGTCTCATATTATAGATAATAACATGAACAAACCTCATTGTCATCAGTAGTAGTGGTAATTATATTTTCAACACCACCATCGGCTTGTTTCGAAGGCAGATTTGTTTTCGATGTATGGAAATAAGACCATGCTGTTTTTAACTATTTTTTCGAGATATATATATAGATATAGATTTAGATAGATATTGATAGAGATATCAAGCATTTATTTAATGCACATACACACGGTGCATAAACAAAACTAATTGATCAATAATCAATCTCTACCTCACCTTATTCGAAACATCTTGTGATGATTGTTGTACATCATCTTTTTTCTCTTTTCCTAATGCAACTTGGGCAAGTGTAAATAATTGATTTGATTTATCATTTATTGTTGTATTTTTTTGACACTATATCACGATAAAGAATAAATAAACAGAAAATACAGAAATATAGACATATGTACATAAGTATAAATCAGAAACCTGATTCTTTCTTTTACTTTTATACTATCTTATATTGATTCAATTGATATGTATTTGTAGTCTATTGACATATCCTTGACTTTTATACATATCCTTGGTATAAAAAAAAAACGTAATTAGACTACCTTCTTCTTATATAAATCTAAATTAGATTATATAGATGATATTATTACAATAAAAAGTTTTTTTTATCTAATTATTGTTTTCTATTCAATGACAAATTATTGTTAAGATCGATGTGTTTTTATCATTGGTTATGAGATATTTTCATTCATATGAATAAATCATATGTATAAATATCTTATCTATATTCAAACTACTAATAAGTTGCTGATAATATCTTTCAATGTCATAAATATTAGAGATAAATTAAGTTGTGACAAGTCTATTTGTATATGTTGTCGTTATTATTTTGCTGTATTGGTAAAATATATATGACAGATCGGATAGACAAGCGCAACTGACACATACGTGCTCTCAATCTGATGACGACTTACTTTACTTTTATCTTCTTCAACATTGTTGCTCTTTGCTTGTTTTTGTTGTTGTTGTCGAAGATCTTCATGATGGAGAAGAAGTTCCACAGCTTGTTTTAAAAATAGATAGATGATTAAAAAAAGATTTTTTTTTTTTCTAATTATCTACCTTCAACAAATTCTTCATCAATAGCATGAAGTAATGCTTCACCTGTATCAATATTATAATTAAGTAACAATTCAATCATTTCAATATTTTCATATTCAATAGCTAATTAACAAGAGAAAATAAAATGAGAGAGAATGAATTTAAATTAGAAAAAGTAAGAAGTTTTTTCTTTTTTTTTTTTTTTTTGATGATAAAAACCTATTAAGAGTGAACTTCGACCTAGTGGATCTAAGCAATTAATATTGATTGGTGCAATTGATGTGTCATTATTTGTTAAAGTGGATGGTGTTGTAGAACTCACATCAAGATACCTTCGAGTTGTAGCCATATCTCCTCCTATAAAAATAGATATATCATTAATCGTTGTGTATTTACTTTATGTACTATAGAAAAGAAAGACAAATTCTTTTATCAGCTGTTACCACAGCTGTGACCAAAGCTTATCAATTTTTTGCCTTTTTTTTTTGAGCATAATAATCATCTATTAGCTTGTTATTTTGTATACATTGCTTTTCCGGATGGATTTTTTATCTGTAAAACTCTTTCATTCTAATAGGATTTCCATGAATAATATTTCCTTTCCTTAAGGCATTTCCGAACTTAGATAGAATAAATAAAGACTAAAAATAAGTGCCACATTTGAGAATAACTTAAAAATGACAATTTAATCCAATTGTATCGCACTTATAACTAGATTTTCTCGTATTCATTCATAAAACAAAATCATCTTAGTTTTCATTTCCGTCAATATATTCAAGACTAAGGTTCTTTAGAAATTCTGATCATTTCAGTTCAAAAAAAAAAAGATTTATCTAATAACGTCACTTTTTTTCTCTTCTTCTGTTGAAGCTTAATTTGATGTATGTCAAAAAGAATACTTTAGGAATTTCTCATCGTGTTCAAGTATCAGTATATATTGGATAAAAATAGATAAAAACAGAAACATGAAAGAATGAATGAAAGAAAGAAAAGAAAGACAGAAAGAATAGAATTGTCTCCTTGTTAAGGATTAATAATGAATAGTTACTTTTTATGAAAAAAGAAGGAAAATAATGTCAGAAACAATGATAAAAAATTTTCTTGTTTTTCTAACTAAGTAAATGTATCATTACGTCTGAAAAAATGAACTAATTAATATAACAATAATCATAATTATAGTATTAAAATTATTTTCTTACGTTCAACAGCAACAAGATATTTTTTTTCATCCTGCGATAATTCCGGATCTCGTCTTAATTGTGCCATTTGTTGTGCATATGTTTGTGTTGATAAAGACGCCGCATTAGCAAAATCGGTAAATGGCTCATTAGATGAACGTCCCACTAACTTTTCTGCTTTACGGTAATCTTTCATAAGCCGTTGGATAGCTCGCGACATGTGTAAATAATTTTTAAAGAGTAATAATAACAATAAATTAAAAAAATATATAATAGCCACACAGGCACAGAATAATAACTATACAACTATATGTATACACATGGATGCTAAAACGATTGAAATATAAATATAAAAAAATTCAATAGTTATTGTTGTGTTCACTTTATTATATTTTCTCATGAATAGAATGAGAACAATAGAGAGAAAAAAAAAGGAAACATGCCAAGAAAACTTATTTATATGATGCTGAATAGAAGTTGAGAAAGAGGAGTGGTATTAGTCGAGATTCCTTCCTCACATAAGACAGCGTGTCTTGTATGCGTGCACGTCTCAGGCGAGCGAGCGAAACTCAACGATAGGAACGTATTAAATAATGGCTACATTTGATTTGTTTTCAGTTCTCGTCGTCCTATTATCATCAACGCGTGTAAGCACAGCCGCGTGTAGTAGAAAAGATGCTAACAATGCAACGACTTTTCTTGTGCTTACTCTCGACCTCACGCCTATACATAACGCATATCTTGTGCTTCATCGTTCTTATGAAGTTCTTTGTGTTTCTGCGTTCTGATTCTCTCTTTCTCTCATTTTTTTTTATGTCTCTCTTTCTCTTTCTTTCTCTTTCCCATCCTGCTGTTCCCACAGGCGCTGACACTAACTGGAAAGCAAGTGCCATCGATACCGTTTGGATGCATAGGACTCTGAGTTCTTCTCTATCGTCTTTGATCGATCTCATCCTATCATTCGATGATGATGATGAGAATAATGATGATGATGTTGTTGACGAGAAGCGTAAATCGTTCGCAAGATTCTTCTTTTTTTTTTTTTCTTCATCTTGTTATATGATGTTAGTACTCTTGATAGTAGAATGATGATTAGGTGTCGGCAGTTGAAGAGAGATTTCTTTAGGATGCGAACATATAAAGAAGACAAGAACTAGTCATTATTATCATTGCTATCGTTGTTCGTGTTTCTGTTCTATAATAACCTTTAGAGTTTTTTAGCTTTGTTGTCAACTATATGACAGTATACAGGTAGCTGTTTCTGAAGAAAACGAGAGATAAAGAAATATAGAAAAAAAGGTAAGAAAAGAAAAGAGAAAAAAACGGAAATTGTCATCATTCTCACGGTTGTTCACAAGGGAACGCTCTTAATGATGATGATAGATTTAATGTGACAACGACGAACTACCGAAAATAAAAAAGACTGCATAATCAAAAGATATATGTAAACACAAAAGATCAAGGGACAAACAATGGAATTGTTAATGATAGCGTGTGATTTTCTTCTTCATTGACTACAATATCCTAAACAAAATGATTGTTTTGTTTTTTATCTTTCTATATGTCTAACTATTTTTTTGGTAAGGCCAATTGGGAGTGATAGCTAGAGAAAATGTATGTCGAGTAAATACCAACAGTTGTCGCCCATATAAAACGAGAATAACATGATTAAAATATCTAGGAAAGTGGCTTGATAAAGATTTTTTTTCATAAAGAAATCAAGACGAAATAATATAAACTATTGACAATCTATATAACCTAAACGATTCTAATTTGATCAATAAGATCAATGTTTATTCGCTATGTCTCTGCTAAAGAACTTCTCTACTCTCTTTCTCATCTACTTTTACTAGCTGAATAATATGACTTGTTTGCATTCGCGTAACAGACAGATATACTAAGTCAGTCGCGCATACAAGAAGATCGAATCTGCATCTCGTTATTAATTAGAGAGATATGGGAAAAAAACGGAGAAAAAAGGCATCATCAACGAACGAACGCTTGATCAATATGCTAGACAATCTTTACTTCTCATTTATTTTTTCTTCGTTCTTTACTAGATTTCAATCAACCCTACAATATTCTCGAGATTTATATATGTAAAAGATCGATCAATTCTATTTTTCTCAATTCATCACGAAGACATAGGAAAAAAAATTGTTATTTAATATAAAAATAATATTCAATAATTGACATCAAAATCAAGAGATGAAAAAAATAATACATACATTAATACTTCATCTTAACTTAATACGTAATAGAATATCTCGTAAAATTCTTATTAAATGAAAGAACAAGATTTGATAAAAGAAAAAATACAGAGTTACTATTGAATAGTCGTTATTGCTTGCTTCGTCGCTCGTCTAACTGATGTGATGCTTGCACAACTGCCAAATAGTAGAACGAGAAAGATGAGGAGAAGAAAAAACCAGAGACGCGAGAAAACACCATGAAGTAGTATGTAGTTATGTCTAGTATGTGTATTTATGTGCATCATGACGTTAAAGCTCCTTAAGACAACTCATATGCAGCCATTGGCTTCATTGTGCATTCGTAACACCGAGACTATACATAAACATTTACACATATTTTAATCGGTGCCGTTCAGTACAAAGAAAAAATAAAACAAAGGAAAGAATAAAGATAAATGCAACTGATGGTGCCTTATACAACGCCCTTTCCTGCTCGGAACGGAACCACCTTGACGAACTATCGAGTAAAAGTTTGTATGTATGTGTGCATGCGAAATCAAACATGCATCTCTGTCAACTGATTAACATAGACGTAGAAAATGTATGCGACACAGATGGAACAAATAAAAGAAAATATATATATATATATAACGAAGAGAGAAAAAAAGGAGTTTTTCGTGTGTTTATGTGTAAAATTGTCGATTTATTCCTTGGCGATTCTCATCTGTCATCGTTTGATGATGGACGTGGGGCGCCCGTAGGCTATATGTTTCAAATACAAGAAAAAAAGAAGGGAAAAGCTTGACATTTTGTTCTGTTCCTTCCGGTATTCTATATAGTGACGATGAGACTACGATACCAAACTAATCACCGTAGGGTTAACAAAAAGAACGACGACTGTTCAACAAAACAAAAGTTCTATTGCTTATCAATATTATTAATCATCGTCATAGTTTACATTCATAACAACTATAATAATTGTAGTAGAACTAAGAACATCAACGAACCATTATTTTGTTAGATCTTGATGTCATTGTAAAGCGAAGAAGCAGAAAAAGCATCCGACCGAAGCAAATGTCAATCGCAAAATATTATTAACTCGATATAGAGATGTTATACATACGTAGACACACGTGTCATCGTTTGCAAATAAATATGGACTATTGTTCGCTAGAGATCGATCTCTGTCCAACGAAGAGAAAAAAAAAGAAAAAAGGGGAAAAAAATGGAAAAGAAAAAACTCGAATAAACAAATGATAGCACCCATTACACACGCACACACATACACGTTAGTTCTACTAGCACTGTTAATAGCGGAAATGAGGCGAATAGTAACTCATTCGTTGTGCTACTTTCCGATATCTCTGGTGTCCATATAAATGACTAGTAATAACAATAATATAACTACTTACACCCTCGAATTTGCTTTCTCTGATATTTATATATCGTTTTAAAGACTATTTCCGGATTTTTTTTTTATTCAAGTAAATATATACATGTATATATTTATTTATGCAAAATGATAAACTTCATCTGTAACACAAAAAGAAAAACAGATGGAAATACTATCGAACAAAAAAACTAAGTTATGTTACATATTTGATCAGTAATAGCAACAGTCATTTATAGATGGACGTGATAATAATTGCTCATGCGTTTCGATTAGCATCTATTTAACATCCTATTATTATATAAAACAATATGTATATATCTTTATATATATATACATACAGATGATGAATTTATTAATCGTCTATATAACATTCTAATGCTACTTTTTATGTAGAAATAATCTTTTGTATCGATCAAAAAACAAAACCAATGAATGCATTAATGGCACTAAAATGTAATAATTAACATATATATATACACACACATAAAAATAATACTAAATGCAAATACTCAAGATATGAGATTTTGAGTTTTGATGATAATAAGACAATTAATTCGATTTTCTCTTTAATTATCTATTATACTATTAGGTTTGTCTCAACAAGCACTATGATAATATTCGATATTTATAATATGTACTATGCTATAATTAAGTTACTGAAATATGATCTATACCCATTTATAAATGTTCGGAAATGTAATGCGTTGTTTTTTCAATTATTGTAAACGATATTATATAGAATAGAATAGAAAAGATGCTAATTGTATAGTAAAATCTTGTAAAAGAATCTGTTAAGCAGCTGGAAAATGCATGACATTATAGAAAAAAGAAGAAGAAGAAGAAGAAGAAAGAAAAAAGGAAGGAAAAATGCACAAATTATCAGTAAATTAACTATTGACAACATTTATTATGACATACTGCTGTTGAAAATAATACAAAAAAAAGCTGAGAATATCATTTTGATATACACTAAACATATATTTTTTTTCATAATTACTTTTTTTATTATTAATTTTCCTATTTACACTTTGGATAAGTGTAGAGGGGGTACTTACTATTTTTTCATTTCAAATCTACCTATATACCCACTCGGAAATAACATTTAGAATAGTAGATTGACTGTTCTATTAAAAATAACACGTAGGCAAATTACAAAATAGTATATTTATCTTATATGATTTTCTTTTTGACGTCATTAGGCTTTCTATGCGTTATTTCTTATAAATCTATTTATTCTAATATATCATCTGTCAGCTTTGACTTCCTTTTAGATAAAAAATAAGAAAAGTTTATTTATATATTATCTCGTTATAATAAATAGTCGATTAAAAATTTTATATTATGAAGTTTGTTTTTTATAATAGATTACAAAACAATAATTAAAATAAATATTCTAATTTTCTTCGTATAGATGGATATTTTACATTATAGGTGTCGATTATTTGAACTTTATTGGAAGAACATACTTAGAAGGAAAAACAATAGTATATTTATATTGCTTTTGTCTTTCTGTCGATCTCTCATTGTTATAGATCGATGTCTTCTATATACAAATAATTCTTTATATTCATTTTCGAGGTATACTATGAACAAGTTTGTCTTTCTCTCTTCTAGTTTATTTATATCGAATCGAATATTTCTTTACTTTCATTTTGTTTCTTTCGAGCGGTGGCTAACACATACTTTTAATTCTAGTTTATCATCATGAATACAAGCATTTCCAATTCGATGGGAGATGAAAAATTTCAAATGCATGTCGACCATGACGTTGATGATAATAATCGATTAATAAAATCTCGTTATTTCGAACAACGTCGTCCATTTCGTTTAACATCATTAATTTATCCAATTTCATTGGCTTTACTTATTCTCATTAGTACTGTACTTTTAGTTCTTACTGTTACTCGACGAAATACATGTCGTCAACAACAATTAGAACAAGCTGAAGTTCTTTTAGGTTATAAACCTGACAGTCATGTAAGTTTAGAAGAAAAAAAAAA